AAAATTAACAGTGAACAATAAGCAGATGTTTAGGAACATATTTCTGAATTGAAATTTTCTTAATAAATCAATGTTAAAATTAGTTATTTCTTTTTCATCATTATATTGAATTTCTTATGCTTTTTGAATTTGTTCGCAGATTCTTCAAATGTCGTCTTTTCAATAAAAATTCCTGGAAATCTATAGAAAATGTTTGTGAACAATGAGACATTGCAGAAACCAATAACTGAAAAAGATTACATATTTTCCATGATAATAATTAACTTTTATTTTCTAAACCTGTTCCTAAACAACTTATCAGTTTACTGTAGAATTTTTACTACATTTTTCGGCGTCGTTATTTAATATTTTTTATAAACTATTTTATAAATATTTTAAAAACTATATTTGAAATCATCCCTCAAGAATGGACAATCCAAGAGGATTTTAAAGATTGAATTTGCCCTCTTGCTGAACAAATATGCACCGTAATAACGTCACATAGGTCTCAAATATGCACCGTAATAACGTCACATAGATCTCAAATATGCACCGTAATAACGTCACATAGGTCTCAAATAATTCCTTAAATATTTCTCCACAATACATTCTCAGTTCAACTACCATACATTGTCGGTCACTCACTTTAATTTTAACAGAACCGTTTTTGAAATAAGAACTTTTATAGCCAAGCTGGGGACTATTCTTTGCCGAAATTCCATTATTCGAGGAGACTAATAATATGTGTATAAAACTATTTTTTTCCTCTCCAAAGTTGTATCGATAGGTGGAACAAACACAACTGTGGAATTTTACTAACACTGCATCAAGAACGCTTTAAGAAATTATATTGTCATCTATGGCAACCCTTACGAAACGAAGCATTTAAACTTAGGTCCGATATTTTGATCCATAGCAGGTCAAAAAGAACCGTTTCTAACCTCAAGCAAATTCTAATTATTAAAAGGGTTATCCACAAAGTATGAAACTTCAGAGACAAGTTTGAAATCTTTTCTTTTAAACTTTTGGGTTGTTAAACCCTATCGGTTCAGAGTCGTTTGTTAGATCCAATCTGTATATCTGGGACATCGCAAAAATATTTTTTACAATGTGTCTTTTCTTTCAATCAAAAACTGACTGAGATGATAAATTTCTAAAACTTCGGAGTTCTTTAATTAATTTAAATCTGGGGAATTGAGTCTTTGCCACAAATTCTGATTTCTTATGCCAGATCTTTTCAATCCAATGTGGTAGACCTGAAATATTCAAACTACGAGTTCTGTGATATCAATAATCTAAAATTTGAAATATAGAAGTTTTATGCCATCAGGTTGCACATATGTAGGGATATGACAATTTGATTTTGTGGCAAAGACTCATTCCATTCTCAACATCTTTGACAATCTTAAAGGTATGAAAATGGCAAAAAAATGTTGGCTTAACTATAGATTACTACAATAATTGTGTTCAAGAAAAAATGCCGCGTAGAATAAAAACGATCACACATATCTCGTTACTTATTCCCATGTTTATGTGGACATCTTGTACCTACTTGTACTCATTGATCAATATACTTATTCTGTAGTTATATGTACTAACAATTATTTTTCTTCAGCTATTTTCTCTTCGAAAAATTTTTCATTCAAAAGTACTACTTCCTTAATTAACTGAAAAGTTAGAACTTAATGGGTTTAAAATTTGTTTAGATTATCATTAAAACTCTCTCATTAAATTGTTGTATCGATATAAAGAAAATGAGCATATTAGGTCGAAACATTATTTCTAATTTTTATAGAAAATTCTTTGAAAAAAGGGATAGTTCAGTAGTAAAAAAAGAAGAGAATCTAACAAATTTTTATTTAAGAAAGATGAAAAAAAAAGTTTATGTCTGAAAAGGTTGCAGGGTGGACGGCTTCTGGGTAATCGAAATTGTGGTCTACCTTGTTTTTCGTCCGTGTTTTTCAATAAAAAGCTGGGATTATTGAAAGTTGGAAAGTGATCTTCGAGAGCCTCAAAATAAATGAAATTAATCATGGTTGGATGAAATTAATAAAAGCTCCTCCTCTCCGCTATCAACGAATCGGAGCAATTATGGTTTTACATAAATCTCCTTCTCTCGTCAGATCATGCTCTAGAATTATGGTTTTACATAAATCTCCTTCTCTCGTCAGATCATGCTCTAGAATTATGGTTTTACATAAATCTCCTTCTCTCGTCAGATCATGCTCTAGAATTATGGTTTTACATAAATCTCCTTCTCTCGTCAGATCATGCTCTAGAATTATGGTTTTACATAAATCTCCTTCTCTCGTCAGATCATGCTCCAGAAAACGTTAAGTTTTGAGGGTCTCCACAACAATTTTAGAACTGTCTTAATAAAGTCTATATTTTATGTTATATCAGTTTAATGTAAACTCCGACAGAAGACACGAGCCTCCACGAAGCAACCCCAATTGTTCGTTATTGAAGAATTTGAAAGAATGTTAAGACTGATATCTTCTACAAGATGCAAGCTTTTGCACAGTGTAATACAACCAGCGAAATAATACAATGCTATTATGCAATGTGTTAAAAATCTCCTTTTAGATGTTTAAGAAAGTAACGATTCTACATATACGGACCATTAGTTTAGTGTAGCTTCAGTAAAACTTATTTCATCCTTGTCAAGGGACTGTACGCATTTCAAGTAAACCTTCATTTACAGAGTGGCGAGTCCGAATCACTACAGTACTCTTAAACCTTGGACTGATCAAGGACGACAGACTCGTCCTTATTTATCTAAAACGTTTGTAACTTTGAACATTTTTTTGCAAGCCGTCTTCTATTTAAGAAATATTAATATTTACTTTTGTGGGAAATAAATATTTACATTTGGATTTTTGAAAACCGGGTTGGACATTAAATATTCGGGGTTTTCGAGGAATATGAGTATAACGTTAGCTGCGTTCAGTTCACTCTGCACGATAACGTACTCTCCCAGATTTTCGGTAATTTGAACACCAACTTAGAGATAAAACACGGCGTTGAAATCTTTGAATGGAAGTTCACTTTAAATTGCGCTACAATCACTTTAAACTTATTTACTTCCAGCAAAGAACATATGTTCTGTAAATATATTTATTTAGCCTTTAAGAAGAACTCAAAATTTTAGAATTGTCAACATTTTTAGGATTTTATGTCAAAACTGTTTCTTTTTAAATGTAAAATTTAATTTCAAAAGTTTCATAAGATAAACTTATTATTTAACAAATTATAAAAATTTTTCCACGTACAGTGAAACCCTTAATAACGAATACATCGAAAGAATTCATCAAATGTCGTATTCTTCACTTTTTTTATAATGGAATGTTGCAGATATTTAGTTTTTTTATTAAATGATTATATGGAACTCTTTAAAACTGTTCCCGCATATTCATGGCTATTTATTTATTTTCGCAAATACTGAAATTTACGTAATATAGTATAAAACTCATTGAAAAATTGTCAAGACGACATTTGATAAATTCTTCCGATGTATTCGTTATTAAGGGTTTCACTGTACTTTATTTCCTGTAAAAAATAAATATTTTTGTATTAATTTGATTTCAAATAATTTTTTATTTCAATTAGTTATTTTATTTTGAAAATAATAGTGAGTAATTAATTAGTTCAAAATTAAGTGTTTCAAGAGAAAATATTTAAAAACGACGACTGTAAACAGCAGAGCTATACAAAAATATGGAAACAAAGAGCGGCTGTCAATTAAAAAAGCTTATCTTTACTTAATTTACTTAAGCTTATAAGTCGAGAAAAGCTTGGTAACATTAAAAACTTAAATAAAAAGTCGTCTTTATTATATTGATATAATCGATTACCACCGTAAGTTCAAGAAAAACACTTTAAAAGTGCTTCGACTCAGAATTTCTTCGAAATTTTAGGCAGCCGAAGTTTTCCTCGCTCCGTGTGAAATTATCTCTGTATTGTATGGCAGATTGACCCATCCATCTCATAATAAAACCCTTGTAACTTAAATTCACTCTTACGTGAATTTTAACGTTAATTTAGATTTCAACAGTCAACTCTAACGTTAATACCTTAGTTTCTCGGGAACCATTTTCAAGAACCTAAATAATGAACAATAACTTTTTAACATATAATTAAAATTATTTTGGCTCTTGAAATTGATTCCTTACTGTTTAAGTCAACAAGCCTGTAGGGAAAATAAATATATTTATAACTAAGATGATACTTGTTATTTTCGCTTATTTTTAGCTAAAAGTGAACCCATAAAAGGTAAAGACATTTTTTATAATTTCGTATTTATCAGAGTTTTAAAATATTTTGCCACTTAAATACGGATCCGGAAAAGTTAACAAAATGTCCGTTTCTCGTAAATGTTCTCGACAAAATTAGTAATTCCTTTATAATCCTTAATCATTCAGCGTCTTCAGGCTTCCCCTCCTTCACTAAACGTATTTAAAGATTAAACTTAACGCAAACCACACTTAGTTAATCCGGTTGGGCTTGCATCTTCTGCCTAGATCTTATTTTTGTAATGAACACTTAGGATTAATTTCTTTTAGTTGCGAATTCGGAGATTAAAAGTTTTTACTAAACGCTTTAGACAGCAATTGAGGTTAGCGTTTTCAGAACAAAATTTTTGTGCTTTGGTTAATCTTCAGAGAAGCACCGACTACACGGGATAATTAGATTTTGAAATATCTCGTAAAGCCTCTTGAAAGCTAAACAACATTGAACGGATTAAATCCAACACCAGTGAGAATCTAACCCAAAAGTCAGACCGTGTGTTTTAAATCTCGGGATCAAGCATTGATCCCCATCTACGGATTAATTTAATTTAATTTTGATATCCAGTGATTATCATATCTCCTAATAAACTACTGTAATAATTGAAAGATCGAGCAATTATATTCAAAATTAAGCTTGCCCAGGTGAGATCAGGCGTTCAAGATTAAAAATATTCAAGCAGAAGTTTCGATCTCAGACTATTAAAACTCTTAAAAATCTCCTCTACGACATAGTTTTCAATAATAAATGACTATATTTTCAACTCTGAGAAATGCACAGCAACATACAAGGAAATGTTTACATTACAAATAAATTTGCATAAGCATATGTACAGTGTACACAAATTGAAAAATTAAGTTCACACAAACTTGGAACTTCCGGTTAAAATGTACGACATGGCAAGGATATATTTACAAGGTTTAAATGGTTTCTAAGTTAAATAACTTTTTGCTGAATGTTTTAATGTTGGCCAGAACTATTTTATGTTGGACATAGAACTTTATAATGTCGGCCAAAGAACTGTTAAACGTTGGCCCTGTTTAATGTCGGCCAAAGAACTGTTTAATGTTGGCCAGAACTGTTTAATGTTGGCCAGAACTGTTTAATGTCGGCCAAAGAACTGTTTAATAATCTGCCGAATTTGATCTGTTTGCTCGTGAAGCCGTAGTTTCTGAACCTGAACAAAGATGATGGATGATATTTAGAATTTAGATTTTTTTATCAGAATTTAAGAGAAAAAAGAGACGAAAAGAGATGAATATAGACGAAGAGATGAAAAGAGATGAATAACAATGAAAAGCGATGAATAGAGATGAAAAAGAGGTGATAAAGAGGTGATAAAGAGGTGATAAAGAGATGATAAAGAGATGATAAAGAGATGATAAAGAGATGATAAAGAGATGAACAGAGATGAACAGAGATGAACAGAGATGAAAAGAGATGAAAACAGACGAAAAGAGACATAAAGAGATGATAAAGAGATGATAAAGAGATGATAAAGAGATGAATAGCGATGAACAGAGATGCACAGAGATACACAGAGATGCACAGAGATGAACAGAGATGAACAGAGATGAAAAGAGATGAAAAGAGATGAAAAGAGATGAAAAGAGATGAATAGAGATGAAAAGAAATGAAAAGGGATGAAAAGGATGAAAGAGATGAATAGCGATGAATAGAGATACAAAGAGATAATTTTAAAGTTTTACTACTGCTTATTTTACTTAATACTTTATATAAAACATTTTTGCCCCACCCCCAAAGATTTATGAAGCGATCAGACTATGTATCCAAGTACTGTGGAATATAAATAATTCAAAAAAAAAGTTTATTGAGAGTGATCCCCAATTTTCAAAAATGGCATGTCCGATTTAAAGGGGTACCCTTGAAACTGAATTCTGGTAAAGCATGATTGAGATGTCCAAGAGAGTTTTTGTGAGAATTGAACCCTCTTTAAAGCTAAAAAAATACAATATCTTCCACTGAACAGGCACTGTTGTGAACCGGGTAGGCTTCCCTTTAATTACCTCAGTCATATCCTGAAGAAAAACTGTTGTAGGTATATCGTAGTTAGGATCCACTTGGAAACTCTTCTTTAGAACATCCTGATTAAATCCCAGGGAGACCAGCCGACGAATCGTCTGACGAGCGCAAGCACTATGAGGCCGGGACGCCTCTACTTCGCTTCGTGCAGCGAATACACCCTGAAAATATTAGAACATCAAATATTTAAGAAATTGTGTGCGCTGAATACAGGCTAAATAGACATATAAATAATAACAGAAATTTGAGGATCGATGAAAAAGGTTTCCGCGGCAGAGATGATATTGCTGGAGAACTTGCCGTCCCTCCCTCAACCTTGATTGGAGGACTAGTCGTCCCTCCCTCAACCTTGGTTGAAGAACTTGCCGTCCCGCCCTGAACCCTGAACTCCGGTCTAATCTAATCCTTAGAGGAGTGCTGCCGAATCATGATTTCATTTTGAGTTGCATAATGTTACCAAGCATTATGGAAACTATGAATATATTTCTGAAAAAAGTTTGGATAAAATAGTAAAACATGATATCAAAGACCCCGTACCACAAATTCATGACATCAGTCACAAATATTGTACGGTTTATGAATAAGAACCGAGCATTATATATCGATAAGTGTACCTCTAACGTTACTTGAACCCTGTTAGTAAACAGCTGACGATCGATAAAGTTCTGTAGTGGTAGAAGCTCCAGGGTGTGTTCAAGGCTTGCCGTCATCCTTGATATCTCCGGGTGGAGGATAGGATAGCAGAACCATTTGATGAAATTGATGAAGCTGGGTGGAGAGCCGAGTATACCCTCGCAAATCTTGTAGATACACTCAGGCTTAGTAACCGCGTCCAGTCTGCTCACGTTGCCGGAGTTAGTGATGGTTGCAGTCCACTTCGCACCTTCTCCCACCTATACCAAAAATATTAAGATTCATTCAAGTTTTTTTTTATAAACAATATCCCCCCTGGGCCCCCGATCACGAAGCAATGTGAATAAATTGGATTTATATGACTCTTAGTAATATTCTCTTCAACAATTCTCAAAAATATACACGAGCAATACAAGACCAGAAAACATAAAACTAGGAAATCTGTAAACTGTTCTGAAGACGGAATAATAAAAACAAAGAAACTGGTTCATAAAAAACCCCGTGACAACTCAAGACTAACTAATGTACCACTGCATGTGAGAAAACATTTATCCAGGGCAAATTGATTTTTTATGAGGAGGGGGAAATAAGGCCCTTAAAATTAAATAAAATCTGAAAAAGATGTTCATAGAGGGGAGAGGGGGAATAAACCCCTGATTCCCTCCTCATTTATCTTTTAATTTTACGGCCGTTAAGGAGGGATGCAGAGAATTGAACAAATTGTCATTGATGAAAGTGGGAATATACGGAGAATCTACAAATTATCTGAGCCTTTCAAATACCGAGATATACGGACAAGGAACGTGTCTTCCTAAGACACTTCTATAACCTCCGAAGATTCAAGAAAGAGCAACGTGGCCCGTATCGATTTTTGGGTTAGATTAAAAGAGCATTTTATCACAGAAGCACGGACAAGGTTATTCATTCTCGTTTCTATCCATTTTCAAATTCTATACTTAAAATCTGCATAATGATTAAAAACACCCTTTTTAGGAAAATAAATTCAAAAATTGTTCTGTTATTTGTTTTAAAGAACATTAATTTAAATGCATGTTTAAAATCGTAACTATTTTTTCCAAACGACTTTAATTAGGTTTAAAATCTTTTCAAAGAAAATCCTCAATTTTGAATCTAAAAAGATGAACAAGAATCCCCCCCCCCCAAATTTAATTTAGATTTCCTGAAATATGGGGGGGGTGGGGAATCACACAAAGCTTGCAATTTTTCATTTAAATAAATCTAAATTTTTTGATGTTACCTATACGAAGATGTACTATACATAGTATAAATATAACGTTACTAATCCACACCAACCCTATCACCAATCCTTTCAGACATAAATCTCAACCAGGCAGTTTTAAAAATCAAATTTCCTATATCTTTGAGAATAAACCCTAACTGAATCTAAATATATTCCTTGAATTGATATGATGGCCAGGTGTAGGAGGCCGGTCGACCAGGTCGAGATACACGCAGGTAGTTATCCAGACAACTCACACCCTTCACTACATCATAGAACACATCATGACTGTGTTTAGCGAAGAGTTGTTGAACCAGGCTGAGATCCTCTCCTGTCTCAAAGAGTAGAACTAAACCATTGTTGTTTCCTGCTCCTCGCATCCCACTCCTTATCTCCTAAACCAAAATAGAAGAATTATTAGAAATGAATAAAACATTAATTCAAGGGTCTTCTTATTTTGTCACAGGGACTTGAAACGTAATTTCAAATAACCCTCCATGCAAAGAGGAAAATGCCCGATTCACAACGGTATCTTAATCTTTTCAATAATGTCGAAAAAAACCTCGTTTATCTAGTGCTCGCGTTTAATGTATAATTTTGTTAATTTCTCCATAGTTCCAGGAGCAAGAAATGCGCAAGTCTCTATTGTCGAGAAGAGAGAAACAATTGGAAGGATTAAACATTCCAAAGAATGAATAGACAAAGAATTACTTCTAGATACATTTATGGCTCCATCTTTCAGTCCATGTGAGTCTCAGACTTTGACTCGAGCTATCAAAGGAATGCCAACAACATTCTCCATCTCTCGCGAAAACCAAATAGCAAAATTGTTTCTTTTTTTTAAACCGTGTATTACTATCTTTTCTGATTTGAATTCTTTTATTTCTGCTTTTATCTTGATCGTCGAGAAGAGAGAAACAATTAATAAATAATCTGTTTTCTTAAACAAAACTGTGAACACCCAACTTTATCAGATTTTTTTTAAGGGGAACGTTTGTGAATTGGGCAATGGGCATGCCACTCTAGAGAGAGTTACTTAAAATTACGTTTACAGTCCCTTAAAAGAAAAACTTACGTCCAGATAGTTAGCAAACTTGTCCATACTACTCTCCTCCATCTCTGCCTTCCTCCTACCGAACTCTGTACCCTGATGATAGTACTTGTTCCTCTCCGCGTCAAAAGTAAACCCTAGCTCTGAGAGTACTTGAGGTTTATCCATCAGTGCGATGGGAACCATCAGACACTCGTAGTCGGGGTCTTCCTCCTCCGGTAGGCCTGGGATATGGACAGAAATCTGCCAAACTACCAGACGTCCGTCAACAGACACGGTGTCAACAGCCACCGACATTAGAACATAACGCCGTTGAGGAAGTTGTGACTCAGTATTACCGCCGACGGGAACGGTTTCAATATGCGGCATAGGTCCGATAAACCCGTCTTCTTCTTCCCCGACGGCTCGAATAGAAAGTTTAGGGCTGGGGGTTCTGGGTTTAGGAACCTGATTAAAATAATCCAAGGATATCCGAACAATGTTTGTCTGATGTGTATCCAGATCTCCGTCTGTCAGCTGTCGTGGATATCTGTCGAAAGGAACTCCACGCATTATCTCCAGGAGATATCCATAAACTGTTTGTTCTGGTTCTCCTTCAAACTCAGGAGGAGGTGGGGTATAGTTCTTAACAGCGTCCTCTAGGGTCAGAATATTAAAGTCTGCTTTAGCCAAGGATTCAACATACAGCGCTGAAATCTCCCGCGCTTTCTCAATATCCACGTTTAGAGTCTGCACGAGATGAACACAAATAAACTTCTGAAGATCGCTGAACGATCTGATCGCAAAATCCAGACTTGACTCTCCCTTGTTCTGAATCCTGGGATCTTGAGCAGTTACTGGAGCTGGGAGTTGGAAGGCTGTGTGGAGGATGTTCTGCAGGGTGTTCGAGGACAAACCTTCTAGTCCATGGAGGTGGCTAGCGGATACAGATTGATGGTAATCCCGGCTGTGTTTACCGGTTATACTGTCCTGGATAAACTGACCAATATACCTAAAACATATATTTTTTAAAAATTCACTATACCATTATATTTTAATCTATTAAAAAACTTGGCACTGAGAATTCTTGGCTCATCTTACAGCTATAAAAATTGATCTAAAAATTGATCAAGTTCGAAACATTTGTGACTTTCAAAGGGCAGCCCCCCGTCAGACTATCTTAGTCAAACATTTACAGAATTTAGACTTCAAAGGCACCAGCTACCTCCCTTTTTTGGGGGGGAATTAGAATATTTTTTAAACACTGTTCTGTGAAAGTTTGTGGTAAACTTTCACAGAACAGTGTTTAAAAAATATTACTTAATTTTCAGGATGCGCAAAATATACAAGCGAGAAACGAAACAACTCATCGTTTTGCCGTATAATCTTCCCTCCGGGTTCAAATGTAGATAATAAAATCAAAATTTAAAAATTAAAGCTTTGGGNCCCAAATAATCAAAGCAATTACAACTAACCTGAAAAAGGATCCGTCCTTCAATAGATCAGCATCCATCCTATCCTTGATCTTCTTTGAATCATAATCCACCTCAATATTATCATTCATCACCTCCACCTTCATCTCGTCCACGAACCCCTCCACACCTGCCTCGTTGTCTCTCAGCATCTTCCAGAGCCTGGATTCCTTGAACCCGGCCTTCTCTAGTTTTAGAGCTATACGAACAGTACACTTCTCAGCTTTCTCCTGAACAAAATACATAACAACTTTCCCCCCAAACTTTCGACCATAAGAAAAATTGTCTTCAAAAATGATTTCCAAACAATCTAAGTTTGTATTTTTACGACAAAAGTTTAAACCAAGATATGTAATATTTCAATGATTTAAATAAACAATATTGGAAATTGGTTCAAGGCGAAAAGTTTGAAGATAAAAAATTTGTTTACATTTTCCTCGAAATTAAGAACTTTTACACATGTGATAGAAATAAGACCATTTTGTAATTTGGAATTTTTTTGTTGAAAAACAGGAATAAAAGAAATAAAATTCTTATTAATATAACTTTAACAACAGAGAAATTGAAGGAACCGAAAATGAATCATAAAAGAATCATGATTAAAAATAAAAACCAACCTTTAAATCTTCCTCCTCCGAATCCGCCCGTTTCTTCTTTCTCTTGAGAAATATTCTATCCTGCATCAAACATCCAGCGACATATTTCCAAATATCCTTCTGAGCAATCTCCATCCTCTTTTTCTCCTTGTTCGACAAGGGTTTTAGGTCCCTCTCCCTTGAACTCCGCTCCAGAGACTCATCAACACTGATCCCTGTATGTATCTCAGGGTCCGGAGAATACTGCGGACCACGAGCTATGGATGGTTCGAAGAAATGAGGGATCTGAGGAGTATGTTCTGAGGGATAATCAACTGTAGGGAAAGCGGCATCTATATAGTTGCTCTGATGCTCAGGGACAAGGTTTAGAGGCGGGGGTCGGGATGGATCAAAATCTGCCAATGGTTCTCTTTTATCTCGTGGTAGCTCACGTAGGTTTGAAGTCACGCCGATCTTAGAAATGAACTCTTGAACCTTATCTTCCCACGAGCTAGCTCTGGTTCCGGTTTCTCTGGTATCAGTGCTGTATCTTCTGTTGTAATCACGGCTCTCGTATCTTCTCTCTCCGTATTCTCTCTCTCTACTGTACCTCTCTCTATCTCTCCAATCTCTAGAACGATCTCTAAGCTGTCTAGGACTGCGACGATCAAGATCTCTTCTGCGGTCTCGAGATCGACGTCTGTGTCTGGAGTCCACATCTCGAGTTCGGGACCCCTGTGGGGATCTTGATTTCACCGATCTGTAGTCAAGGCGTTCTCTTGAGTCTCTTCTATCCCATCCATTCCTCCTGGGATCGAACTCATCTACAGTGTGTCTCCGTTCCTTTATAGGAGTTTTCTCAGTCTTGCCAGCAGTCTCAGAAGCAATCTCTATTAGTCTATCTTCAATACGAGAATTGGTTTCGGATACAGCTTCTTCTTTCGCGATTTGTGATGCATTCTCAGCAGATTCATTGATTGGTTGTGTTGCAGATTCTTCAGTGTTTTTTATCTTATCAATCTCAGTTTCTGATTGTTTGGTGGTTTCATTGTCAGCTTTCATGTCCGAAGTTTCTTGCTTGTTAGGAGAGATACCTGGAGTAGTAACTGCTTCTGTTAGAGATAATTCACGTCTCTCTCGTTTTGAAGGCGTTCTTTCTCTCCTAGAGGGGGTTCGTTCTCTTCTGTAAGGTGGTCTGTCTCTTCTGGAAGGTGTTCCGTCTCTTCTGGAAGGTGTTCTGTCTCTTCTGGAAGGTGTTCTATCTCTTCTGGAAGGTGTTCCGTCTTTTATAGGTGTTCTGTCTCTAATAGGTGTTCTGTCTCTAATAGGAGTTCTGTCTCTTCTAATAGGAGTTCTTTCTCTTCTAATGGGAGTTCTTTCTCTTCTTATGGGAGTTCTTTCCCTTCTCCTATTGGAAGTCCTCTCCCTTTGTTTGGATGGTGTTCTTTCTCTTTTACGACTAGGTGTTCTGTCTCGTCGATCTCTATGTTTCTCCTTCCTAACAGGCGACCTGCTGTAATCTTTGTTGCTGCGGGAGTGATCTCGTTTATCCTCGTTCCTTTCTTTAGACTCAACACCGTGCTTATGTTTTCCTTTTTTCTCCTCGTTTTCTTTTTTCACTGGAGATCCAGAACCTACCTGATTTTTTTCTTCATGTTTTTTAACCTTTTTCTTCTCCTTACGTTCCACTTGTTCAGATTCTTCTGCCACCTTAGGTATCTTAGCCAGGTTCTCGGCGTTTTCTTTCACAAGGTTTTCCATCTCCTGAGTAGGACTGCTCTGGTTTGCTACACTGGGAGAGAGACTGAGACTAGTTCCAGATAGAGGAGAGTCTGATACCTTACTCTCTGCTCTCCTAGATACTGATACAAGTTTTTGTTCTAGAGTTTCTCCGTTGAGAACAGAGCCAGTCGATATACCGCTGTCTACACGGGATTTTCGGCCTTTTGGATCTTGGGAGTCGGTCTCTGCGTTTATCTTCTCCGTCAACTCTTCGGTTGGAGTATCCTCACTTTTAAACTTTTTCTTTGAAAGTTTTTTGTCTTTGGTTTTCTTCTTTTTCTTCTTTTTAACCTTTTCCTCGGAATCTACTGCAGACTTCTTCTTCTTTGGTGTGATCTCTACGGAAGACACGGAACGAGATTTTCTTTGTTTCGCTTTTTTGGGACTTACTTTAGGAGAGAGTTTTCTTTTTCTCTCTGACCTGTCTCGTGACCGATCCCTTTTCTCTGACTCTGACATCTTCTCTTTCAACGGTTTTCTGCTAGCGGAGCTGGATACAGGACTATGATGAGATCTCTCATATTTATCCCTAGAAGGATCTCGGCTTTTTCGCCGTCTTTCCCTGGACTCGGAGCGTCTAGCTTCTCGTTTATACTCGTCTTTTTTCTCGGACTTTTTGTTCTCTTTGTCCCTGTGCTTCTTGGAGTCCCTGGAGTACTCCTCTGTAGAAGATTTATTATCTTCATCCCATCTGCTCCGGTCCGGTTTTACATCAACCTTGATTAAAATTATAAAAACGTGTGGAACACACATGTGTATTTTTTCATATGTAAACTTCGAATGAAGTAGCTAAAAAAGAAAGCCATGGGGTGAAAATAAACAAAAAGGCAAGTTTTTGTTATGCTCCGTTGAATACTTTTAACCCAAAAGTTGAGAGAATCTTTCAAAAAAATAAATACACATAAAAACTTGCTATTGTTTACCCCCTAAGACGAACGAAAAAAGAAGAACGGCAACAAATAATAACACATTTTTTAAAATAAATTTACTAAAACTCGAAAAAGTACTTAATAAGAATAAAAACAACAAAAAAAAAAATAAGATTCAAAATGATAAAATATTTTTAAGTGGCTGAGTAACTTCTTAGACAGGTTAGTTTATCATTTTGAAGTAATCTGTATTATCATTTTACCGTTTTTTCTCTCAAACATAACCGACCTATGATTCCCCATCAGAGGGACGTTAGATTACTTTACGTCCCTTGGGACAAGTAAGTAAAATAACGACCCGCTCAGCGAAGTTTTCGCGAAAAAAATTCGCATTTTCTTCTCATCCGATAAAATTGTATACAACTGTTTTTTCGGGAAATTAAATTTGTTACTTAACTTAATTTACCTAACTTGAAATTAGTTATCGCTTTGATAGAATACAACAAACATCTAATGGATAGGTTTATGAATGCATAAAATAGATATATGACGACAATAGGCTTTGAATAAAGAGAAAAAACGCACATAAAGCTGGAAAATTTAAAATCAATAAAGTTTGAGTTTGTAGGATAGTAAAATAAAGAATTAATATCGGCAACTGATAAGAACATTTATCAGATATTAAACATAAACTCTCAATCTCTAAATACCTTCTTCTTCTCCAGTTTAGATCGAAGATCTTCTCCGGACTCACTCCTACCCATCCCACTTTTGGACTCCTTCTTTCCTCCTTTCAATCGTTTCCTCAGCTGCTCTCTCAGGTCTCCAGAGGACCCAGAGCGGCGACTCTGAATTTATTTATTGATAAATTTAGGAAAATTAATTAAAACCTAAATCTTAATTATCAAAAATGAAGAAAATAGTTAATGGTTGTGTCGAAAAAATACTCGAGAAAAAAATATTGCTCTGTATATCATTTTACTCAAAAATAATTTATTTCCTCAAAACCAGCGATCAAATTCTCAAGAAATTATTGAGATATGTGCGAAATTTATTATGTGCACAAAAAAATAGTTTTGAACATTGAGGCCGAATATACATACATCTTGTTGTAATTTACATTAAATTTTAACTAGTCATCTAGAATCTAGATATAAACCCCTGAGTAGACATTAATGTTACATCAAAAATTCCAATGATAGAAGAGTTCAATTACCTCTTTCGGCTGATCACGAACGGTTACGTTCCGCATTATATCATTTCAAAATTTTAATCTGAAAAAAAAACTATGTTGAGGACATAAGAATTTAAGAAAAAAGTAATAAGCATTAATAATACTGTAAATTGTGAGATATTAAGTTTAAAGTTCAATTAAGATATATGATAACCAGCACTTGCGCGCCTCGGCCTTAATATGACAGGAACGTTGACGGGGGTTGACAATTTTTTAACTTTACTAGATTGTGCACTTCTAACATTAGATTTCCGCTTAACAGCCTTGGGATCTTTCACTGGTAGAGTTTCATTCTTGACCTTATTGGAGGCAGACTTTGTAGGTTTACATTCTTTAACTTCTTCTTGGAGTTCAGTCTTGACATTAGATTTACGTTTCACAGTCTTGAGTTCTTTCACTGGTTGGGATTTTTTTTTCTTAATCCTTGATTTAGGTTTAATAGGTTTGTATTCTTCAACCTCTTCCGTTATTTCAGTTTTTACTTCTATCTTGATAGCCTTAATTTCTTCTCCAGATTGAGGGATTTGAGATCCTTTCTTTCCTTTCCTACCCTTTTCTTTCTTAATCTTAGGAGCCATGGGGCCTGGTTCACCAGTAAACCAAATAGTTCTTTTATTCCCATCTTCCAAGTTTCTCATTCCCTCAACGTAATAACACCGGAGCCAGCTAGTGAAAGAAGCCTGTGATTTCTGACTATCCTCGTTTGAATATTCCTTTCCAGAATCCAAGTCTAGAACCTCTTTTGGAACCTTACTGCATAGTTCTAGGATGTCAATCCCATCTTCGGTTTTAATCTCTCCCAGAGTTTCTAGGACAGCTCTAGCCTGGTCAAAGGGTCTAATTCCAGCTCTGAACAAAATTTCAGCTCTCAGATAATTCCCAATACCGTTGAAGAATTTCTGGTTTAACAATGCTTCACAGATTGGTCGGTTAAAGGCTGGATTCTTCAAGTTCTTCAAAATATTCTCTCTGAAGTCTGAATATTGAAACATTGGATCCGGACCTCGATCTTTCCCCCAATCTCCTTCTATCTCCCATCTCCCAAACCTACGGTAATCTACGAAACAAAGCGCCATGACAGGAGTTGAGTCGACAGTGTAAAAGCGTAAATGCGCATGATTTGGGAGATCTGAAGCTTCTGCAAGTTTAAAACAGCCTGACATACCAAATCTGAACAACAGATGAGTTTTAGAACTCAGAGATTTGGCATCCTCCAGATGTATTTTCAACTCTTTACCCCTAGTCTCAGCTCTGATTTTATATTCTGTTGCCGTCCATTCCAAAGTAGGATTCTTCGTCGATACTTCGGATTTCTCAATCACGCCGCCGAACTTAAACCTTGCAGCTGCCGCGTTTATAAATCTTGCTGCAATGTGCAATTCCGGGCCCTCCGGCATTTTTGTCTATGTATTTGAAAAAATGACTGAATAAATTTCATGGGAAATTTCTTAATTTTAAATGGTGAAATACATTTGCTGTCTTTTAGTGAATTTGAAAATAAACTTGGCTTATACTGTTTCTGGGCCGAGAGTTGCGGCTAGAACAGGCTGGGGGCCGAGCGCTGCTGCCACATGACCAACTTTATCCATGTGTTCAATGTGAGGGGGGTCAAAAAAATCGTTCCTAGCAAGTTTCAGAGGACTTATAATAATAAATAAATTCTGAGCAGTGAGCAGAGCTAAATTAGGTTAAACCAATTCCTGAGCTGAGCAATATGGCTAGGACATGCTAGAGGAGCCGGAAGTAAATTCCTTGTGTACCCTCTCCTCTCTTCAATTTAGTACATGGATCTTATGTGTAAGACATGGATGTAATTGACCATGTGACCGCAGCGCCCAGCCCCCTATCCTGTCCTCGAGGCAGCGCTTGCCCCAGAAAGTGTATTAAACTAACCTAATCCTAACGTAATACCAAATAACTTAAAGTTAATGGTTATGCACAATATTATTAAGAGTCTAAAACCTTAAACATTTTCAAGAACAGGTTCGATGATCATGTGAAAAATGTCGAGCATATATAGTGAAAAATATCAAGTTTAAGAATCGCTTTTTATTACTAAAAATGGTATTTAAGCGAAACCAGAACAATATAACAATATAACAATATATTAGGAGGGGGGACCAAAAATCGTATACTGGAACGGACCCAAGACACATATTCAACATTTAATAATTTACAAGAAGGGGGGGGGGGCGCCGGGGCGGGGTCCATAAATCTCTCCGGGAAATGGCTGTACCGGATAATACTTCTATATATAAATTTGGCTTGTCTGTCTGTTTGTCTGTTTGTTTGTTTGTTTGTTTGTATCCAATTAACGTCAAAACGGCTGAACCGATCGGGCCCAAATTTTTTGTGGGACATCTAGGGACCCCAGGGAAGGTTTATGAATGATTGAAATTTTAAAAATTTGTGTTTTAAAGGTTTTTAATTTTGTAAAAAAAATTAAATTTTTGAAAATCCACGAATTTTTTTTAAAAATCCGCAAAAATTTTTCATCGTTGTTTTGAAATGTAAACAAAAAGAACATGTTCACAATTAAAATAGAAGATCGGCGCGAAGCGCCCTAAAAGCCTAGAAAGAAGGGCGCGAAGCGCCTTGAATTTCTAGTACGGGTATATTCCTAGAGAACGATTTTGTGGAAACCCCCCTCCCCGCCCCCTTCCTGTCAATTTTGTACAGGGCTCTTATATGTTAGACATGGATATAATTGACCGTGTGGCCGCAGCGCTCGGCCCCCTAGCCTGTCCTGGCCGCAGCGCTCGGCCCAGAAAGTGTCTTGGTAATTTCCTACAGAACGATTTTTGGACCTTCCCCCCCCCGTTCCCTAGGACAGACCCAATGTCTTAACTAACCTAACACGTGGCCGCAACGCTCGGCCCCGTATCCCATCCTAGCCGCAGCGCTCGGCCCAGAAAGTGTCTTAACCTAACCTAACCCTAAATAATGCTAAATAAATAGTAATAACGTCATGTACAAAATTGATAGGAGGGGGGGGGGGGCTGGGGGGCCAAAAATCGTTCACTAGGACGGACCCTACTTATGTACGTTAAAATAAACGTTAAAAGGTGGCATTACGAGCCCAATACTTAGTCTGACGCAATTTTACCACCCAACACCCCAACTCGTTTCTTGTGAATGAAATTAATACAAAGATTTCATTTGCGATGTGGACCCTAACAGTACGAAAAAGCGACCGATATAAATATAAGGAATTATTTAACCATAAACACTAATAGTTTGACATAAATTACTGGTATTGTCACACTCCAAGTTAACTTACATTCACAACAAATCATGAAAAAGCTCGTCAGACAGTATTTTCAACGATCACGAACTAAGTATGGCCGCCTTGTGAGGAGGTTGAAATCGATCTGCGCACAGTAAAGGAACAAACTGGCAGCCATTAATACACGTGGATTTTAAAAATAATGGAATATGAACAAATTATTCAGAATAAAAAAGGCACATTTAGCTTTGGAATGCAAGTTTAATAACTTCAACAAAATTCCGTAATATATATTTTTTTAAATCGTGAAAAACTTCTTTCTTTTGATACTTGGCAACAATTTTAGGAACATACTGGACGCCATTTCTTGTTAAATGAACAAAAGATTAAGAATTACATTATTGCCAAAAGCCGGTCCGGGCAACAACAAACCATGGCCGCTAAAACTAACATATTTGGGAAACAATAAAATGGACTTAATTAGTAGAACGATCTTTTTCGTCATTTTACGCCAACTAATTCACTATTCAGCCGCCAGCGACAAATGCGACTGTGAGTTGTCAGTAATTACGAATCGATGCCAACCAAACTATTAAGTCCTAAATTCTTGGACCTTTGTTGGAAAACAGTCTCATTTATTCTGAAATGGGTAGTTTCTAAAAAACCTATATTTTTTAAGAGAGTTTAACTATCCCTGTGGGCTTTCTCCGTAACTTATGCCGCGTATCGTATTGATACGCAATTGAGAAATCTCACGTAAAAATACTTTTTGCGCATGCGCAGAAGAAACTAAAATTCCATTTGTCCAATCAGATATCGCAGTTTTTCCGCCAACCAATAAAGATATTCTAAATGGAGACCCGAGACTCTAAATGATGTTTACAATTACAAATTATTTGCGGAAGTAAAAGTAAGTTACTTGTATTTTTCTCCTCGTTAGTGCAGGGTAGATCTGGTAATTTCCCAGAGAACTTAAATATAGGAAATCTTTCAGATTTTTTTAATGTTTTCAGACAAAAATTTTAAAATGAACTGAAAATGCCAGAAGAAGAAAGATCTGTTCCTGTCTCTCTCCCTGAAAATCTGAGTTGGATGGATCACCTTCAAGAATTGGATGGAGGAGTAGCTCACCAGAATGGATTTGCCGGATGGGGCGGAGGATTTTCCTCCCATAGTTTTCCATACTATCCGGCATATCCGTCAACACACCATTATTTGAGAAAACCCTTTCAATCCACCGACTCAAATGGCGATTCAGTTAGAGTTGCTCTCATGGGCAATGGAGTTGGGCAATATCAAAATGAAGTTTCCAAACATGTGAACAGAGATGGCAACCAGGTGAACGGAGCTGGTTACAATTGGAATGGAGTTACTAACCACGTAAATAAAGATGACAACCATATGAACGGGATTGGTAACCATTTGAATGGAGTTAACAACCATGTGAATGGAGATAACAACCATATTGATGGAGTCAGCAACAATGTGAATGGAGTTAGCAGCCATGCAAATGGAAATTTAGTTTATAATGGAAACATGATCAGTCCAGAGTGTGAACAATCTAGAAATAATCATGCAATCCAGAATGGAATCATAAATTTACAATCTACTAACACACAACAGTCTCTAATTGCTCATCCTCAACCTAATTATCAAATGCAACAACAGAAAGGTAACCCAGAATCAATCAATTTTATTTAACTATAAAAAATCTGTTAATACAAGATTATTAGAATAAAAAAGTAATAATTCATATTTAATTTGATCAAACTGAAAATATTGGTAATTTCCTAGAGAACGATTTTTGGATCCCCCCCCCCTCCTCCTATCAAGGTCGCACATGGTTATAATTGGTCATGTGGTCGTAGCGCCCGGCTCCTTAGCCTGTCCTAGCCGCGGCGCTCGGCCCAGAAATTGTCTTAACTTAACCTAACCCTAAAATATTAAAAAATAAATAATAATCATTTAGCTTAAATTATGGGGGGGGGGGGAGGGTCTAAATCGTTCTCTAGGTCAGACCCAAATATTTTTCATATGGTGTTATTGAAGGTCTGTAGATGTAGTTTTAAAAAACCCTCCATTTATCGAGTGTCACTTCTGATTCATAATGTTACCCTATTAACCCTTGTCTGATCTTCAATGGTGGAACAAATTATTATTTTTCTCACTAAGAATTGAGAGCATCTGCCAAGAAGGAAATTACAATATTTTAAAACATAACAGCTAACATGCACACTTAGAGGGTTAGATGGTACCATTGCAAATCAGACTATCTATCTACCATGAGGAGTTACTTGAAATTACCTCTAAAGTCAAATTTCTATTATCCCACGAAATTTATTGAATGAACATTAATTTCAGTTTCTGCTTACAACTGGACTCAATATATTAGTCCAAAGAAACCTTGTGAATCTCTAGCTAGTGAAACCAACTCTGATGTAAATACTCCAAGAATAAATTTGAAATTAAACCGTGATGAAAATGGAGGATGGCAATTTTCACAACCCTGGACTCAAAATGAGAACAAGTACAAAACTGAAAACAGTTTGAATATCCCCCTAAGTCCAGGAGCTGGTCCTATAAAATATGAAATTAATCCGCTTAAAAGACAACATGATTCTTACAATTGGAGCCCAGATATTAAACCTAAAATTGAACCAGAAGTAAAATCCGAATTTAAACCATTGAAAGCTAATCCAGAATCTGTGAAAACAAATCCCAAGGTACACATCGAATATTTTTTTTCCATGGCTACTGGGGTTGTAAATGCAAAATCATTTATAAGAGTTAAAATGGCAAACATTCAAAAGCATAATTTTAAAGGGTAAAGCTTTTCATAGTATCTTATGACTTTTTAAACTGATGTTGCTATCGTTGATTGGAATTGTTATTTATTGCTAGTGGGCATTTCAAACCTTTTCTCTGTTTTCCAAAAAATAAAGCTTTTTAAAATCATATAACAACCCCTGTAATAGAAGAAAACAACAATACAATATATGCAAAACACGATTTTTCCGGAAAACGTTTATTTTTTACTTTTTTGATTTACTATCTAAAATGAGATTTTCCAAAAATACTGTTAATTTTGTTCCTCTAATCCGAACCTACTCATTTTCCAGGATTCTCCACGGAAGGTTTTGAAGTGTCGGCTAGACGCAGATAAGTTGGGAGATATGAGAAAATCTATGGAAACCGTTCCAATTCGAATACTGGAGAGAGATCTTAAATATTTTTCTCCGGAGGAACAGACTCAGTTATTGGAGAAAAAGAAATCACTCAAGGTAGAAAAATGTAAAAAATATAAATTATTTAATATATAGAATTGAGGGGTTAAAGACAAAATCTAGAAAATATTCAATTAATGATAAAAATACTCAGAAAAGGTTTAAAATTAAACAAACAAGTAAGATAATAAAATCAAGAGAAAAATCTTTAGAAGATATTATAAATAGAAAAAGAAATTAACCAAGATAGTTAAAATAGTAAAAGTGAAGTAAATCAACCAATCAAATGTAGAAATAATAGATAAAGGAATTAACTAAGGAGTGAATATTGAAACACTCTAGGTAGTGGAGAAAATATTGCTCCAAAAGTAAATTTGTCTAATTACTCGAAACCTAATTTAAAAGATGAAAATATAAATTCCAGCGTTTCGGTCGTTTAGATATAATGGTGTTTGTAAACTGTATAGCATATAGATTAATATTCAAGATCCTTATTTAACATTTAAACTTATAGACGAGGGGAGGAAGGCCAGCCACAATTTCTAGTCCGAGCCACATTATCCTCATTTTATCGTCCGAGACACCTCAAAATCCTCGTCCTTCAAATATTATTTTTTCAAAGTGTAATCCTCCCAGATAAAACTAAATAAAGTTTGACATCATTCTCATGGGTGTATCATTGCAACACTTTAGTCCATCCATATGTTATGGCCTAACGTGGACACATTTTTAAAAGTAGTTTTATCTTTAAGAATTGGAAACGTTAAATCACATAATAAGCGAAGGACTAGGATTCCGAGGTGGCTCGGAAGAGAAAATTGGGAGAATATGGCTCGGACGAGAATTTGGTGTGGCTGGCCTTTCTTCCCTCGTCCAGAGGGTGTCGTATCGTTTGCACTAATGATTGATCGGACTAACGTACATTCGCAATAACGTTCATTCGGACTAACGTTTAGTGCGACTGAACAACTGATTGTTCAATCAAACTAAAAACCACATGGAAGGTTTTTTGAGCACGTGGAGAACATTTTTTTTAAATTCTAGCGGAATTCGGTTCATTTAATTAATTAGTTCCATTGAACATTGTAGTGGGAATGAACAAAAAAATGTTCAATCGAACTAAACTCTAAAATTTTACAATTTGCCCATAAAATATTAATTAGTACTTATGAACATCTTTTAGTGTAAATGAACAAAAATTTGTTCAATCGAACTAAAATCTAAATTCACCATTTGCCCACAAAATAGTATTAGTAAAAATGAACATATTTAGTGCAAATGAACAAAAATATCTTCAATGGAACTAAAATCTAAAATTATCATTTGCCCATAAAATATTATTAGTACAAATGAACAAAAAAATGTTCAATCAAACTAGAATCTAAAATTTTACGATTTGCCCATAAAATATTATTAGTACAAAAGAACATACTTTAGTGCAAATGAACAAAAATATGTTCAATCGAACTAAAATCTAAAATTTCACCAATTACCCATAAATTAACAATATAATGGCACTAATATTTCCAGAAAAAAAATCAGTCCATTTGAAATTTTTTTTTTGGGACATGTTCATTCGTACTAACGTTCAATTGCACTAATATTTACAGAAAAAAAATTAGTTTCGTTTGAAAATTTTTTTTGGACATGTTCATTTGTACTTACGTTCAAGTGCACTAATATTTACAGAAAAGAAAAATTAGTCCATTTTGAACGCTTTTTTTTGAACATGGTCATTTGCGCTAACGTTCAATTGCACTAATATTTACAGAAAAAAAATTTAGTCCGTTTGAACAAATTTTTTGTTGAAAATGTTCATTTACACTAACGTTCAATTGCACTAATATTTACAGAAAAAAAATTAGTGCGCTTGAACAAATATTTTTAGTATTCCAGATCAATTGCACTAATGATCATTCGTACTAAAATATTCCTGGCGGGAAAATAAAATTTTAGTTCAATTGAACACAGAAAACCAGATTTTCGTTTATTTGCACTAATGTTAGATCGTACTAAAAACCGGTTACTGATCAGCTGACTTTAGTGCAAAAGTACGTTAGTTCAAACGATATAGCATCGTCCAGAGTTTAAATAAAAGTTCAATATTTAAGTAGCAACTCATTATTTTACAGAACTTTTAAACTTTAACTTAAACTTCGCGCATTCTTTAGTTTTAGACTCAGGTTGCCAAGATATAGAGATTAGAGAATTTAAGAATGTGTCGAGAATCAATTCCTTTAAAAAGTGTATAGTCATTAAGAAACAATATTTTTAGGATGTGTTCCCTGCATGTGACTGTAGGGGTAGAGAAAATGGTCCTTGGTATACGCATCTAGGATACGCAGAGAACCCACAAGAACTCAGGTACGCACATTTTATCATGATTTACACAATCTCATTTTTAAAGTACATTTGATGTTGTTACAAAGCAAGTAGTTTTACTTGTGCGTTATCAAATCACTTATTTAGTGAAATGGACCGTGTACACTGCACAATTGTTGTGCCTTATGTACATGAACATGAGTCTAAAAGTCGACTTCCTTTTCACAGTTTTCTAGTTATCACTGTAAATACAAGCATATGAATTTATGCAAAATCTTTGAAATGTTACATATGCACTAAATATGAACTGTGTTATATTGCATAAAAAGAAGAAAATTATTTCTCTCACCCTCGGAATATACATTTAGGCTAGACTTATGCAAACTAGGAATTTCTTCTAAACATTTAAATCTTAAACACTACATGTCTCCGAAATTTAGAGTTAAATAATGAATAAATAATAAATCTATTTCCTTAGGAAGCAAATAGAAGATAGGGTTGGGGAGTCAGGAGATTCAATCAGATTTATCCAGGTTCAACTTGCAGGTAATCATCATAAACTCATTATTTCCAATTTTTGCTAATTTTCAACACTGAACTGGGTTCATAGAAAAATGGTTTTTTGTTCTAAATCTGAAAAAAGTTAATATTAACTGAGAATTTAAGTTCTAAATTAAACTTTAAGGATAATTTCAAGTGACCCTTTAATCAAAGATGGCATGTCCTATTCATAATGGTACCATAAACAGCTTTGTCTGATCAAGTATGACTTAGATATCAATATTTATAATTTTGAAAACAGATTATTAATGTTTATAATTTTTATAAATGGACGATTTTAATTGTGGTTTCTTTTCTAAAGTGACTTGCGCATTTCTACTGCAGGAAAACAAAGGAATTATCAGAATTAAACACTTAAAAACCGAGAAAAAAGAACGGTATCTTACATATTATTGGTCAAATAAAGGTTTCATGGGTACCGTTGTGAATCGGGCAGTGCCATCTTTGCATGTATGATCAATTGAAATTACACTTTCAGTCACATTTTTTAAAGATTTCTTTGTGTTATTTTTCGTGTAGATTTTACCATTATCTTTTAAAAAATGTACTCTTTAACAAAATTTGGAATTCATGTAAAATACAGTTGGAATTTATGTACTCAATAACTTTTAAAATACAGTTGGAATATATGTACTCAATAATATTTAAAATACAATTGGAATATATGTACTCAATAACCTTTAAAATACAGTTGGAATATATGTACTCAATAACCTTTAAATACAATTAATAACTAGGATACGAGGGAAAATCTGCGGAACAGTGCCCAGTTCCAAAATGGGTAGTTCGTCGATCAAGCAAACTGGAAAAGTTTGTGGTCGTCTTCAAAACCAGGTATTTTTTATTCGATTATTTATTTATGATAAATGTTTTATGAAGGTGGTGGTTGGTGGGAGGGGGAAATTTCTAAGCACATCGATTATGGTGTTTTTTTTTGTTTTGAAGGAGTTTGAAAAAAGAAAAAAATAGCTAATTTGACCCAAATCAGTGGATGTTTTATCTTTAGACCTGGACATGAATGTAAAAGTGCTTGTATTGTTGTGGCACTTCTTCAGTATGATGCTCTGGACAGTGGACTTAGTGCCCAGGCCTACTCTAGTATAACTAGTATTACAAATGCAAATATAGGTAAAGAAAACTTTTTTTTCTATCGTATTAATTTTTTATAATTGTAAGGCAATTCCTTAAAGAAAAAATATTTAACCATTAAAGTTTGCATTTAAAATTTTCAAGAATGATCAGGTCTTTCCAAATTGATAAAAAAAACATTTAACATGCATTTCACCTTCATCTTTGACTGTAGGGTGTACACTGTACAATGTACACGAGTCCCCTCTATTACAGACCCTACAGCACTTAAGTGTTAGACATAATTGTTTCATTATATTCTATTTCCTCATAATCCAACGATATTACATATTCTTCAAGTGTTTATATCTTTTAAGATTGAACTGAATCTTATAATTAGAGACATCCAATATTTACAAGGTTGATTTTGATATATATTTCTCTTTATATTTCCAAGATCCAAGATTGATTTTGATGCAATTCTCCTCGAAGAAAGGAGATAAATAACACTGATCTACATTATTTTTTCTTATTTCTTATTTCTTGTTTATTTTTTTAATTTTTACTTGCATTTTGTTTTCTCTCCTGTATTTGATAGTAATGTACGAAAAGTACTTTACAAAGGCAAATTTTATTGTCATGTTTGCTGCTCAATACTAAATTACATGTCTTCAATAACAGAGCTGTCGAAATTTAAGATCTCAAATTTTATATATTCCTGAGCAAGTAGAGAGTATATAGCGAAAAGCCATTTGTTTAACCCTGTGATTTTTGGTTATCTCTATACATAACCCCGTGATTTTTGGATAACTCATGTATAGAGCTAATTGCTTTGTGTTTTTTAAAAAAAAATTTGAAGAAGAAAAATATTGTATAATCTAGGAACCGAAACCAAACGTGCCTGTGGAATAAATGCCGAAAGAACGTGTAGATGTCAGGTATAAAATTATCATCTTGCTTTTTAAGATTGAAAAAAAAAATATTTTTAATTGATTTTATTTGTGTTCAGGGAACTAACAGTTCTCTGGCTGGGCAAAGTTACACATGGGGGTGTAGTAATTCTATTTATAATTATGATCTCTGCAAGTTCTCCCGAGCTCGAGACCCAGCTGAGGTAATAAATTTACTCTTACTTTAACTAAATCATTTCTATTCCAAAACAAAGTGATAATTGACTTTATAAAACCCTCCTTTACATCTTGAATTATTCCTCCGGACGTATCAGCTGTGACGAAATTTGTGAAACCGAGCATGGATCGCAGTACACAGTTCACATTACAATGCAATTGCACACTGGAAGAGAATTCACTTACAGCCTGCTTGTTGTGAGGATGTGTCCAAGGTAGATTCCTTAACCCTAGAACGGAACCGATTTCAGTCCCTAGATTCCTGAAATTGAGTCCTAGATCTGTGAGCAGCTCCGTCTCCGGTCTTGAGTCTGTCTGTTCTAGGCTGGTCTACGGTTGCAGTCCCAGTCCTGAGAGCATCTCCGAGTTTAGAACTAAGTCCATGCGATGAGTGATTCTTAGTTCTGACTGTCATGAAACCAGCTCAAACCAGAGATTATCGTATATCTCGTTACTAAACCTGTAAATATTCATTCGTATATGTGTACTGCGTAAAAATCCAGATTTTGCTAAAACTTAACATTAAAGTACCAACCTCTGTTTATAGTTTTCTTACAACGTTTTTGTGTTTTAGGTTCGTCAGTTCAAGCTGGACAATAAGCCTACGGAGCTAGAGGAGCAGCTCAAATGTGTAATCGACAAGGTCGCAGATTCTGTCGCTGTAAAGCACAAGGTTTCTATTTTTTTACATTTTTATTGAATCTAAAGCATCATTCAAATTTTGTTATTAACTGATTCTTGTTTTATATTATAGGTCCTAGCCCCAGATTGCTATAACAACATGGCACTATTTGGTAATTATGGTTGCCGAATAGGCACAGGGAACGACCGGCCCTATAGCGGAGTTACCACAGTCGTCGATTTCTGCGCCCACGCGCACGAAGACAAATCTAACATGATCGGCGGCTGTACTGCAATTATAACGCTTACTAAGCCGGAATTGAGACAGGATTTGAGAGGTGAATAAAAATTAATTTCTTTAAACTTAAAATCAATTAAAACGTTTCCTCGACTTGAAGTGTGTGCAAGCGGAAAATGCTATTAGAATTAGATCAAGCTTAACATTGAATTGAATTTTTTTAACCTCAATTCGAAGCTTTTGGAATGAGAATAAGTAAAAAAGTGCCAATTATGGGTTTTCTAATCTACGCCATTTTTCATTTTCCGAGAACCCTTTTCTTTTACTATTTTAAAGCAAGTCTGTTCCATGCAGGAGTTTAAAGAAATGGAAACTCGATTTTCGTTTCATAAGTTTAACTTTAAAAAATGAAAAACCTCTCTTTTGTCAACAATAATTTTAAAAGATTCTAATTTATATATTTATTAGGACCCAATCCTGTTGGCGGAGGGAGTGGCGATGCTAGGGTTAGGGATGACGATGATGAACAACTTCACTGTCTTCCCCTCTATCTACCCTGTGCTACAGAAGCAGAGCTGGAGGCTTCTGTAGCAGACGGAGGAATAGAAATATTAAATAAATTTAAGAAAAAGGTAGATCAATATTTACGGGAAAAAAAACTTTTCGATTCATTATTTTTCGGAGAGTATTTTATCATTGAATCGAGGAAATAATTATATTCAAGGCTAAATAAAATTTCATTAAAAGTGAAAGAGAAAAAACTTGAAATTATATTATTCCAAAAATATTCGAAAATCTTATTATTATTAAAACCTTTTTTTGGTTTAAAAAAATGCACAACACATTATATTTCAAACAAAAAACTTATTTTGATCTTGAAAATAAAATAAAAAGGTTCAAAAATCGTTTTACTATTATAAACTAGGAAAATTAACAACAAAACTTTCAAGAAAGATCAAATTATGAAACGAACGAGAGTTGAGTAATTTTAACTTGATGATATCGTTAAAACAAACCTTTGTTTAGGTGGTTGTTGGATCCAAGACTAAAAGCTGCAAAGCTCAAATGAGAGCACCAAAAAGTAAAGAAGTGGGAGAAGGTTCCCCACGGAAGAGAATAAAGAGGGAGGAATGGATTACAACTAGTCCAGCTGAACAGTCTCCTTCCCAACCCCAGTCCCCAACACAGCAGGAGAATGTCCAGGTTCCGATTTTCAAAACCGTGCTTATGAATCAAACTTTAAGTAATTCAGGTACAGAGTGATTTTTATTTGTTGAAATTAAATTAAATATTTGTTGCAGGTTTATGAGTCTGATTGTCATGAAGTGTTTGAAAGTCCTGAGATGGGTGGGGTTGCCTTCTCCCTCCCTCATGGCAGCATGCTCTTGGAGGTGGCTAAACACGAGCTCCACGCCACAACTGCATTGAAAAACCCAAACCGATTACATCCAACTAGGATCGGTTTAGTTTTTTACCAACACTTTAATCTTCACTTTAGCACACACGCCAAGGATGTTTATGTCGACAAACAGATGAGCAGCCATTATCAGAAGTATGTTGATTGGTTAGCGGGAGATTTTGCTCCAATTGCTTGTCAGCTGAAAACACTTTCAGCTGTTGGTTTTGTTTTCCCGCCAAATATTCGACTGAAGAATACAAAAGGGGAGAAAATGTCGGAGAAGAACCGTTTTAATCCTCAGGAATTTCCCGGATTTACTCCAGGGAGAATTGTTGATGGTGTTTTTACTCTGATTAATGGCTCACAAACTTCAGAGTCCCAAGCACGAGAACCTTTGCTGCAATCACAATCCGGGAATTCTCCGACACAACAATCAATAAATTGTCAACCTCAGCAGTTGCACGGGGAGCAAATACATTCTGAAATGTTGTTTCCTGATCTAAATAATTCATTTCATGAACATCATCTTTATTCGCCACAAGCAGCCTCAGCCATCCATTCTCAGCCGTAGCTCTTGTTACACCTCTGTAGAAGCATAATGTTAACATACTCCAAGTCCAAAGGATGATTGATAAAAGTGAAAGTTTATTCAATCTTTTGTAGAATTGATGGGAATTCGGATTTAGAAAAAAACCTTTGGCCATATCTTAAAATGGCTTTTATATCTTATTTTAAGATAGTCAATTGCATGCCATAAATAACCGTCACAAAGTAATATTTACTAGAAAGTGATACTTTATTATTTTTATTTACGATAAATTTTCATATAATAATAATATTAATTATTTTGACCCAGGCCTGCTATGACGGACCTTTCAAATATTTATTTTTATTTTGTCAGCTCAAATAATCTCTTATTTAATGAATTACAGCTACACCTCGAGTGTCAATACATTTGTTTGTGATCTGAGAAATACTAAATTTTCTGATTTTGTTTATACATTTCATTCATCCTAAGACTAAATCTTTCCAAAAACATTCAAAATTATAAATTATTTCTCGAATATTATTAAAACTATTATTTATATTTATTTATTTAAAAGCTTGTTTACATTTGTTGTTGTTTTGCATAGTTCAAATAAAATTGTTAAATTGTTGCTGCAGTAAATATGGTGGATGTTACAGGGTGTCCCACGAAACATGACATTTAAAAGATCGTTATATTTAGTTAAAACATCCTTTTGCTTCATTATCTTTTACTTTGAAATCAATTTTAATATAACATGACTCCCATATATTACTTTTATTGATCTTTGGTACCTAACAACTCAACAAATTATGGAAAAAGACATTCAAACTATTCACCAACTGTCATGTTTCGTGGGACACCCTGTAGTTTAATATTATAGAAATTGACGTTACAAAACATTTCATGTACGAAAATATTTCTGAACCATTATTTATATTTAAAAATTGTCATCTCTAGTATAAAACTCAGTGGAATAATTTAATAGAGCATTGTTGCAAAATTTGACGAGGGACTGGGGCAGAGTGTTTTTTTTTTCAAAAAAGCGCCGTTTTTAGGATTTGAAGTTAAATAACGGCATTTTTTATTTTTTGAATGGATGGCTCTGTGCCTTCAAATATTCCAAATTCTAATAAAATCCATGGCTTGGTCCCGTGTTGAAATGAAATATACAGAGCCCCCCATACCATATTATATTATCTCCAATCTTTAACGCCAAAATATGCACACTATACTCGAAAAACGGTAATGTTGATCCGTCCTATTGCACATCCGAACCACGACAGCTGTTTATTTTTGTACTATTTTAGAGTTAGGTTAGGTTAAAAGAATTTCTGGGCCGAGCGCTGAGGTCAGTGGCCGTTCCTTCCATAAACTACTTTGTTCGACAACTTGACGTCTCCTTTATTGGTCGTCAAATGTACGGAGAAATATCTATCTGACAAGAACTTAGCCTGAGGCATCAAGCGACCAACTTATTGTCCCCAAAGTACGTGAACTACACGAGCACTTTCTATGGAGAGAACGGGCTCAGAAGGGTGTCGTATCGTTTGCACTAATGATTGATCGGACTAACGTACATTCGCACTAACGTTCATTCGGACTGACGTTTTATTTGAGGGTTAGGTTAGGTTAAGACAATTTCTGGGCCGAGCGCTGCGGCTATGACAAAAGTACGTTAGTTCAATCGGAAATTAGTGCAAACGATATAGCATCCAGAAGTCAACTGATCAGTAACAACTAACACTTATGACCGCAGCGCCCGGCTCCCTAGCCTGTTCTAGCCGCGGCGCTCGGCCCCTTAGCCTGTCCTAGCCGCGCAGTGCTCGGCCCAGAAATTGTCTTAACCTAACCTAACCTAACCCTCAAATAAAACGTTAGTCCGAATGAACGTTACTGCGAATGTACGTTAGTCCGATCAATCATTATAGTACTTACAATACGACACCTCCTCAAAGCCCGTTTTCTCCATAGAAAGTGGTCGTGTATTTCACGTACTTTAGGGGACGATATGTTGGCCGCAAGATGTCTCATGCTAAATTCTCATCTGATAGATATTTCTCCGTACATTTGACGACCCATATAGGAGACGTCAAGTTCTCGACCAATGTAGTTTATGGAATGAACGGCCTCAGAAGTCCATCTACAACCTTACTATTAAAAAGACGATCCCTAAACGTTTGTTAAATATTGCGCGGCATTGCTCCAAACATTGTGCAATAATATTTAACAGACAGAAAACCTGTTTCTTGTTTCAGGATTCAGTTGAGAATGGCGGGAGACCGGCAGAATACTGAACTTGGTAATCATTTATAATAACGTTCGTTTTTGAAACTCTCTGGCCTTGAATCATTAGTTGTTTCTGTTCATGATTTGGATTTAAAACATTTTTAATGTCCGTTTACGTTAACAACTACTACATGCAATGTAAGATTATTTCGTAGCTTTCTGGTTATGGGATATTTCTTAGAGAACGATTTTTGGTACCTGCAAGGCCCCTGCTATCAATTCGTATTCTATGGGTTGCAATATATAAGACACTAGTTGATAATTTCCTAGAGAACAATTTTTGGACCCCCCCTGGCGTAGGGTTAGGTTAAGACGCTTTCTGGGCCGAGCGCTGCGGCTAGGACAGGCTAGGGGGTCGAGCGCTGCGGCCACATGTCTTGCATTTAAGTGAAATTTTTTGAAAAAGTCATGTACAAAATTGATAGGAGGGGGGGGGAGTGAAAATCGTTCTATAGGAAATTACCCAACTATCCTTTTGAACACCCTCTTCCTCGCCAACAATCCCTTTAAACATTTAGTCTCCGCCAAACCGATGGCGAACATATAAAGTCCAGAATTATTTACCGGACAACTTCACCAGCGGCGCATTAAGTCGGTAAAACGATTCCTGGTATATTTCATTCATCTTTTAAAATGATCTTTTCTTGACCGACCACTGTATGAGTTTGATAGTTGACGAATTTTATTTGTAGAATCCTATAGTTGTGACGAGGATGAAGACCTATTGACGGGATTTGACGAAGAAACCTTCTCAGATATTGACATTACTCGTCTATCCACTCTACCGGAGCTCCTGGTCAGTGACGAGATGAATCAAACTGAAACCCTTGACGAGGAGCGTGAGAGCCTCGCGTGCACCGAGACCGGAAGTCAGATTGCGCGCAGTATTATTTCGAATATCTTCCGGAAAATTGACGTAAGAAATTATATCGGAGAAAGCCTGAATCCCTCCGATGAAAAGACGGAGGTGATTGAAATGTTGAGTAATCAGGTGATGAGTAGAGTAGGAGAGAAGGATAAGATGAGCAGTATTCAAACCACCTCAACGGATCCGGATTCTGTAGTTCAGTCTCCGAAAACTGTTGAGCGAATCTCGAATTGGATCAACGATTTGCAGAGCAACGTTAGTCTGGACGGATACATATCGTATTCGTCCCCGGTGACAATTAAAAGTCGAAGTTCAGCATCAAAGAAAAGTTTCAACATTATGTCCATTGGATCAAAGGTATGTTTTTTTTTTTTAAATTAAATCAATAAAAGAAAAAAATAATGTTTAAGAAAATTTAATCTGTTAGAAATGTTTAGCCAAACGTAAAATGTTACGAAATTGGTGTAAAAACACTTTAACCTTAACCATTTTCTTAATACTGTAGTCAAACTTAACTGTATTTTCATGAAATGATTTTCTTAGCTTTTGGAAATTTGAGATTCAGAAATAGAAAATATTGTTTAAAAAAAAAAACTTTATAATTATTTACAATGTTATACGGTTAACATAATAAAAGTAGGGTTGTTAGGAAATTCTAAATTACACATTTTATTTAAGTTTTTATTGATTTTAATATCAGGATGAAGACGTTTACTCTGATCGGGAAGAGGAGGATGATCAACCTTCAGGGTACACTACTCTTCTCACACCCAGTAGTAGGTTTGATGTCAGCTGTTTCGAGTCTCCAAAAATCAGGTTGGAGTACTTTTTAACTCGATACGATATAAATGGGTTCGAAGTTCACAAATAAACAATGTATTAAGGTCATAAAGTCACAGATTAAACAATTTATATTTAGGTTAGAAGCTCACAGAGTAAACAACATATCTAGGCTCACAGATTAAACTATATATTTAGATTAGAAGCTCACAGATTATACAATATATTTTTGGAGGCTCACAGATTAAACTATATATTTAGATTAGAAGCTCACAGATTATACAATATACTTTTAGAGGCTCACAGATTAAACTAAACATTTAGGTTAGAGGCTCCCAGATTGAACTATATTCAGGTTGGAAGCTCACAGATTAAACAATATATTGATATTGATATTCAGGTTGGAAACTCACAGATTAAACAATATATTGATATTGATATTCAGGTCGGAAACTCACAGATTAAACAATATATTGATATTCAGGTTGGAAACTCACAGATTAAACAATATATTGATATTGATATTCAGGTTGGAAGCTCATAGATTGAACAGCTCCATCAACTCCTTCAGCTCCTGGTTGAGCAGGAAGGATGAGGAGGAGGAGAAGATGGATTTAAGACATAGAAAGCAAACTCAAGCTCTTGCTAACCTTCAGTACAATAATCCAGAGAAACAAGGTGACGAATTCATGCTTTTATCATGCTGGGTGTTTTCACAAAATCTTGCGTTTTTGACTGGGATGATTTTCTTCTGAAATTCAAAATTATTTTTCCCTGTCATGCTTAATTGAATCAGTTAATAGGGACTGTTAACGTAATGTCAAGTGACTCCATTTGAAAAAAGGGGAAAGAATCGCATTTCCGATTCATAACAGTACCTGTTCTACCTCATTTTTTAAATCAAAGTTATTTAGTTTTTTTTAGTGGTTTATTCGCTGAGTTTGGGAAAATGGATGATTTTCTTGGGGAAAATAAATAAATTTTCGGTTAAAAGGATAAAAAAAACTTGCCTTTTGATCCAATTTGTCATTTTTTTAAGAACACCTTTTTTCGCCCTTTTCTGCAGAGAACTGGGAACTCGCAGTTGATAATAATCAATTTGTCTACGGGAAGATTAGTTATTACTTATTCATGTGCAATTATCAATTTTTTATATATTTCCCTACTCCTGAGATATCCTGTTTTATACCTTCTAAACTGATAAAAACTTAAGAAGTTTTCTAAAGTTACAAATTTTAAAATTATCTATAATTTAAATATTCAAAATTTAGTTGATCCTATATCATGGTCTGTGTAAGACCTCTCTCCCGAGCTTTTCTTGTTATTTAAGCCTAGGCGCTGAAAAAGCGGGTATCCTGAAATGCTGGAATGCTTAGTGAGACCATACATAAACAGGAGGGTAATAATCCAATAGAGGAAGAATAATTAAAAAGAGTCTTAAAGCATTATAGCAGTATATTATACATTATACATCAATCCAGCTTTTTACCTAAACTACTTACTCAGCAACTGGAGCCCTCATGGAACATCTCTGATCACACATGGATAAAGGGATATTAATGGTAAATCTCTGATCACACTATGGATAAAGGGATACTTGCGGTGCAGATCTAATGGGTAATAATGTGATAATTTATTCAAATTCCGCATACACATCGGAAAGATGTATAAATCCAGAGGAAAAAATAGGGATTTTCTGGAAGAAGATCTCTCGATACCCCTCTACTTCATAAACCTCCAACCTTAACCTACTTCACGAGCAGATAAAGTGGAACTCAGAAACCCATATACTGTGGAATCTTAATCAAAACGTTCTGAGAGGAATCAGCATTTTGACATGGGAGTACTTGTCTTAGGGGGTTCTCCTAGATCACCTTGAACCTAGTTGAATGCAGTATTAGGCTATGGAGATCTCTTCAACTTCTACTAATTTATATCCGGGGGGGTATAAACCTATATAAAAATTGACAAGTCAGCTTCATGATGAGTTTGCATAATGTTGCGGAGAAGCTGGCTACTCAAATTCAGACTGTTCACAGTAAAAATAAAGAAATACAANATTAGTAGTCGCTTAAAATTGTAATTTGTAAAAAATATGAAAATAAAAAATACCCAATTTGTAAAAAAAAAATCTAAAATTTTTAGAATATTAAAGCCACATATTGTAAAGACAAGGAGTCGTACTATATCCTAGTAAAGGAATCGAGTCTATGCCACTATCCCCATGATCTTTGCAACCCAATGTCGTAGACCTCCGAATTATCAAACTATGGATTGTGTTAGATAAAATAATCTCAAGATCAAGATCTAAAAGGTTTTCATCATCAGGTCCAAAGATATAGGGATTAGAAATTTGAGCTTGTGGCAAGGCTTAATTCCATTGTTATTTAATAATACTTTAAGCTAAATTCCCATGTTTATTGGAACATGCTTGTATGTTGAACTCTTTTGTTTGTTTAGCCGGCCTTCGATAGTATTGGATACTCTGTGCTGAAGACGATGGTTATGGCCACAGGAGAGTACGAGTTTGAGGGAATATTTATGGATACCCAGGTAAATTAATAGATATTTATGGATTCCCAGGTAGATTAATGGATATTTATGGATTACCATGTAGATTAATGGATATTTATAAATTCCCAGGTAGATTAATGGGAATATTTTTGGATTACGAGGTAGATTTATAGAATTTTGATGAATCAGTGGGTAAATATGGATAGTTACGGACACCCATGCTGGTAGATTAATGGACATTAGTTATTAATAGATAAATGCCAAGGTTTACTTGGCGGTTATTTTGTATTTGGACTCGGCCTTGATTTTCACGGAATAATGGTTGACCTTTTAATATTTATTATGTGGAGGTCAACAGTTTCTGGTGTAAGTAACATGTTTGAAGAAAGAAGTCTACAAACTAAATTTGTAATATGGTTTTTAATCTTTGATTTTTCAGCTTCCGTTCCCTGGAGCAACAGTTTTCATGTTCGTTATATTTGTTCTTGTGATGGCAATTATCATGATGAACCTACTCGTGGGTCTAGCTGTAGATGATATCAAGGAGGTTCAGGATCATGCAGAACTCAAGAAGCTTTCATCTCAGGTTAGGGCACTAAGGGGCAGAAAAATAATAGTTATTTTTCAGATTGGTTAAATTTAAACCCTAGATACAATAGTTACCCACAAGGGATGAGACTTCAGAGACGACTGTACAGAATTCATTCAGTCTTTTTTCTTACATTTATGTTTCTCTGCAGTTTAAACTTGTTTATTTCTCCATAATATTAATATATTTAGGTCGAGCAGATATTTGAGCTGGAGAAGATTCTTCCATCCTTTATCCTGGAGAGAAGATCAGTTCAGAAGATTAGATTGGACTCTAAGGAATCTACGTAAGTTTTCTCAATAAGAAAAGTCAAAACTTAATTGGGGTTTAGTTTTTAAAATATATCATTGCCATTAAACCTCGCTGACCTCTAGAACCATTTATAATTTATAGAATTTTTAGAATGGTTGTATACATTTATGTTGTTATTTAATCATAATAAATAATATATAACACTGTTTCCGAGATTTCCAAAATGTGGCGTGCCTTTTTATACATTATAATGTTGAGACGATTTTCAGTATTTTGTCCGTTTAAAAATGTTGGAAAGAAACGTAAAACTGTCTGAGTTCTAATTTAATTAGAAACAAAGAAATGCGATCAGACAATCCTCATAGTTCACCCTTTTTCAATCTTTAAAGGGATTGTAAGCGTAATTTCAAGTGACCTTCCATTTAAAGAGGAACATCGACCGATTTACAACAGTGCCTTTTCAGACAAATCTCTAATTATTTACTGAAACGCTTTTATTTTCTAAACACTATGTTTGCAAGCTGTTATATAATTAAAAAATATCAATATTTACTTTCTAAAAGTGGAGAAAATAAAAAATTACCCTTGAATGTTTTAAAACGCTTAAATAAACGTAAAACAGTCGATCTATTTTCGAATTAGGCAAGTAACAGACGACTGTACACAGCGTACAGCGGTTTTCGAAATTTTTAATCAGAAAGATTATTCTACTCGATGAACAGGTAAATGTTTCAAGGGTACCGTTGTTAACCAGGCATTGCACTTTTTGCATGTAAGGTCACATAAAATAACGCTAACAGTCCCTTTAATCAATCACTTTTATTCCTATGTTTACTGGGCTCCCTGTTTTTTTATTAATTGATGAATTGTTTAGTTTCTGGAAGCTGAAGGATGTTATGACAAAACAGAATATTTGGGAAACTATCACGGAAAGAGAACAAAGACGAGAGGAGAAGGAAGGGTTGGATGATCTGATGAAGAGCCTGGACAACATCAAGGAGGAGATCTCCGAGAAGATGATCAAGCTTCAATCCGAGTTCTCAACCCAGATGAAATTACTCCGTGAGGAGCTAAAAACGGACGGAAATTAAAAATGTTTTCAATTCTGGAATACTCTTTATATCTACTCTTATTGTGTGCCTTTTTCTATATTTTACATTAAATATATAATATTATTGTTGGCAAAAGACTACATTCCATCAATTTCCAGGACAAAAACTATATATTTCTAGTATTTAGAACCTAGCACGGATGAACAATGAACATGTATCTACAATGCTGCCATGTTATTTCCAAAAGGTTGAATTAAGCTGTAAATAGGGTTTAGTATCCGACCTGTATTTAATATTATGATACAGATCAGAGTACCAGGTTATCTATTGCTCGTGATACCTAGAGATAGAACTGTAAACACATGCTGAGATTCAATCCTCTTCCCCCTTCAGCGCAATCCAGAAACCAAACCCAATTATAATCCTTTCCGACCCCCCCCCCCTCCTCCTAAAATCAGTGTCCAAAGTTTAACACAGTTTAATCTAGTCCTACAGTTTAATCCTCAACATCTAGTCCTACACAGGGAGTTTTATCATCAACATATTGTCCACCCCGGGAGTTTTATCGTCAACATATTGTCCCACACAGGGAGTTTTATCATCAACATATTGTCCTTTGCAGGGAGTTTAATCCTCAATATCTAGTCCTACACAGGGAGTTTAATCATCAACATATTGTCCTACACAGGGAGTTTAATCATCAACATATTGTCCCACACAGGGAGTTTTATCATCAACATATTGTCCTTTGCAGGGAACTTAATCCTCAATATCTAGTCCTACACAGGGAGTTTAATCATCAACATATTGTCCTACACAGGGAGTTTAATCATCAACATATTGTCCCACACAGGGAGTTTTATCATCAACATATTGTCCTTTGCAGGGAGTTTAATCCTCAATATCTAGTCCTACACAGGGAGTTTAATCATCAACATATTGTCCTACACAGGGAGTTTAATCATCAACATATTGTCCTACACAGGGAGTTTAATCCTCAACATCTAGTCCTACACAGGGAGTTTAATCATCAACACATTGTCCTACACAGGGAGTTTAATCCTCAACATTTAGTCCTACACAGGGAGTTTAATCATCAACACATTGTCCTACACAGGGAGTTTAATCCTCAACATCTAGTCCTACACAGGGAGTTTAATCATCAACACATTGTCCAACACAGGGAGTTTAATCCTCAACATATTGTCCTACACAGGGAGTTTAATCATCAACATATTGTCCTACACAGGGAGTTTTATCATCGACATTTTGTCCTACACAGGGAGTTTAATCATCAACATCTAGTCCTACACAGGGAGTTTAATCATCAACACATTGTCCTACACAGGGAGTTTAATCCTCAACATCTAGTCCTACACAGGGAGTTTAATCATCAACATATTGTCCTACACAGGGAGTTTAATCCTCACCATATTTTCCTAAACAGGGAGTTTAATCCTCACCATCTTGTTCTACACAGGGAGTTTAATCCTCAACATCTAGTCCTACACAGGGAGTTTAATCCTCACCATCTTATCCTACACAGGGAGTTTAATCCTCACCATCTTATCCTACACAGGGAGTTTAATCCTTACCATCTTGTCCTACACAGGAAGTTTAATCCTCACCATCTTATCCTTCACAGGGAGTTTAATCCTCACCATCGTGTCCTACACAGGGAGATTAATCCTCAATATCTTGTCCTACACAGGGAGTTTAATCCTCACCATCTTATCCTTCACAGGGAGTTTAATCCTCAACATCTTATCCTTCACAGGGAGTTTAATCCTTACCATCTTATCCTTCACAGGGAGTTTAATCCTCAACATCTTATCCTTAACAGGGAGTTTAATCCTTACCATCTTATCCTACACAGGGAGTTTAATAGTCCCTTATTAAGACCTTGTTGTTCAAATAAAAAGTGGTTTAATTTCCAGTTTTATGAATTAAGATTAATATTCTACGTGAGCTCTATATGAATTCCTGAATTCAAATATTCTTAAAAAATGACACTTTTACTGAAAAACAATAATTATGAAATGAATGATTTAAGAATTGATCACTGATCACGATTTTTATACAGTTAAAAAGATATATTTAAAAACAGCTTTATATCACTGTTTTTTGATCCTTATAGTTAAATTAAACATGGCATTCTCATATTTAGCCTTCTCCGAAAAGGATAACAGATAACACCGTCCTAGGAACCTTAGTTTAAAATTAACCGGGGGGGTGATCTAAGAAATGACGTTATTCAATACTAATCCAAAATAACACATTTTCATTTAAAATATATATGCCAATTCACCAGTTGACTGAAATATATCTATCTATCTACATCTGTTTATTTCAAGTGAATGGTGTAGAAAAAATGAACTTGAATATAAAGTTTAAGTGGTGAGTACTCTATTCTAGATAAATATGGTAGATAACCAAAACCAATTCACAATTACAACTTAATGTTGCGCAAATATATGTATATTATATTTCATACATAACCTATAATATAATGAGCCAATCTACCTAGTATACTTATTGCTTACCATTCTAAAATGGAAGATGACCTAAAATTACTGTCTAAACTCTTGCAGTCATAGAGAATAGAATATATAGAGAGGAATTTACTAGAAAAAAGTGTAAAACGGCCATTTTGTTGTACTGTTTCCATACTGCAGGTGTACTTAACATTTTTGTGCTATATAACCTTTTGGACCCTGGAACATCATTTTATACAAAAATGTTCTTGAAAATTATTTGAAAGCCAATATTTTAGAAATATTCAAGATATCAACATATGGTTCAACTTTTTTTCTACTAAAATTGAGGATGGAGATAAACTTAATATTTTAAATTCATTTTACAAATTTTCAAATGGGAAAATTATTTTGGAATCAGAATCTTCAATTCAAAAATTTTCTTTAACTAAATGTTTTGAAAATAAAATCTAAAATTAATATTAAAAAAAACAAATTATGAAATAGGCTGATTTCATAATTGAGTAATTGACCAATGATCATTTCACATAGACTTTCACTTTACTAACGATGATTTTCCGTTATAACTATAAATTAAATGATGTTTTTTATTCACCTAATTCAAATTATAAAGTTTATTTAACAGTTTAAAAATTTCGAAATTGAAATGGATAGTCTAGGGAACATACTGTATTAATGTACTCTGCTGCGTATAATTTGTGAACATTTACATGATTTGTACACTTTGAACTCCCTTTCAGACTGAAAGGGACTGAAAAAATTCATACCGAGAGATTCTTTTAATTCCTCTCTATATATTCTATTCTCTATGCTTGCAGTCCTTTTACGAAACTATTCCTATATTTTCTTCAGTATTATAAATATTTTTATATCCATTGTTTTTAATGAATGGTGTAGTTTTGTTCAAAGATATATTCGCTGGTTAAGTGAACTTTACAGATTTGGCCCATTTCTTTAGAAATTGATCAAGTATTAGTATCGGAACTAATATACCGTAATACACAGTTTAACTTGCATGGTATTGCGGAGAGAAATTCAATCTGTTCCTGGTTTTCATGCACGAGGATGATTGAAAACTAGTTTCCGTCAAATCATATCACTCCGTCCTGGTGAGATAATGATGTGTTTTTTTAAGACACACCCTGTACAGTTGGAGACACCTTTTAAATGCTTTATTAACTTTTTTTCTGTTGATTTCTTTTTCCAGACCTTTCTACATCTATTACCTAGTTCAGTATACAATTTTTATGAGCCTCCCTCCAAAACTAAGGTCTGTACGTTCAAGAACGGTTAGCTACCTATTTTACTTTTTATTTGTGATTTGAGACAACAACTTGCACCAAGCTTTATATCTACACAAACCTTTGTCTTCATTGAATCTTTGAAAAAAACAATTTTACAGACGCAATAAACTTCCCAATCCCATGGTTCTCGCAGGACTCCCTGTCCAGTGTTCAAATAATACTTCTATTAAGAAAAACTCTCAAAACTAGGTTAAATATATACTTATTTGTTAAAACTAATGACATGAACATGTTTAATATACTGAATTATAAACATATATGTTTAGATAATCCTTGACAAGGTCAGGTTAAACCATATTAAACTCCCATCCATCATTATTACTGAGTCTCTTATCAGATTTATCATCAAGTAAAGACCGAGTTCCTGGCTCTTCTCCTAAATCAAGCTTACATTATTATATCTTTGCACACACATACATATTATATACATAGATTACAATATGAGTTTATTATGATTATCACATAACTGTATTTATTACATAAATCTGTATGCGATATATAAGTATTTATATTCATCTCAATTAACATGAACTGTCGAATTAAATAATATTGAACATAAACTTCGAAATAATGTCTTTGAGCCCTTGTCCTTGTATTGTATATATTACCCGGTTTAAAAAGTTTAGTAAAGTTGAGAGTACTAATTTACCTAATTACTGGATTGGTTGGAGTTAGCAGAGCAAGAACCTAATAAATGTATTTATATTTACAAATCTATCTGATTGCCTAATAAAAGTATGAATTGTAAATACCTTGCTCCATACTGAGCGCAGCAGCTATGATTGCAGCTCCTTTCCCTGATCCATCCTCAGACATGAGCATCCTGAACTTATATCCTGCTCCCATCAGTTGCTGGATTCTATGTTCTATCTTCCTGCCAAAGTGAGGATGGTATCTGGAAAACAAATATTGAAAACCTTAGCTAAATAATTCTGGATTTTAAAAAAATATGTTACTGTTACCTAAAGAGGCTTCCGTCAACTGCTATGGTTACATCTTTCTCGTCCATTTTCTTGAGAAGAGCAGCCAACCCAGCAGCTAGAAGCAGACAACAACGACGTGAGACTGCTTCACAAACAGTTCTCAAAACAAAACAATCCTCATCAGTAGGATCCGGGATACCAAGCTTACCCCAAACCTTCCTGCATCTGGTAAACTCTCCTAGAGGATCACTCTCTACCTCACACAGATGATGAGTAGTAAAGGTTCCAGGTTGAAGTAAACTAAACTCCTGGGTAGGATAAGCACCAACTAGTAGAATCCCTCTGGTTTTCAGATCAACTAGAATAATTCTAATCAGCTCTCCGAGATACATTCCTCCCACCATCTTCTCCAGTACCTGTTGACCAGGGTTCGGAGTCATGTTATCCAACTCTGCGTCCCAGACTGTTCTGATTATATCCAACTCTCCCTTCTCTCCGAATGCTCCCCATTCAGTGTTGATAACCATGCTCCCCTCCGATCCATCAGCTGTCTCCACTTCGTCCAGTCTCTCTACATAGCATGCATTGGTTCCGGTTCCAAGGATAAGACCAATTCTAGTCGAAGGATCCTTGAAAGCACACGACATAAGCGCTCCTGAAACAGAGCGGGGTTTAGAATTTCTTGGTTAAATTTTTGATAATTTATGTTTTAAAACCTGTTGTATCGTTTAAAACAGCAACTACAGATATATTAAGTCCTGCTGCAGAAAGAGCTTCACTGAGCAGCCGTCCAACATCATTACCCTCCACGTTGCTACACTTGAAACCCTATAAAAAACCATTCTTTAATTTAATAAATGAACAATCTTAATTTATAAATTAAATTATAATTTTAACCTTGGTCCAATGGTGAAGCTGAGCTGCTGCTAAAGCTGTTTGTGAACAAGGAAAACTAAACGTAAATCCTAGGGGAAGACATGAATCATTTGGTAATCCTCCAGGGAGAGAATCAAGGAAGGATTTCATTTCAGAAGCAACAAACCTTAAAAATAGTTATCAATCTAATTTTGCCTTTAAAGGGACTGTAAGTGTAATTTTAAATGACCCATGCAAAGATAGCATTGCCGGATTTACAACGATATCCTTGAAACCTTAATCTGATCAAAAATGTAGAAGATAACGTTTTATTTCAACTCAAAAGCTATTATTTCTGGGAATTTCTCACTTTGAAATACGCTTATCATCCCTTTAACGGTGCAGTGCCAATACATTTTGGAAGAGAGTTTTGAAAGAAAAATAATTTAACCGTTAATCAATTGGTAAATTTTTTGTTATTAAGCATGAAATACCTGAAAAGGTCTTCTCCTGTTCCTTGTTGAACGCTGATAGGAACAACTGCTTTACGTTCCTTCAAAACTGGTTCCCTCCCTTGTTTAAGACTGACAAGAATGCACCTTAAGTTTGTTCCACCAAGATCGATAGCAAGACATTCACATTCTTCCTTCCCGGTTGGGAGGGATTTGACGTAGGTTGGGAAACATTTTATAGAAGTGAACGGGTTATTTTTCAGCCTTAATCCCCACTCAACAGACATCCGTATTCTCCTCTCAAGCGTACAGCATAAATCGTTGCTAATATACAAAGGAGCTATGATATTATTGAGAAGTTGCATTCGTTCTGTCTTAGCAGATGGACTGACCAGATTGGATACATTTGTAATAGCTTCAACCTGTGGTTCCATTTTAAGAAAATTTAAGTGTGGACTGAAACCCTTTCACAATCAATATCCCGGATTTTAAACTTTATTTCGAGCATTTTAGAAATATTTTTCAAGGATTTCATGAAAAGTGAAAGTTTAAATCTCTCATGAAACTTTCATATTTAAACATCTTTTTGACTATTAATTAAGAATAATGTCAAATTGCTAATAATAACGTTAATTGCTAAAAAATATCTAGATTGTCGGAAAGGTAAGAACATATATCTACATGAATAATATAGATAGATACATACGCATGAAAATATTTTAAAATTGATTATAGATTTGGATATTATTGAATTGAATAGATTAGTGATTTATTAATAAGCATTAAAACATTGCGTGCATAGGTGCCTTGGTGGCGAGGGGGGTTGTTGGCGTTGAAACTGGAGATATATTTCTATAGCTAGAGCTGAATTTCGGGTTAAGCTTCTCCCCCCCCCCCAAAAAAAAGTTTCTTTTTACCTTTTACAACTTTTGCTTACTTAGTTTATTTTGTGGTTTAAAAATCATTATCATGGGAGGGGGGTAATAAATATATATTTTTTTCGAAATACTCAATTTCACAATAATTTGTTTCTTTTTCAAATGTGTATTTAAGTATGCCAAAAAAAGATTTGTAAGATACACATGTATTAATATATTTTTTCCTCCTTGCCTTCTTATCTTCTTATGCACAACTTGATTTCTGAAAAAAATTGTTAGCATATTCATTTCCACCTGTTACATTGTATGCATACACTTTTTACAGTTCTCAAATAAAGTCATTTTAGAATATGTTAAGGGGCAGCGCATATTTTCTTTATATGGTTGATGTTAATTATGCAAATGTGGTAGTTAAGTAGGTCTACTCCTCCCTATTACTGTCCTAGTCCGGAGTTGAAATCTAGTAAACAAGTTCCTTGTAATATTTCCTCATGGAGCTTGAAGTAGTTTTCTAGCTCACTGCTGAAAAGTTTATTGGTAGATATATATGCTAATTCTTTGTATTCCAATCTTCTTTGATTACAGGGGAGGGATATAATTTAGCCCCAATATGGACGAATATACATATACTTGGTTCCAGCAATGCATCTAAGAACCGTGGCAGAAAATCCAAGAGAAAATGAACCTCTATGAAATGGCAGGAATATCTAGGCTACATCAAACAGAAACTAACAGAAAAGACACAAATTTTGTGTGAGTAAACGTCACACTTCAACCTTCTAATCTAATAAAAAGTGTAAGACTGTAAATCGTATATTTCTGAACAAAAATCGTTTCAGAATTGTTTATCAAATCCCATAACCTAAAGAGAATAAAATGAAAACCATACGATATAAGGCTTCCTCATAGGGTAGAGGAGCAGGGTTAATGACGGTAGAGGAGTGCAGGGTTAAGGAGGGTAGAGGAGAAGGGCTAAGGAAGGTAGCTGAGCAGGGTTGAGAAGGGTATATATATTTAGTCATATATTTCAGTTTTTAACTTCACATTCTTTCTATTAAAAAGAATTATACTAAACATAATGTTTCACGCCATCATGACGATCCTCAGTAGTTACAATTCTATATACAAATAGGATGTTCAAAATATTATGAAATGCAACTTTTTTGTAAACATTTCGTTATGAGATCGCTATCAGAGATCAAAGACAATCTTTAAAGAGACTGTAGGCATAATTTTAAGTGACCATTCCGTTGTAGAGTGGCGTGTACGATTCACAAAAATACCCTTTAAATCCGGGGCTAATCAAGAATGTCTGACTTACTATTATTATTCTACAGAAATGAACGTAATTGTTGAACATGAACACTATATTTGAAAGCTGTTTTATATTTAAGAAATATCAATATATTTACTTTATAGAAGTCGTAGACAATAAATATATCCTTCCAAATTTTTAAAACCCGCTTCAGTCCGAATTTAATGAATTTGAGCCGCGTCTCAAATCCGCCAAACATACACTTTTCAGTGGAACTAACCCTATTTGAACTGCGTCTCAAATTTAAACCTCCACTCAAATTCTTTAAATTCGGCCTCTAAACGTACATAGACAATTTTTTAGGTATACAATACATGTAGCGATATGCTTGTAGAGTTACACTACCGTAATACTCACGTTTTACGAAAATCAGAACACGTTTGAGAGATATCACACAGAGTTCTCTGGCTTCGACGATCAGTCAAAGGTTTAAAGGATACCTTTGTAAAAAATACCTTTCCATCATTGCATGGAGAGTCACTTAAATTCACGCGTACAGTCCCTTTAAGCCATTTCTTCATCTTCCTGTTTGGTAAGCCACCTTGCAAAAGCATGAATGGTTTCCGCACAGTAAAAAATATTTTAACCTTTTTCTTACATTTACGATTCCATGCAGCTGTAAACACATTTTGTATATAATTCAAAAACTATATTTAAGGGTGAAGCACAAAATTTTCAATTCGGTACCCTTAAAGGATTATGCAGCTACAGAAACAATGGAGGCAATTGTCCGAATTAAATACAAGCTAGAAGCTAGAAAAGCTAGAAAAATGACAATGTATAACATTAAGGATTACAGTTTTTACTTTTAATTTTAAATCGCATCGATGCTTCTATATTATATAATTGTTTCTACTTTATACCTTGAGAATTGCTAAAACATGAATTGTATGTATAATCCAAAACATTTTTAAACTCTGCATAACAGACATTTCAGAGGCAGGCTGGCTTAATGCTTATTTATGAATGAAAGAGATATTTAGAAAGATAGGGGTTAGTGCAGAAAACATTATATTTGCATACATGAGTAGATGTCTGCAAATTATAGTTGACTTGAAAACTAAAGTCTAATGAGCTCCCACAGGCCTCTATTCTTTACTCTGGTTTACGATGTTAATGTTTAACCAACCAGGAAATAAGACGGAATTCGTTGACGAGAATTTGAGATAAGGTCGGGCATTCTCAGGGTGTCAGTGTTGTGTCACAATTTTGAGACCCTGATGATACTTTAAATCCAAGTTTAAAAAGTTCCGCCCCGAGATTGATAATCCAACCTAGCTCATCTCATCAATAATCTGAAAACACAAAACTGTTTAACCCATGAATCTAATCTTATTGACAATCTTGGGGAGAACAGATAAGGTAACTAAGTATTGATGGAAATAAAAGGGAGGAACTTGGAAAAGATGAGCGATGAATAATCCAGATTTAGGAAAATTCATCATATAAGAAGAGCAGGGAAGAATAATGGAGCAGAGGTAAGGAAGGTAGAGGAGCAGGGTTAAGGAGGGTTGAGAAGGGTAGTGGAGCAGGGTTAAGGAGGGTAGAGGAGCAGGGTTAAGGAGGGTAGAGGAGCAGGGTTAAGGAGGGTAGTGGAGCAGGGTTGTGAAGGGTAGAGTGGAGGAGCATGATTGAGAAGGGTAGAGTAGAGGAGCAGGGTTGAGAAGGGTAGAATAGAGGAGTAGAGTAGAGAAGGATAGAATAGAGGAGCAGGGTTGAGAAGGGTAGAGTGGAGGAGCAGGGTTGAGAAGGGTAGAGTAGAAGAGCAGAGTTGAGAAGGGTAGAGTAGAGGAGCAGGGTTGAGTAGGGTAGAGTAGATGAGGAGTTGAGAAGGGTAGAGTGGAGGAGTAGAGTTGAGATGAGTAGAATAAAGGAGCAGGGTTGAGAAGGGTAGAGTAGAAGAGTAGAGTTGAGAAGAGTAGAGTAGAATAAAGGAGCTGGGTTGAGAAGAGTAGAGTAGAGGAGTAGAGTTGATATTAGTAGAATAAAGGAGCAGGGTTGAGAAGAGTAGAGTAGAGGAGAAGAGTTGAGATGAGTAGAATAAAGGAGCAGGGTTGAGAAGGGTAGAGTAGAGGAGTAGAGTTGAGAAGAGTAGAATAAAGGAGCAGGATTGAGAAGGGCAGAGTAGAGGAGTGAAGTTGAAAAGAGTAGAATAAAGGAGCAGGGTTGAGAAGAGTAGAATAGAGGAGTAGAGTTGAGAAGAGTAGAATAAAGGAGCAGGATTGAGAAGGGTTAGAGTAGAGGAGTAGAGTTGAGAAGAATAGAGTAGAATAAAGGAGCAGGGTTGAGAAGAGTAGAGTAGAGGAGTAGAGTTGAGAAGAGTAGAATAAAGGAGCAGGGTTGAGAAGGGTAGAGTAGAGGAGTTGAGAAGAGTAGAGTAGAGGAGTAAAGTTGAGAAGAGTAGAATAAAGGAGCAGGGTTGAGAAGGGTAGAGTAGAGGATTATAGTTGAGAAGAGTAGAATAAAGGAGCAGGGTGGAGAAGGGTAGAGTAGAGGAGTAGAGTTGAGAAGAATAGAATAAAGGAGCAGGGTGGAGAAGGGTAGAGTTGGAGGAGCAGGGCTGAGAAGGGTGAGATGCACTCGGTTTCTTCAATTTTAATTCAATCATTAATTAAATCAATCAATTGGTCGGAGCTGTCTTATTTTAATTTACTTTATTTCACTTTATGTTTGAAAAGCATATGTCAACAAAAAGAAAAGGCAAAAAAGTTAAATATTGAATAGGTCGAATTGTAATTAAGTCACAGTTCTCTGGGACAAGGACCGAATGTTAAATCTGCCTGTGAGGTAAATGTTAGAAAACAAAGATTGAGCATGGGGTTGGGATGGTTGAGAACGATTAAGGAGAATAAAGATAAGATTACAAATGAGATTAAGAGAAGTTGAAATTAAGAAAGTAAAAAAATCGTTTGAGTTTAAGTGAAGAGAGTATAATAAGTTTGGTTTAAAGGATCAGGTTTGGTTGGCTCGGAACAAGTTTTTGAGTTGGATAGTATTCATCTTAATATTTTCAAAGTGTACACTTGATTAATATAGTACACAATAACCTGAACTTAAGTTGCATTAGATGAAAGCACAGGGATAAATATATTATATATACTTAATTTTCTAAACATAATTGTTTTCATGTTTTTATCCATGGTAAAAACTATCTAAATGATTGAATATATTTGTGAAGTATATTTGATGGGATTAGTAATGGTTGGCTAAATATTGGTATAAATATAGGATTAGGGTCTAGCTTTTTATCAGTTCTCAAAATGAATACTTTCTTTCAATTGCTCGCTGCTCTTCTTCTTGTAAACATTGCAGCTGCTCAGGTGTAATTTACAGAATAAATAATTCGAGGCGCGTCGTGCCATAATTTTGTATCCTAACCTTGTCTGCTTAGATGAAAAATATTTACATTTGTAGTTTTTTATTTGCAAAGTTTTTTGTTTGTACTTCTAAGTTTTTCTTTTGCAAGAGAATGTTTGACACCAAATAAAAGGGGTAGGGTAGGGTAGGGTAGGGGGTGAACCGTTGTTCAATTATCGAGCTTTAAACTAAGGAATTGAGTCTTTGTTACAAACCCAAATTGTCTAATCCCTATAATTTTGTAACCTTATCGTGTAAACCTTTGATATTAAAAAAAAAAATCCGTTCTCTTACATAAAAGAAAAAAAGCTTGATTGAAACAATTTCTTTGCTATGTTTGAAAAATGTTCCATTTTAGGATGGTCCTCGACCTCTGTTCAACCTGCTGAAGAATCTGGCCTCCAGGGGAGAATCCTCTCCTATTGAAGATTTCCAGAACCTTGTCACCATCAGGAAAACGATGAAAAAGGTGAAGGAAGAAAACATTATTTGTTTAAATTAAGTACAGTCAAATCCAGGGAGTTTGTCCTTAGGAATTGAGCCTGTGCCACAAACTCAAATTTTCACAGTGAGAATCAAATATCTCTGAAATAGACTTTTTAGACTTTTTAGACTTTTTAGACTTTTTAGACTTTTTAGACTTTTTAGACTTTTTAGACTTTTTAGACTTTTTAGACTTAGACTTTTTAGACTTTTTAGACTTTTTAGACTTTTTAGACTTTTTAGACTTTTTAGACTTTTTAGACTTTTTAGACTTTTTAGACTCAAGTTATGACTTTAAATGAACCATTGAACATAAGACACAGCAATTGTGCAGTGTAAACAGACCCATTTCACATAGTAAGAGATTTGATAAATTGCTAGTAACAACATCAAATGCACTTCAGTAATTCTTTAAAGTCGTCTTCCTATTCTACAGTTTTCTGGTTTTCACTCTATATCCTATGTCGTTGCAACTTGATGGTAAACTTCTTATATTTTTAAACTTAGATCATTATTTGATCTAATTGAATTCATAATTTAAAATATCTAAAGTTTACGACATTGGATTGCAAATATATAGTTATTAGAAAATCAGAGTTTGTGGCAAAGACTCTATTCCATAGATTGGCTCTGAGAGGAAGATTACTAAGTTTGTACTCTCTCAAATTCTAAATAATTGATTAACATAAAAATATATTTTCTAAACATTTGTATTTAAGATTTGATTTTTAGATGCTTGGTAACTGTTATGATTTCTCTACAATGAAGGAAGCAGTGAAAACATGCAATGGCGGAGAAATTTCTCTAGAAAATATTATTAGTGGAGAAATCACTCCGGAGGTTATTGAAAATATAAAGGAGAAAGGTGAGGTGTCCGCGCGCCCGCAAAACCAAAAAAAAAATTTTTTTAACATTTAGTTTTTGTGCAAATATTTATAAAAATTACTTGGTTTAAGTCAAAACGTTGACCCCCAATGAAAATCTATTTTATACAGTGATAACCATGGAAAACATTAAGACGACTGTAAATTCAAGTTATAAATCTAAAAAGTCTAATGAGCATGAGAAACAGCAATTGTACAGTGTAAACAGACTCTTTTCACTAGATTAGTGATTTAATAAGTGTATGGTAAAACAATGCGCTTTGTAACAACATGAACTACGCTTGAGTCTGGCTATATTGTCGTCTTAATATTGTTTTCAGGTCATCACTGTATTTAAAGAAACTTCTAAATTGAACAGGGTTTGATATTGAATACAACATATATTTTATCTTTATTCTCGTATAACAGTGAATTTTATTCAAATTAGTTGCTCAGAGTTTAAAGATGACTAATGTCCGGACCAATTGTTAAGTAAAGGAACGAAAGAATGAGGATCTAAGCTGTGTAGCTGGAGAACTAGGTATTCTAGTTGACGGTCAGCTGGATTCTCAAGCAGTTCAAGGATATATCAAGGTAATTCAGCCGGTAATCCAGGGGGGGGGGGTAAAAGGAGATAAATTAGTGACATCTATGGTTTCCAGGTTTTCTTAGGACCCCAATGAGTACTTAGCTATCCCCACCCCTGGATAAAAAAAACACATTAAAACAGGCTGTATACAATTGTTGCAAAAACATTTTTTGTTCCAATTTTCTAAATTTTTAAAGTCAGCGACCGACTTTTTCTGTTTTTTTTTTTGTCGTATTTTCCATTAATAAACTGGTGTTAAGCAAGGAGTTTATTTCTGAAATCCCGATTAAAAGAGTATTGAAAATTTTATTGAGCTCATGCTTGAAATCGTTAAAACATAAAATGTTGCACTGAAAGGACGACTTTATGCATTATTTCATGCTTAAATTCTATTTCTAAATTCTCTTTTAGATAAAATAAAGACTGTGATTTAGGAAACCGTGATCAAGGAGGATGTAGAGACTATCCTGCTCCAGAAAATGGAAGAGTGCTTTGACCAACTCAATAACTGTCAGTTTGCAGAGGAAGTAAGATCTTTTAACTAAGTTCTTGCAACAAACTCAAATTTTCTAATCCCTATATCTCTGCAACCTAATGGCGTAAACCTTTGATATTTAAAACTAAGAATATAGTATTCTAGGATGGGAACATGAAGAAGAACAAAATGTTTATGAGCTGTATGAAAGGAAGCATGGCCAAGGCTTGTATGCTCTCCACTGTTAAGGAAACCCTCGGAGAAGAAGTAGATTTTGACATCTAGATATTTAGATTCTTTCTAAATACTAAAAAGTAATCAGAAAGGTAAACACTCAGTCTCGGGTTCCTATAATATTTTCAAACCAACCTCGATCTCTAAGTACATTTTTATTCCTGATGATATTTAAGCGTGTTTAACAAACACATTAAGCGTAAACGTAATTTCAAGTGAAAGAGATGTCCGATTCACAATGGTTCCCTTAAAAACTTTGTCTGATCAAGTATTGATTAGATTTCAATGTTTAAGCCTATTACTAGACTTGCGGTTTTAACTAGCTATAGATACAAACTAGAAATGATCACTATTAAACACTTTTAAAGCTAGAGAAATAAAAATGAAATTGTGTCTATAAATTATTTTTAGGCTTAATTGGACATACAGAAGAAACTTACTGATGGACTACAACTTAGCTTTTTGTAAATATATAGATTTTATTTGCTTTCAAACTTTATTTCAATAAACAATATTCGAATAAATCTTTTGTTCCTTTTTGGAGGTACATTTACGAACACATAAATGCGTTTTAAGTGTAGTGTGCATACAGAACTTGTGTGTTGTGAATCTTGGAATCCTGTGTTGAATATACCCTGTATAGTGATAACTAAACACAAACTTAATCTCTGTATCTTTGAACCTGATTTTGTGTTTATCTTTGAACCTGATGTTGTTGTTGTTGCCAAATAGTCTTAGTTTGAAATATCAAAGGTTTACACCGTCAATTTACAAAGATATAAGGATTAGAAAAGAACCAGCCACACATATTTTTAAAAAGGGAAAAGGCCTAATAAATTGTGTGCAGTCGTCTCTGAAGTTTTATTGAAAATAAAATAGTGTTTTTAAGATACTTACATCTAACATTATCTTATGAATTTATGAATTTTTGAATATGCATATCTGTATATCTATACCTCCCTTATAGAGACACACTAATAATTTAGTTGATTTGTTTTTGATTTGATCAAAATTGGATTTGATATGAGAACATAAACACTAGTATTTTATAGTTGCCTAAAGATAGAACCCATTAGAGATATATGGTAATATTCTCCCATATCCGGTCATATTTAAACTTTAAACATAACGAGACACAAAACATTAGAGATATATGGTAATATTCTCCCATATCCGGTCATATTTAAACTTTAAATATAACGAGACATAAAACATTAGAGATATATGGTAATATTCTCCCATATCCGGTCATATATAAACTTTAAATATAACGAGACACAAAACATTAGAGATATATGGTAATATTCTCCCATATCCGGTCATATTTAAACTTTAAATATAACGAGACATAAAACATTAGAGATATATGGTAATATTCTCCCATATCCGGTCATATTTAAACTTTAAATATAACGAGACACAAAACATTAGAGATATATGGTAATATTCTCCCATATCCGGTCATATTTAAACTTTAAATATAGCGAGACATAAAACATTAGAGAATAAGAAGACGACATTTCAGCAATATTCTGTGTTTATAATTGATCTTGTTAAAAAGCATAAAGTTTTAACAAAAGCCCGAAAATCAATAAAGCAAAATGGCACTGTAACACTGCACTGCTGTGTTTAATTTTCATTGGACAATTTTAAATCATACAGTCGTCTTCCTATTCCACACTTATATATGGTTCACTGTACAGTGTACATATATGTACAAGGCAAATGTCGGCTTTGTTTTGCATTCTCTTTTATTTTAAAAAATGGGGAAATAATCTGAGATACAATTTTTATCTTCTTCTCCTTCAGTTCTTTTTAATTTGCTTTATCTTATTTTCCATGCCTCCTGCAGTGGACCCCAATAGGAAGACATCGGTTAGACATAATTATGAACTTAAATAGACATAGAACTAAATATTTCACGTAAATACTAAATAGTTGTTTTTAAAACTACATGCATGTGCTTGATAACAACATCAAATATACATGTAAGAAAACTTAGAGTCATCTTACTTTTTCACATTTTTATGGGTTCCTTTGTACTCATTCTTCTCTGCTATTCCCCCCCGCCTTTATTCCTTCCTAGTTCCCTAGCTCCGCCGTGTAAATTCTGGTTTTCAATAAATCCGTCAAATTATTCATAATATTGAATATTGTCGGAGCTGCGGCGATGTGATTAATAGTCTGGTCTTGTGGCGGCGGTATACTCCACTGTATTATTATTCAGTAGTGGAGACCAATTTGTTTTTCCATATTTCGTGACGTATAAATATACACGTAGTCTAGGCTTCATTTTATAGAGTATTAAACGACCTGGGAACAGAATATTTATATGAATTTATAAAAACTGAGAATATTTTGTATTTACCATAGAGCAATGCTAGATGAGGTATCTTTTTAGATACAAACCTTCGGAAAACCCGGAAAATAACAAAAAGAAAAAATCTTTTAAAAATGTTGACCGACAATTTAAAAACCTTATCAGATAATCAAAGCAAAGTTGGACATATTCTAAAGTTTCCTTTTTGATTTGTTTAATGTGAGAATTATGTGTGCTGTACAGCGGACCAATGATGTAACGCTTCATATTACATTTTCATTTTTGTTTACCAATTATTTTGAAAGGAATTAAGTTTTTGGCACAAACTCAAGTTTTTTTAACCCATATCTTTGCAACCTGATGGTGTAAACCTTTGATATTTCAATCTTAGATTACTTGATCAAAGATACTCAATATTTTGAAATAATAAGAAAAGTCCAAAACATTGAGTTTCCAAGATATAGAGAGAATAAAAAACCTGAACACGAGGATGAAATAAAACTGTCCTTGTTCCAGACCGATTAGATTGAAAAATATCTAATTTTAATAAACTTAAGAAAAATCTTTAAAAATTTAGTTTTCAATTATTTGTAATACTATCAAACTTACAGGGAAGACGACATTCAAACAATCTTTGAGGATTTGATGTTGTATTAATAGTTGTAAATAGTCTTACCAGTGCAGTGATTATTATTAACAATACTTTAAATATCGCTTTAATGTCGTTATCCTATTCCACAGTTTTCTGGTTTTCCATAGAGAATAGAATATATATATAGAGGGGAATTTACTAGAAAAAAGTTTCCATACTGCAGGTGTACTTCACATATTTATGCTATATAACCTGTTGGGCCCTGGAATATCATTCTATAGAAAGTCTAAAATTAATGTTAAAAGAAAACCAAATTATGAAAAAGGCTTGTTTCATAATTGACCAATGATCATTTCACAACTTTATGCCTTTCACTTTACAAACGATGATTTTCCTTTATAACTATAAATTAAATGATGGTTTTTATTCACCTAATTCATTACAAAGTTTATTTAACAGCTTTAAAAATTACGAAAATGAAATGAATAGTCTAGAGAACATACTGTATTAATGTACTCTACTGCACATAATTTGTGAACATTTACATGATTTGTACACTTTGAACTCCCTTTCAGGCTGAAAGGGACTGAAAAAATTCATACCGAGAGATTCTTTTAATTCCTCTCTAATATATATTCTATTCTCTATGTGGTTTTCACTCTAGCTTAAAAATCAACTTTTTTGAGTAAAATGAGTCTCTTTACAGTAAAACCCTAAATGAGCCATACATCGAAAGAATTTATTAAATGTCCATTATCAGAAAGTGAAGAATTCGAAGTTTAATGAATTCTTTCGATATACGTGCGCTGAAACATTGCTGGGTTTAAAGTTCAATTGAACTTTTTAAATTAAAACGATGTTAAGATTGTCACTTCGAAGTTCGCGGCTGTTGTGACACTTTTTAGATTAGGATGATAATCCCACAGTAATTATGCTTGAATCTATTATATTTATTAAAACAACTTGCTTTGCATTTTAATTACTTTTTTTAAATTGAAAAGAATCAACTAGCCGATAGTGTCCGATCATGGTTAAGATAAGAAAATTAATTTATCAAAATTTAACAAGCTCAACTAAATCCTCATTTATCTACCCCCCCCTCTCAGAAAAATCTTATCTACATTGTTACATTTGCATATGATGCATGAAAACGGTATTCTTGACAGAGATATATTGTTTAAAGATTTTAAAACTCAAATTTTTATAAATGAACTAACTATAAGTCAATCTTTTCGCAATTAAATATTTCCACGAGCACCAGGTTCAATGATTTAGCAAGAAACACGGTTTTTGTCATTTTTCAATAATTAATCAAAGAATAAACATATTGCAATAAATGTTCATAACATTTTTATAAAATCCACGAACCCATGAATTATCTTGCCAAACCCCGGGAAATATTTAAGCGGCTTAATTTTGTTCTTAATTCCAAATGTTTGGGTATCGAATATTCTCTTCAAGTCGAATGGAGGATATTCAATGTTGGAGCTGATATCATCGGTATATGGTTGAGATTTTTCCTTTTCGTTTAATAAATTGGCAAAAACTATTAATGATGCACAGCAAGATACTTTTTTTCGTGCCTTTCCCGCACCCCAAGTTTCCCGTTGTTAAATGAAGATTTAGAACTTTTCATACATTGTGTGCAGTGTGCAGGTTTTTGCATTAGAAGTATACATACATAGATACATACATAGAGTTTATCAGCTATATCTATGAATGATATATATTTGTATATTTATACAGGGGTGTCCCCAAAGGATGAGACTATAAAGACGACCTCAAACTTTATATATATTATGACCTATCAATGCTGAATTAAGTTGTCTGTCTCGAAAAAGTCCTTTAATGGATTAAATATTTTTTTTTACCAAAGAACGAAACCAGTTTACAGCAAAAAATCATACAAACTGTAAAAATTCCGAACATTCGTCTCTGAAGTCTCATCGTTTGTGGGTAATCCTCTGCGCTCCCCAAGCGGTAAATAAAGGGAAGGATTGGGGTGGTGGTGTAATCACAATCACGTAAATACGTTTTGCGGCGTGCGCTTTCCTTAATATGTAGTTCATGCACTCCCTCCCTCGGGGAGGAGATATGTACATTGTTCACTCTATAGCACTAAACCTCTACTGTTTTTGCGTATTCTCAGTTTTGGCGAAATATCTTGATAGATGAACGTCAAACTTATACAGAGATGAAACCCAGGGGTTATTAACCCCTGCAGGATCTAGACATGTATAGTGGTTAATCCTTCATTGCTGTATATATTCTGATTCATGTATCTTCGTACATCTTAGTTGAGGAGGGTTCATGGTGCTTAAAGTCCTAAACGTTCCCACTATATTTGGATAATTAACATCGTAAATATGATATTAATTATCTTAAGATAATTATTCAGTTTAAATAATTAGTTTCATCATGAGATGAGTTTTTCTCAACCTCTCATTATTTTCTTAATTTTTCATAATCGTTCTCTCCTTCCTTTCCAACCATCGTCTTCCTTTTCCTTTCCCTTCTCTTTGCATTTGCACCCTGCTCTTGATTTAACCTTTTATTTTAGATTTTATCACTTTAGTTCATTCTACAATAACCCTCCCCTCTACCCCTCTACCCCCTCCCAGCTAATCTTAACCTTTTCTTTTCTACGAAAACTTCTTGAAGCTCTCATCATCTCTTAACCTTTTTGTCCTGCAATCTAAATCTTTTCGTCCTTTTTTAAACTTTCTTGTCCTATTTTACCCTTTTTTAACTTCTCGTCCTTTTGTACACTTCTTATTTGTACTATTTGAACCTTCCGTCCTTTCTTGTCCTTATCTCAACCATCTTTCCCTTTTTTAACCTTCCTTTAGATCCTATTTTAACTTAATGTTGTCTTATCATTATCTTTTCTCTCTTTTTACTTTCTTCTTCTGTACTTATCTTGTTTTCTTTATTTTCTTGCTCTTTCTTTATATTTTTTTATCATTATTATCTAGTCCTATAATTAAATTCTTTTTTTCTTTAAATTCTTGCACTTTAGTAATCTTCTTGCCGTTTCTTTGGTACTTATAAACTTCTTTTTTTAAACATTTTTTCCATTTTTCTCTCATATTTTCTACCTATATCTACTTTTCTTCTTTTCCTTCTCTATCTTTCACCTCCTATTGTATCTCTTTCTTACTTTACCATATTCCTTCTTATACCTTCTTTTTTTTCCTGTTATATTCAGTCCTACTTCTCAATATCATAATTTTCTTTTTTAGATTTAATCATCTTCCTCTCATAAGTTAACCTCTCTGTACCTTATCAATTTTTTATCTTCCAGTTTCCTCTTGTGTTAACATTTTCTTTCTTTTCTACTTTCTTTTCTTCTTTCTATTCTCCTTTCTTTCTTTCTTTCTTTTCTTCTTTCTTTTCTTCTTTAATTTCTTCTTTCTTTGCTTCTTTCTTTTCTTCTTTCTTTTCTTCTTTCTTTTCTTCTTTCTTTTCTTCTTTCTTTGCTTCTTTCTTTTCTTCTTTCTTTTCTACTGTCTTTTCTTCTTTCTTTCCATCTTTCTTTTCTTCTTTCTTTTCTTCCTTCTTTTCTACTTTCTTTTCTTCTTTCTTTTCTTCTTTCTTTACTCCTTTCTTTTCTTCTTTCTTTTCTTCTTTCTTTTCTTTTTTCCTTTTCTTGTGTTTCTTCCTTTAAATATTCAAACAATTCCTAATGTTATATCTTGATTAGCATGTTCTTTCTTTTTATATTATTTTTTATTTTCATTTTCATCTCGTCTTTTTCATTCCGATCCTTGTCTTCCATATTTTAACTTGTCTCCAGGTTTCAACTATTTCTACAATTCCGTCTTTTTTGTTCCTCGCTTCCATCCTTTTCTTATAATCTTCTTCGTTCCCACAATTCAATCCATTTCAAGTTTTTTCCACATTATCTTTTATATATCTTTTCTACCCTTCTTTTCTTTATCTATTTTTCTTTTTATCTGTTTCTTTTTCATCATTCTCTTTCATTTATTAGCATCCTCTTTTTAAATAGTTTCTTGAATATTTTTTTCACAAAAGGAATTTAGTCTTTGCAACAACCTCAAATTTTCTAATCCCTATCTCTAGGCAACCTGATGGGGTGAACCTTTGATATTTCAAACTTAAATTTTTTATCCAACAGAATTCATAATAATTATCTTTTCTCATTAGTAAATATCTAGGGTCTACGAAATCGGGTTGAAAAGAAATATGGATCGGAAAATCTATAATTTGTTACAAAGGTTCATTTCTTTTCTATTTTATGCGTTCCAGTCTGCGCTGTGATTTATTGTATTCACAGTCCTTATAAATATAGTTAAATACAGATCTGATCTTAAATCTTGACTTTATAGTTTTTATGTCAACAAGGAATTTTATGATGATATATTTTTGCAATATTTATTGAACTGGTTTCATACTTCACATCTGTTATCTTATATTTCTTAGTTCGCTGTTAAATACTTTAATATTGATCTCAAACAAACTAGAAAAGTTTTATATTCCGTCAACAACTTTTCCGCACTTGATAATACTCATTTACAATATCATAAATAGATATAAATAAATAAAATAGTTTCGTGTCGCGTATACTAATCTTACAATGATGAAATATATAGATGCGTGCCTGTCTAAGTTATAGTAGATGGAACTAGGTTTATCTAAGAACTAGATAAATTATTCTAGTAGACGGAACAAAGTTCTGTGTTACATGTTCCCTGTATGTCTAAGACGGTTTAGATTAAACGTTTTAGTAGATGGAAAAGGGTTTTCTATTTATCTAGATCTAGATTAAAGTTTCCAGTACGTGGAGCAGGGTTCAATATCTATCTAAGAACTAGATTAAAGATTTAGTACGTGGAACAGAGTTCCATATCTGTATAAGAACTAGATTAAAGAATTCAGTACATGGAACAGGGTTCCATATCTATCTAAGAACTACAGATTAAAGATTTCAGTGCGTGGAACAGTATTTCCTCTAAAAACTAGAGTAAAGGTTCTAGTAGATGGAACAGGGTTCCATAGGACCAGATTAAAAAAAACTATTAAATGGAACAGGGTTCCCTGTCTGTCTGAGGATCAGGTTCTAGTAAACTGAACAGAGTTTCCTGTCTGTCCAAGAACTATATTAAAGGTTCTAGTAGAAGAAACAGGGTTCCATATCCATGTCTATCTTAGGGTTAAATTAAAGGTTCTACTAAATGGAACAAGGTTCCCTGTCTGTCTACGGACTATATAAAAGGTTCTAGTAGATGGAAAAGGGTTCCATAGGACCAGATTAAAAAGAACTAATAATGGAACAGGGTTCCGTGTCTGTCTAAGGATCAGAATAAAGGTTCTAGTAGATGAAACATGGTTCCATGTCCATCTAAGAACTAAATTAAAGGTTCTAGTAGACAAAACAGGGTTCCATGTCTTTATCTCTCTATTTCTAAGAATTAAATTAATGGTTCTTGTAGATAGAACAGGGTTCCCTGTCTATCTAAGAACTAAATTAAAGGTTCAAGTAAATAGAACAGGGTTCCCTATCACTCTACGGTCTAAATTAAGGCTCCAACACAAAGAACAAGGTTCTCTGACTATCCAAGGATCAGATTAAGGGTTCTGGTAGATATAACTGGGTTCCTTGTCTATCTAAGGATCAGATTAAGGGTTCTGGTAGATATAACAGGTTTTCTTGTCTATCTAAGGATCAGATTAAGGGTATCTGGTAGATATAACAGGGTTCCTTGTCTATCTAAGGATCAGATTAAGGGTATCTGGTAGATATAACAGGGTTCCCTGTCTATCTAAGGATCAGATTAAGGGTATCTGGTAGATATAACAGGGTTCCTTGTCTATCTAAGGATCAGGTTAAGGGTATCTGGTAGATATAACAGGGTTCCTTGTCTTCTAAGGATCAGATAAAGGGTTTTGGTAGATATAACAGGGTTCCTTGTCTATCTAAGGATCAGATTAAAGGTTCTGGTAGATGTAACAGGGTTCCTTGTCTATCTAAGGATCAGATTAAGGGTTCTGGTAGATATAACAGGGTTCCCTGTCTATCTAAGGATCAGATTAAGGGTATCTTAGATATAACAGGGTTCCTTGTCTATCTAAGGATCAGATTAAGGGTATCTGGTAGATATAACAGGGTTCCTTGTCTTTCTAAGGATCAGACTAAGGGTTCTGGTAGATAAAACAGGGTTCCTTGTCTATCTAAGCATCAGACTAAGGGTTCTGGTAGATATAACAGGGTTCCTTGTCTATCCAGGGATCAGATTACGGGTATCTGGTAGATATAACAGGGTTCCTTGTCTATCTAAGGATCAGATTAAGGGTTCTGGTAGATATAACAGGGTTCCTTGTCTATCTAAGGATCAGATTTAGGGTATCTGGTAAAGTGTAGTTGATGAGCGAATGAAGCGCGGATGACGGACACAAAATTAAATATGTTATGAACCCATATCTTGTTTAATTTCATGGTTTATGTCATCTAAACGTTGGAGTAAACATAGAACCTCTGCTCTTAAACATTTTTATAAAAATATTTTATTGAATAAAAATATATATTTACAAATAATACATATATATATATATATATATATATAAACACGTTGTATGCTTTAAAAGGTAGAAAAAACATGTATGTTTAGATGTATAACAACACTACTGTTCTTTTTTTGTCAAAAAATTGACAACTCATCAAATTATTTACAGATTTTTAAAAGTTTAAATAAGGTTTTATATGATTTTTAAAATAAGGATAAAATTAAAAAAAAACAGTTGTTCGTTATTGATTCTGTAATCTGTACATCATTTTGATTATTTCTCAACGTCATTGAAACAGTTTTATTTTTAATGGTTTCAGTAATTCTAATTCTTGTTTTTCTATTGTAAACTTCATTAAGAATTCAAACCTATTGTCTATGTATTAAAAATTATGAATTTAAAGGATAAAGTCATGAATCACATATGTTTATCCTATTTTCAATAGGTATTGTAGGACTAGAGTTTCAACGTTCATAGTCCCCAAGGACCTTGGAAGAAGGACTAGAAAAATGACTTATAGGACTAGAAAATCTTCGTCATTTTTTACTCGTTTAAAAGTTCTCCTTTCTATAATCGAATCCAAACTGGTCGCATTTTAGTTTTAAAACTTTTCCAAGTTGTGGAGGTCCACAGAAGAACACAGTTACACGTCCTTTTCTCGTCTCAGTCACCTTAAAAATATATAATTTCATTTCCATGTTTGTTTGATTCAACTCGACCCCGCTACTCCTGTAGTTGAGGGGATCATGAACCTATGCCGCGTTCTTTTAAATATATTCAGCAGGCGTTGACATCTTCAAACAGCGTGTACCAATAATCACACGCCAACAAATATCAGGCAGAATTCTTAGGACTGGGTGAACTTACAAGTGTCGGAGGACCTTTTCCCTAGTAGTATGACCTTATACAGACCTGCTATTTAGCTAAATACCTTTATATGTTTGCGATAAAAGGAAAACATTTTGGATTACTTTAAACCTGTATAATTTTGAAAATAGTTTCAAATTACAGCTTCCATTTTTATAATTGTGCGATACAAACAAACTTTAATAAAGCATACACAGGGTTACCCACAAAGAATGAGAATGTAAAGACGACCTGAAACTCTATATATATGAAGATCTCAAGTTTATATTAAGTCATCTGACTTGAATGTGATTTTTAAATGACTTTTCTAATAATTTGGCAATAAAGGAAAGAAGTTGAAACATAAATATGAGAAAACAGTTAATAGGTAACTTTCCTCATCCTTTCCTTTCCTTTCCTTTCCTTTTATTTATATTTTTACATTTTTTTTTGGATTGGGGGAAATATTTCCACAACCTCTACTTTTAGAGGTTTTTAAATATTTTCTCCTGAAAAACTTAATTTTGTATGTTTTTGTTATATTCCATAAAAAATAGTTTTTTTTACTTTATTTTAAAATTTAGCTTTTCATATTAATACTAGTAATTTTTTTATCAGTTGTTATTCCTTTTTTTGTTAAAAATATCTAACTAACTATTTTATCTTTATTTTGAATTTTTTTCCAATTTGATGTACACAGTTAAGTAAGACAGGAAAAAATCAAGCTTCCATGGTGCCCTTTTAAAAGTTCTTTTTTATTCACCAAAACGTTCCCAGTTCAATTAAGAACTTTTCACTGTAAACTCAGGTTCATTTCAAGTACACGGCCGAATTTTAATCGGCAAGAGAAAGCTATACAGTACAAATACAGACTACTAAGACAAATACTCCGGTGAAATTTAATTGTTCATCATAAGTAAAAATCCGTCCATTTTATCCTAATTTGATTGATCGAGACAAATAAAGTTGTAGATCATCATTTGCATTAGATGTTAAATGAATGACAAAATTAAGAAGAACTTAAAAATGATATTTATGATGTATTTACCTGCTTAAACACTTTATCCCAGTTTGGTCTGCCAGCAATAGTTCTTGTTTTCAGTCCAGTTATCAGGTCCCTTTTAGACTAAAATATTTACATATTAATTTAACTAGATATCCAGTCCAGTTATCAGGTCCCTTATTATATATATATACATATTTTAGTCTAAAAGGGACCTATTTTATATATATATATCCAGTACAGTTATCAGGTCCCACTTATTTATATATTAATTTATCTTTAGTCTAACAAAAAGATATACTTTGATGGACATAAACCTTTCCAGGGACCNGGGGGGGGGGGGGGAACAACCAGATGCCAAATATATGTATGCAAATTAAACCAAAGTTATCTCTGCAGGGTATAACCACCACGGGATGTTTAATCCTGAGATTCACACCACTAAATTATAATCCCTGACGTATTACCTAAATATAAAACGTTGGTTTGGATAAAGATATTATAGGAAGATATCTAACTAATTAATTTAAAGGTAATTAACTGGATACATTAATGAATGCCTAAATGAATCGGTTTACCAGATTACAGGGTTTAGACCAACAACTTTATAAAATATAAACACAAGGTGTAGATTACATCATGGTAGATATTAAACTACGAACGGTATTTAATGATGATAAAAACTGAATTTAGAGAATAATGAATGAAGAAAAAGAGGTTTATTGTAATATTTATTTGGAGAATTTCAGAATGGTGGATATCGAGAACATTGCTTGATCCTCTCTTTTTTTTAATCTCGACACTAACATAATTTTGTGTTTGTATCCTGAAAAGTGTATAAAATTCAACCAATCAGAGTGGCGTATCAGAAGCCGGGAAATTTGAAATTTTGCGCGCCATTAATGAGCGTTCTCGCATTTAATTATGATGAATATACAGAGACGGGAGGGACTTTCTTATTTTGGAAAACCGGTTTTTGATTTGTCTACTTTATCCAAAAAGAGTTGATTAAGCAAGAAATTAAAAGTGTTCACATTGGAAATTTAGACGAAGCGAGCGGGATTACAAGTTTCCAATTCTAAAGTTCCCAGCTCAGACCAATCTAAAATTCTAAGATATTAAATAATTAAAGGAATTGTAGCCGTTAAAGTGATAATTGATTAAAAACATTCATTGCCCGATTCACAACGGTACTCTTCGCCCTATATCGGATTAACAATGAGAAAGATATTATCGTTTTGTCTCTTAAAAAATAAATATTCACTAATCAAGTCATATAAATAGAAAATTGCCATTAAAAATTATCAATTTTCAATCTAAAAAACAGCAATAATTTTTTCGCAAGAATCGGGCATGCCACCCTATAAATAAAAATTTTAAGTCCAGTTCCTTCTTCTGAGAAAAATGAAAAAGAAAAAATGAATAAACGAATAAATATGTGTTTAGATGAATGGGTTACCTTCTCATGTAGAAGTTCTAAAGCTAGTTGAAGCCCAACAGCTTTCATATCAGTTTTCTGTAGAGCTGAAGTGATGTACATGTGCATATCTAGAAACCGTTCCATAGCCCCGCCCTGCTCAGCCTAAAGGAGAAAACAAAATATTGTTTTTTAAAGTTTAGATCTTTTTTAAACTTTACTCAAACAAAAACTAAATTAAGATCAACATTTTATATTCCTTATAAAGGAATAACAAAGCAAATTTTAAAGATTCTTGATTTTTAGGAATATGCCATGAAAAATGAATTCAGATAAACATTGACTGAGATTTATTATCAGCTGACATAATGAAATTATCAGCTGACACTATGAAATTATCAGCAGACACTATGTAGTTATCAGCTGACACCATGAAACTATCAGCAGACACTATGAAATTGTCAGCAGACTTTATAAAATTATCAGATGACACTATGAAATTATCAACTGTAACTATGAAATTATAAGCAAACACTATGAAATTATCAGCTGAGAATATGAAATTTTTAGATGACACAATGTAATTATCAGCAGGCACTATTAAATGATCAGCTGACACTATGAAATTATCAGCTGACACTATGAAATTATCAGCAGACATTTTGAAATTATTAGATGACACTGTAATTATCAGCTGACACTATGAAATTATCAGCTGACACTATGAAACTATCAGCAGACACTGTGAAGTTATCAGATGACACTATGTAATTATCAGCTAAGCGCTACGAAATTATCAGCTGAAATTTAATTATCCATTGACATTATGAAATTATCTGCTGACACTATGTAGTTATCAGCTGACACTATACAGTTATCAGCTGAGCACTATACAATTATCAGATGACATTTAATTATCAGATGACATTTAATTATCAATTGACATTATGAAATTATCTGCTGCTTTATGTAGTTATCAGCTGAGCACTATACAATTATCAGATGACATGTAATTATCAGATGACATTTAATTATCAGATGACATTTAATTATCAGATGACATTTAATTATCAATTGACATTATGAAATTATCTGCCGACACTGTGGAATTATCAGCTGATGCATAATGAACTTGCTAGCTGAGTACTTAGAAATTATAAGCTGAAACTACGAAATATCAGCTGAACATTTTGAAATTAGCAGCTGGACACTATTATGAAATTTAAAAAAAACTTTAATCTTTTAAACACAAATGTTTTGGATCGAAACACCCATTCGCATTTTCAAGTACAAATGGGGACACGATTTTAATTTTGTTTTTATTTTTAAAACCAAAATCAGACCATTTTTTGCGGCTTTTTCAGGACTTAATTTGCTCTTTGGAGACTATAGAAAATACATTTGGGGACCAGGGATTTGCTTAATGGAGACCTATCGACTGTCTTAAGGGAGCCTGTGTGGAGTTTAGGTTCTTAAAAAGTCTAAAAAGAAATAAAAATTTACCTGTTCAATTTCCAGCTGTGAGAGCAGATTAACGAACCATTCAAAAGATCGCTGCTCTCGATTGATCCAGAAAAAATCAACCTAAAATATGTCAAATCTTCGTGTGTCAAACTTCCTAGTGCTTTAGGAGTTAAATTTAGTCATTGTAAAGATCAAAAAAAAAGTCGTTGGTCTACAGTCTATCACTATAAACATGTTCAGAATTTTGTGACTGTTATAAGCTCTGAAAAGCTAAAATGCTCTATAGTCATACTGTCATAAATTGCATTAACTTTACCAACGTTTTAAAAAACATTGAATGAAGACGACTTTAATCTGGTTGTTTTCACATTAGTATAAATGCTAAAAGTAAAACTACCCAAAGTCACAGTGACAATTTAGGCTCCTTCAATGATAGTTTTCAATCGAAACAGTTATTAAGGAAGGTATCAAAACTTGGTTCCCCCCCCCCTCCCGAACCTAAAAAATTATGTTTTTTATAGCCACTTTCAAAGAACCCATTTAAAGTTAGTTTATGTAAACACGTTTTTAGCATAAGATTAGATTTTGGGTTTGAAAGAAAATCAGTTCGTGCCAAAAACACTAAAAATTCTATTATACAAAGTGTTTTAACCTTTCTGAGATTCATGACTGATGATCTGAGGTCGTTTGTCCAGCTGTAGGAGCATTTAGGACAGGAGTTTCTAGCAGCCCAATACCTAAATATATCATAATTAAAGACAGCAGAAGACGACATTTTCATATAGTCTTTACTTGAAACCTGGGAAACCTTGAGAAAACCAAAGTTAAGAAGGGTAGGATGGTGTTGAGCGCTACGGCTAGGGCAGAATTGAAATCAGGAATCACCGAGGAATCAGGATCAAAATATTTGAAATTTAATAAATGTTCTGATTTCTAGAGGAAAAATCAAGAAATATTCTCCCGCCACTATTAATCATAAAAATGCGTTCTGTGTTGTAATATTCATATAAGAACTGTAGTTGGCTGTGATGTAAGAAGGAGAAGAGAAGATAGAGATTTAAACACCTAGTTATCAGCTCATTTATGCTCATCAGTTCTTGATTACGCCATGAACTGACAGATTAGGTTCCTATCAGAACACTTTTTTTTTTGGGGGGGGGGGGTTAGAGTGGATACGTCAGGAAAACGGATAGAATAACAAATTTTTAAATAGACAGATAATATATATTAGACGCCTTTCTATGATATATGTAGAACGGAATTGATTTATAGCGATCAGTAACTAGGATTTATTAGGGAGTTCCTCTGCTCTATGTAGAATGCGTCCTTAGATAAATCCAACCGTAAATATCCCATGGTTTACAACTTATTTCGCTGAGAACTTGTAGAAATTTAAGTTCTAAGAGGTTTTTAAATTCTTTCTTCAGTACCTTTTGTTCGACCTTTGAACCCTGTTTTTGCTACAGGTCTGGCGTATACATTAGTTTAGAGAGGTGTAGACTTGCAGAGCTCTGCATTTATTCTATTCAAATTGAGGCCGATGTGTAACCCCTTACTCAAACACTAGGATTTGGCAGAGAGACGAATTTTTAAACGTTTTCTCGCATTCCTTCGGAATATTAGAGGATAGAGAGAGATATGGATTGGAGATGAGAGGCATTAGGTTGAGCCGGGTTGGATTGAAACTCTGCAATTTATCTGGTTCAAAAGAATCTTCCACGTGGGGTTAAACTATCATTGTAACTATCTTTAAATAAGTCTATTTTTACAGATAACAAAGAGGATTTGTAAATACTTTAGCTACCTTAGCTATTCTGTATAGGAACTATAATCTAGAAAATTCTCGTAATGTTCCATCTTAAGATTTAAATTTGAAATTTAATAGATAAGACATTTCATAGAATGGAAATTTCATATACAGGACATTTCAAATACAGGACATTTTATAGATGAAACATTTCATTGAAAGGGTATTTCATGGAGGACATTTCATAGAAGACATTTTATTGAGGACATTTCATGGAAGACATTTTATTGAGGACATTTCATAGAAGACATTTTATTGAGGACATTTCAAAAGACATTTTATTGAGGACATTTCATAGAAGACATTTTATTGAGGACATTTCATGGAAGACATTTTATTGAGGACATTTCATAGAAGACATTTTATTGAGGACATTTCATAGAAGACATTTTATTGAGGACATTTCATGGAAGACATTTTATTGAGGACATTTCATAGAAGACATTTTATTGAGGACATTTTATGGAAGACATTTCATAGAAAGGACATTTCATAGAAAAGACATTTCATGGAAGACATTTCATAGAAAGACATTTCATACATAGGACATTTCATAGACAGGACATTGCATGGGGGACATTTCATAGAAAACGAAATTCGTAGCAGATAAGATTGGTCTATGTTAAAGGATGAATCCACCAGCCAGAAAAGAAAAAAAACTATGCAAACATAGACAGAAGGAGTAGGTCAAATTCATGCGGCATTGTCGGGACAACTTATTTTATTTCATGAAAAGTATGAGAAAAGCAAATTTAACCTGTTGCATAATAGAAATTGAAAATATTTTTCTTCTTCTAAATAGCTCTCGAATATCAGAAGCATGAAAACCTTTAAGATTTAACACGACGCGGAATTTACTTGAGTTTAACGTGGTAACCCGGTCTGATGAACTGGACAGAATAATATTAGCCCAGGGCAGCAGACTCAAGGTTTAATGTAATCGTAGGTTAATAAAGAAGAAGAAATACAGGAGTAAAGGGACAAACTATTATCATTGTTAATTCAATCTTTAAACTTAGAAATTTAACTCATCTCTCATTGGTCCAATCTCAACATTTTAATTTACAGTTTTAATTTAAACTCTTGTGATGTGATAATGACTTATATCAAAGAGAATTGGTTTAAATTCTTTCCGTCCATTAAAAAATCCCACCTCAGAAAGGAGTATGTGAAGTAGTAAATTCCGAATAATTATGAAATGTTCTCCATTGAATTATACAATTGTCGGCCATGGTTTATGACTTGATATTATTTATTACTCTTAAACTTTGTTTTCATTTTTGTTTCCTACATGGGCTGAATCTCTAAGCAAATGTTAAATCTTCAAAAATGAAAATCAAAAAATCAGAATTCTGTTCTTTGTGTTTTTAATACATAAAGTCATGTTTGTTTTGTTTCAAGAAATATAAACCAGGAATCTTCATAGCTTACTTTACAAAAAAGTGTACTGTATTTTGTGGGAGGAAAATAAACAAACACCACCTTAAGCAGTACTGTGTTTGTTTACAGAAGCTACAGTACACCTTGTTTTAAACAAACATAAGGTTGTATTATGTATATGTATATAGATAATTAAATTGATTGGTTGAATTGTAGTTGTATCATGTATATGTATAGATAATTAAACTGATTAGTAGAATTGTAGTTGTATCATGTATATGTATAGATAATTAAACTGATTGGTAGAATTGTAGTTGTATTATATATATGTATAGATAAACATGTTGGATACCTTGAACACTGACATTAATGCGAGAATATAAAGAAACCGGAGTATTAAAAATCAAGGAACAGAATCAACAAAGATAAAGCAATGGCAGAACATGCATATACATATGTTTAACCCTATCCCTGCTGGGGTACTTGAAAACCAGGATACGCTGGGGGGGGGGGTCAATTTGACCCCCCCTCTAAATCCCATGTTTTATGTCCAAATATGACAAATGATACATCATTAGAAAGCTCTTGTGCTCTACTTTTAGAATCTGCAAAAAAAATTGCAAATTTACGAAAATTGAATTTTTTATCGCAAAATCCAGTTTTATAGTAAAAATGTTTGCAAAAAAAAATTTGTCCAAAAAATGACAAATTATACATTTTTGAAAAGCCCTTGACCATGCCATTTCAAATATGCAAAATTTTTGCAAAATTTTAATTAACCTGATTTTTAATCAAGAAAAACTAAAAATGTGCAAATTTCCTTTGACAGGTTGTTTGCAAAAAATTTGCAATTTTTTTTCGCAAAACTTGTGCAATCCGTTTCCTTATGTCATAGGCTTTCCAAAAAGCTAAATTTTATCAAAATCTGACAAGTGAAAGTGGGTCAAAACAAAGATTTAGTTTGTTACAGGCAAAAGCAGTCATTCAGGCAGTGTGCCTGAGGACTCAGGCAGTTAGTATTAAAGCCCGGTTTTAGGCCTAAAGGGAGGGCTTTGGGTATGTAAGAAAAGTCAGAAAATTTCAACAGCCTCAGACCAATACTTTTTGAGTTATGTAAAAAAACTACAGGGGGGGGTCAAATTGACCCCCCCCCAGCAGGAATAGGGTTAAACTTGAAGGTGTATGTAAATAATCTTCTCAGTATCCAGGGCGCTTCTCGGCACTCTTTCTTGTAATTTTGGCGGTTTGGATAAATTAAGGATGGAAGAATCTATATAATTTGCTTGTCTGGGTGTGTGTTCGTTTGTTTGTTTTAAATCGATAAACGTCAAAACGGCGGAAATAACCGGACTCCAATTTTTGTGGGACTTCACAGAAAGGTTTTAGGATTGTTAGAATTTGAAAAATGGCCTTAAAAAAATGATATAAGAACAACAATTAAAAGTTGAAATCGAAGATGGGCGCGAAGCGCCTTGGAAGCCTAGTATTGGATAAAGGAGAGTAGATGAAAAGAGTGAATATTAATCTTCTATTATTTAGAACACAGTTATTAATGTTTCAGTGGAACAAACAATAAATGTGCGTCAGAGTATTTATGAACCCCTTCATTTTAATACAAATACCCTTCATGTGAGTACAGATACCCTTCATTTCAGTACAAGTACCCTTCATGTCAGTACAGATACCCTTCATGTCAGTACAGATACCCCTAATTTTAGTACAAACATCCTTCATGTTAGTACAGATACCCTTCATTTTAATACAAACATCCTTCATGTCAGTACAGATATCCTTCATTTCAGTACATACAAACATCCTTCATGTCAGTACAGATACCCTTCATTTCAGTACAAATACCCTTCATTTTAATACAAACATCCTTCATGTCAGTACAGATATCCTTCATTTCAGTACAGATACCCTTCATTATAGTACATAGACCCTTCATTATAGTACATATACCCTTCATTTTAGTACAAATACCCTTCATGCAGTACAGATAGCCTTCATTTTAGTACAAACATCCTTCATGTCAGTACAGATATCCTTCATGTCAGTACAAATACCCTTCATTTTAATACAAACATCCTTCATGTCAGTACAGATACCCTTCATTTTAGTACAAATGCCTTTCATGTCAGTACAGATACCCTTCATTTTAGTACAAACATCCTTCATGTCAGTACAGATACCCTTAATTTTAGTACAAATATCCTTCATGTCAGTACAGATACCCTTCATGTCAGTACAGATACCCTTAATTTTAGTACAAATACCCTTCACTTCAACACAAAAACCTTTCATTTCAGCACAATACCCTTTATTTCAATATTGAGCACTTGCCTCAAACTCAAATTTCAATACTTCTGAAGCAAGTAATTAAATTTAAAATATCAAAGGTTTACACTATAAGGTTGCAACGATATATTGAGTAGGACATTAGTATTTGAGTTTTCAGTTTTCTTTGTATTAATGCTCAGGAGTTTGAGTTCTCAGTTTTCTTTGTAGTAATGCTCAGGAGTTTGAGTTTTCAGTTTTCTTTGTATTAATGCTCAGGAGTTTGAGTTTTCAGTTTTCTTTGTAGTAATGCTCAGGAGTTTGAGTTTTCAGTTTTCTTTGTAGTAATGTTCAGGAGTTTGTTGGTTTTATTGCTCTGAGAAGAATATATAGGCAGGAACAAAAACAGTTCTCAGGTTTTGTATTCATCATCCTGTATACTTGTATACTAGGTATCTGAGCCCAAAACTGAAGACATGGTATCGTAATGGAACCCAGCATCGGAAACCCATCAAGTTGCATAGAAATATGGATTATAAATTTGGAGTTTGAGGTTATTTATTTAGTTTCTCTGTATTTAAAGTGAACTCCAATAGGTATGGAAGTTGATTCTAACCTGTGCATAATGGACTTGAGTATAGAAGCGAAGGGTGTGACCCCTATCCCTGTCCCAATGAGAACAGCGTGCTGGGCATGGAAGATTTGACTGGTGGGAGCTCCGAATGGTCCGTCTATATAGACGTGTAGAGGTTTATTGACATTCTTAATATCTATATCAGAATCATCCCCAGACCTAAATATATAAAATATAGAGGTTTATTGACATTCTTGATATCTATATCAGAATCATGCCCAGACCTAGATATATAAAATATAGAGGTTTCATTACATTCTTGTAATTTATATCAGCATCATGCCCAGACCTAAATATATATAGAATATAGAGGTTTTATTACATTCTAGTAATCTATATCAGAGTCATCCTCAGACCTAAATATATAAAATATAGAGGTTTTACATTACATTCTTGATATCAATATCAGAATCATCCCCAGACCTAAATATATAAAATAAAGAGGTTTCAGCACATTCTTGATATCTATATCAGAATCATCTCCAAATTGATTGAATGATTTCAATACATTTTACTGTGACAATTAGAACTGCTTAGAAAGTGGTTAAAGGTAAATAAATAAGAGTTTGTAAACAAGCCTGCAGGTCTCTCTAGCTGCATATAGCGCAGGAAAATTACGTCCTTTGTTTACAATCTTTGTTATTTTTATTGATTAAACTAGTTTCTCTTTTAAACCTAATTCATTTAAAACCGGTTTCTTCTATTAGAATATTTAATTGCGGTTTGTTTCATACTTCAACAAGATTTAAACTAACGGAATTATCTCTTTTTAAACTAATTCATTTAAAACCGGTTTCTTCTATTAGAATATTTAATTGTTTCATACTTCAACAAGATTTAAACTAACGGAACTATCTCTTTTAAAACTAATTCATTTAAAACCGGTTTCTTCTATTAGAATATTTAATTGTTTCATACTTCAACAAGATTTAAACTAACGGAACTATCTCTTTTTAAACTAATTCATTTAAAACGCCTTCTCCGGTGGAAAAGTATGAAAGAGAAACAGAGAACAAATTATCTCAGCTTGCTGGTGAAAGGACCAGGTGAAAGGACTAAACTGTCAAATCATCGTGTGTCAATCCTAATATGTCACAGTCAAATATTGCAACTTTAAACTTGACAGAAGGGAAAGGTAAAATGTACGTAACATTCTGGTATGACTCACTAACCTCCTAGATCCTCTAGTTTTCATTTTATGAGTATCAGACAAACAAAGCAAATGTTCTAATCCCAATATCAAAGATCTACCACGGGTTGCAAACATATAAAGATTTCCAAAATAGAGTTTGTGGCAAAATCTCAATTCATTCATCCGGTTATATCAGAAGTTCAGTATGAGGAGTTATGATTGAAAACATGTAAGATTTCAATCTTTATACATGCAATTTAATTTAGATTGACGTGTTAGTTTAATACCTGTAAAGATTATCAGTGCTTTCCTTCTCAGCAATACGATCCAGGATGAAATGGTTTGACGAGCATAGATCATCTTCACCTCTTTCATCAATACTTTCTGTAATAACATTTATTTAAAGAATAAAATGGTTTGACGAGCATAGATCATCTTCAACTCTTTCATCAATACTCTCTGTAATAACATTTATTTAAAGAATAAAATAATTTTTATCTGGACCAGATATGCAAATGTCACTTTATAGATTGGAAACCACCACTGGAAAGAATCAAATTTAAAAAAGAAGATGATTGATTGTAGATTGATGCATGCGTCTTGATCAAACAAAGGTTTTAAGGGGACCGTTCTGAGTCAAACACCACTTATCCCCTTTAACCTGACAAATGTACAATCCTGGTTTAGATATTTTAAAATTGAAAACAAGCTTGTGCTAATCATTTATCCTCTCAACCCAGACATATAATTACTTATTCTCTCAATAGCGTGCTCATTCTTTAACAATTCTGCGCTAACCTTAACCCTTTATAATCTCATCTATACACTTTTAAACATAGCAACCTATTCCTAGACCTAGTACCTTTTCAGACCTAACACCCTTTCAAACCTATATTACCTTTTCAGACCTAACACCCATTCAAACTTATATTACCTTTTCAGACCTAACACCCTTCCAAACCTATATTACCTTTTCAGACCTAACACCCTTTCAAACCTATATTACCTTTTCAGACCTAACACCCTTCCAAACCTATATTACCTTTTCAGAACTAACATCCTTCCAAACCTATATTACCTTTTCAGACCTAACACCCTTTCAAACTTATATTACCTTTTCAGACCTAACACCCTTTTAAACTTATATTACCTTTTCAGACCTAACACCCTTTCAAACCTATATTACTTTTTTAGACCTAACAGCCTTTCAAACCTATATTACATTTTCAGACCTAACACCCTTTCAAACCTATATTACCTTTCAGGCATATAGTATACCTTTTCAGACCTATAGTACCCTTTCAGGCCTAACACCCTCCGGAACTTACACCCTTTCAAAACTAGCAACCTTTCAGATCTGGCACCCTTTCAGATCTAGCACCCTCCGGAACTTACACCGCTTCAAAACTAACACCCTTTCAGATCTAGCCCCTTTCAGAACTAGCACCCTTTCAGAACTAACACCCTTTCAGAACTAGATCCTTTTCAGACCTCAAATATAACGCAGCTGATGCACGTCTTAAATTCTTCTACCTTTTCCAATCATATTATTTTAGTCCCCCCCCCCCCCTCTTATTTTACACCTTGTTCTAGTACTCCCCCCCTATCCTACTTTACACCCCTGGTTCCTCGATAAACTGAAGAGGAGTTTGTATAAGATGAGGGATGCGTCCATCTATACACTGGAGCTGCAGGGACGGATTTAAACCTGCCAGGGTTGAGATGTATCCCGGAGCAAAAGATAAAATATAGTTCCTCACTAACTATCTGTCTCATTATCTGACTATCAACACTTTTTATTCTCTAATTAATGCTGTGACTCAAGCAGGAATGTGTTTCAACTTCTGAAGCAAATATCTGAAGGTTTACCACGAGGCCTAGGATACATTTTGCTACTTCGTGTATAACGTAATCAATGGCGTAAACAATGAGGGCAAGCATGTGTTGCTACCCGCCCTTAAATCAAATACTGAATACGCGCCCCTGGGAGTAAAATACCTTTAGGAGGTTGGTAGGATAGAATGGTTGGTTTTCTTCTCATATATCTGTAGGATCTAGCCACCATCTTGATATCTGTAGATACCTCGTCCTCTCTCATCTCTCCTCCTCCTATCCCGCTCATCCTAAACCAAACATGTAAATTTGTATTCTCACTAAGGTACTGAGAACTAGCCCCAACTTCTCATTTTATAATATCTATATCTTTGCAACCTGGGACCAAAAGAATTCAGTCTTAGTCGCAAACTTTGATTGACTAATCCCTACGTCTTTGCAACCGAATGTCAAATAATCTACGTTTGAAATGTCAAAAGTTTGCACCATCAGGTTGCCAAGATATAGGGATTAGAAAATCTTAGATTTTGGCAGAGTCTTAAATTCTTTAATGAATAGAAAAAAAGAAGTTAAGCCATTTATCTAATGCTCCGATTCAAGCTTAAGCAACGTTATTCAACTTCTTCTTGATATTCATTAAATTTGGTTCATGCATGATGGTGAAAACCCTTGACATTTCAAGAACATTTGATTTAACAGAAATCAGAGGTTTACGACGTTAGGTTGCAAAAATATAAGAAATATAGTTTAAGGTGAAAAATCAAGTATTGTTTTTTTCTTTTCGTTGGAATTTACGCTATTTTTATTTTTGCAACAGTTGTTAATTATAAACTTTCCATGCACATTTATTCCACTGTTTATTTGTTATCCATTATGTTGAATTTCGTTGTATATTATAGATATCCTTGTTAAATATGAAGAATATAATAGCTGCTGCAAATATACAAATTTGTTCGTAAAATTACAGTTGACAGAATACCTAAATCCTGCCTCTCAACCTAGAGATGAGCACGTTCAACTTTTTTCCTTTCGTTCGTTAATTGTTTGTGAACGACCCATTTCGTTCGTTTTTTTCAAACGTTCAGAAAAGTTGATTCCGTTCGTTCTCAAAATTATCGTTCATTTTCCGTCTATTTCGTTCGTTTTCTCACTAAACGATCGTTTTCTCAAGTTTTTTTTTCCAACGATTTTAAATCGTTCTTTTATTCGTTCGTTTTCAAACACGAAAAAAATGTCACTTCTCTGAACGATCCGTTTCGTTCATCCATCATTCGTTTTATTCTGAACGACACCTTTTTCACAAAAATTTGGTTGGTTGAAAAAACGGTGCCCATCTCTACGGCTCAACTCCATCTTGACACACGTGTATAATGTTTATAACTGTGTAGTGTATGCAGTTAAAAACGTGCTATGTCAAAGCAGCCCCAAGCAAAATTTAGATCAAAAGTTGCACCTCTGAATTCTACCTCTGTAGATCATAGATAAGGTTTTAGGAACAATATATACAATATATAATCGGTGGCAATTTGATGAAAATACTTGTTGTCATTATATTAATGTTCAGACAAGCATCAAATGTGGTGGAGTACAAATGTCCTCCTTTGATAACCAGTCATTTATATCAAGAGTACAAATCTTGAAACATTTATATTATTCTTACCATAGTTTAGACAGTACTAGATACATGTAGAGTACATAAGTCATAGTTTAGACAGTACTAGATATATATAGAGTACACAAGTCATAGTTTAGACAGTACTAGATATATACAGAGTACACAAACCATAGTTTAAACAGTACTAGATATATACAGAGTACACAAACCATAGTTTAGACAGTACTAGATATATACAGAGTACACAACCCATAGTTTAAACAGTACTAGATATATACAGAGTACACAAGCCATAGTTTAAACAGTACTAGATATACACAGAGTACACAAACCATAGTTTAAACAGTACTAGATATATAAAAAGTACACAAACCATAGCTTAGACAGTACTAGATATATGTAGAGTACACAAACCATAGTTTAGACAGTACTAGATATACAGAGTACACAAACCATAGTTTAGACAGTACTAGATATATACAGAGTACACAAACCATAGTTTAGACAGTACTAGATATGAGTTCAGTTCCTTTCAACTGCTAGTCGTCAAGCCATTAAAATATGAACGAAATCAAGCAAACTTTTTGCAAAAATAATGATAAAATAAAAAGATCGTTTTATTTCTTGGTAATTTCAACACAAGAACTGCATACAACTATAAAATGTGGGAGTAGAGGTGTGACACTTATTAGCAGCAATAAATTTTCAAGATACACTATATACATGCATATAATGAATCTTATACTTGTCAGCACTTTACCTTCAACTACAAATTCAACATTTAAAAAATGCAATATTTTAATATTTTTAGATATTCAGAATACATTTTTATATACTGGAATAATACTTAATCTTCATAATTGCTGCATGCATATATACGATGAATGAACACGGCATGAAAGTATAAATACTCCATGAATTAATACTGCAATAAAAGTATAAATACTGAATGAATACTGCAATGAAAGTATAAATACTGAATGAATACTGCAATGAAAGTATAAATACTGAATGAACACGGCATGAAAGTATAAATACTCCATGAATTAATACTGCAATGAAAGTATAAATACTGAATGAATACTGTAATGAAAGTATAAATACTGAATAAATACTGCACTGAAAGTATAAATACTCCATGAATGAATACTGCAATGAAAGTATAAATACTCCATGAATTAATACTGCAATGAAAGTATAAATACTGAATAAATCCTGCAATGAAAGTATAAATACTGCATGAATGAATACCGCAATGAAAGTGTAAATACTGAATGAATACTGCAATGAAAGTATAAATACTGCATAAATGAATACTGCAATGAAAGTATAAATACTCCATAAATGAATACTGCAATGAAAGTATAAATACTGCATGAAGGAATACTGCAATGAAAGTTTAAATACTGAATGAATACTGCAATGAAAGTATAAATACAGCATGAAAAGTAAGCAAATTTTGAATTTAGATATAATACTGCATGATTAATGCATGAACACTGTATGTATATCACAAGAATACTGCTTGAACACTGCATGAATACTTCATAAATTTGTTATGAACACTGCATTGCTATTAAATATTTAGTTCATGAAAGTGTAAATACATATGAGAATTAATAAAAATGTATAAAAATATAGTGGATGAATATAAAAATTGCATAAATACTACAAAAAAGTATAAGTCTGAGTGAATAGTGAATAAACCTTAAATGTTGAATGAAAGTATAGATGCTTCATGAACTTATAGTTGCTGCATGAATACTGCATGAATACTGCATGAATACTTCATATGCATGAATATTGCATGAATACTACAAATGCATGAATACTGCATGAATACTGCATGAATACTGCATGTTGTTGCTATAGGCATTGCCTATAAACTTTGATTGAAGCGAGGGCTGGGGAGGGTAAATATGAAATGCGGAAGCATAATAGAAAAAATTATTAATTAAGAGAGAATATTTAAAAAGAAACTTCTTTTAACGATGGTCTACAGGGTTACCGACAAATAATAAGACGGTAAAGACGACCTAACACTCTTATTAAAATATGACAATTACAAGATTAAATTAAATTTGCCTGAAATATAGCCTTTTAATAGCTTATTTAATGATTTGGTAAACAAGAAAGAAACAAGTGAGGAAACAGACAGCATAAACTCCGTTCAGTCGTCTCTGAAGTCTCATCATTTGAAGGTAACCCTGTACTTGATTTTCAGGCGGCATTTTCTTTTATTTCTGAATTAATTAGTAAAACTTACTGTAGAACTGTTTCCCTCCTCTTCATGTGATTATTGTTGTAAAGGTTGGACATTGTAGTTCTGCTCCTCCCTCGGCCTGCCACGCCTCCTTGCCACGCCCCTGCTCCAGGCCGGCTGTGTAGATTATAGGTACTGGTTCCGGAGATACCGGAGCTAATCTTTCGCGCACGCTCGCGCGCAGTCTGAAGTGTCTCTCGGAGTCTAGTTCTCCGAGTTCTCGGAGATTCTAATCCGTCCTGCCGTGCTTGCTCTTTTTCAAAGTGCTGAAATAGGATAAACATAAAAAATAGTTCTGGTAAATAAAATTAGAAAGGAACAATTGACACTCGCCCCAGAATATAGTTTTCTAATCCTTATATCTTTGCAATGTGTTTTCTTTTGATGTTTCAAACTTTGCCTAGTTAATCAAGCAGAATTCATATGTTTTTAATGTAAGAATCAGAAAATGAGGCAAATAATCCGCAATCGGGATAATATTGTATTTTGAATAAACTCTTATAATTACTGAACTCATTGAGGTAAAGTTGTGAACATCTTGATGTAGTTTATTGTCAAAAACATTTAAAGAGCCAAAATGGTTTAACAAAACCTTGGTTCAAATCTCCTGTCTAGATATGTCAAAGTCAAGTTTGCAAAGTCAGTCTGTATAGTTAAACTATATATTCTGTTCTAATCAAACCAAGATAATATCCTGACAAGGTAGACAAGACTGATCTCAATACACTTGGATTGACAGGGTTAGACTGTATACCTGATAGAGACTGTTGGTCCAGTGTCCTACAGCTCGGATATGAAGAGAGATGGTATCTGCTTGCTCTGGAGCTGAGGAGATGGTGAAAGGATGCCACTCAAAGTAGGCAATAGATGGGATATTTAAGAATATATAGTCTCCGGGTTTAAAACTGAAGTTGGGAGGTCGTTTTATCACCAGGTTAACAACCTTAGAGGGTAGAACTACTCCAGTAGTGACGTAGCTTTTCCCTTTCTCAGATAAAGAGTTGTAGAACCTAGAAGAATAAAGCGGTTCAAACAGTTTCATACTTTTATATGATGCATGGATGCAAAATCCAGGTTCAATAAACATTTCAAGGATTCTAACATTCTCGTGACTCAATCTGGACTTCGTCCAAAATAAATATTGAAGAGTTGTGCTTTTTATGAGAATTATCTTGTTACCATGGATATATTTGATAGATTCAAAAAAACTAGAGTTGAAGGAATTATCTAATTGCAATGGAAATATTTGATAGATTCAAGAAAATTATACTTAAAGAAAATATTTTGTTGCGGATATTTTTAATTGTTTCAAGAAAACTAAAGTTAAAGGAATTGTCTTATTACAGTGGATATTTTTAACATATCCAAGAAAACTAGAGTTAAAGGAACTTTATCTTTACAGCATCTTTACAGCAGATATTTCTAATAGATTTAGTAATTGGTTTATATTATTTGCATTTTACCGAAACATAGTTGCGTTGGAGTTTGCACAGCAGGATACTATTTTTCACAGTTATCCCAAGGGAAAATTAAGAAACATTACATTTCATGGGTTAGAAATTAAAAAAAAAGTTTAACTCACCTAAGACATTTCTCAATGATGAAAAGACAGCAGGGTCCTATAAACCATTTCCAGAAGTTTGGAGCGTGTAAGATTACCAACAACCAGAATACCAAGTACAGAAAATGCGTCCAGTAAAATATCTAAAAATATCTAAATTGATTAATCATTATATAAAATATTTAAATTGATTAATCATTATAAAAATATTTAAATTGATTAATCTTTATAAAAATATATTTAGCAGCACAGACACATTCCCATATAACAGTCCTTACACTGCTGATATTATGTAAAATAGTTACTCAGTCTCACGTTAATGTTAATGTACAGTTGTCGGTGTTTATATCAATACAATAAAGACGACTTTTCTTTTTGAGTTTTGAGTTCTATCAAGCTTTTATCCCATTACAAGTTTATAAGTAAAGAAAAAGAAGCTGTTAATTGACAGCTTCTCTTTGTTTCTGTGTATTTATGTTTATCTGCAGGCTGTTTAAAGAAATCTAAAATTGAAATTGAAAGTTGTCTTTATTGTATTGATATTTGTATACGAGGACGACTGTAAAATGTACATATGTCTTCGTAATTAGTAAATAATGGTTTTTATTTTCCTTTGGTTTACTCTGATTAAATCTAAAATAAATAATAAGTTTTCGCTATGTTCTTGATATTATAAGATTTAATTTACTCTATTTTTGACGTTTCGTAATCTATTATTTTCAATAAACATATGGTCTGAGATTTAAAAACTGAAAGGATATTGGTATATTTTTCAACGTTTAAGGGAACTGTATAAGAGTATAGTATGTCCTATTTCAACGCTTAGAGGGACTGTATAAAGATACGAGTATAGTGTGTCCTATTTTAACGTTTATAGGGACTGTATAAAGAGACCAGTATATTATGTCCTATTTCAACGTTTAAAGGGACTGAATAAAGAGACCAGTATATTATGTCCTATTTTAACGCTTAGAGGGACTGTATAAAGAGAACAGTATATTATGTCCTATTTCAACGTTTATAGGGACTGTATAAAGAGACCAGTATATTATGTCCTATTTCAACGTTTATAGGGACTGTATAAAGAGAAGAATATATTATGTCCTATTTCAACGTTTAAATGGACTGTATAAAGAGACGAGTATAGTATGTCCTATTTCAACGTTTATAGGGAATGTATAAAGAGACCAGTATATTTTGTCCTATTTCAACGTTTATAGGGTCTGTATAAAGAGACCAGTATATTATGTCCTATTTCAACGTTTATAGGGACTGTATAAAGAGAAGAATATATTGTGTCCTATTTCAACGTTTATAGGGACTGTATAAAGAGACGAATATATTATGTCTTATTTCAACGTTTATAGGTAATGTATAAAGATACGAGTATATTATGTCCTATTTTAACGTTTGTAGGGACTTTATAAAGAGACCAGTATATTATGTCCTATTTCAACGTTTATAGGGCCTGTATAAAGAGACGAGTATATTATGTCCTATTTCAACGTTTATAGGGACTGTATAAAGAGACCAGTATATTATGTCCTATTTTAACGCTGAAAGGGACTGTATAAAGAGACCAGTATATTATGTCCTATTTCAACGTTTAAAGGGACTGTATAAAGAGACGAGTATATTATGTCATATTTCAACGTTTAAAGGGACTGAATAAAGAGACTAGTATATTATGTCCTATTTCAACGTTTAAAGGGACTGTATAAAGAGACTAGTATATTTTGTCCTATTTCAACGTTTAAAGGAACTGTATAAAGAGACGAGTATATTATGTCCTATTTCAACGTTTAAAGGGACTGAATAAAGAGACGAGTATATTATGTCCTATTTCAACGTTTAAAGGGACTGTATAAAGAGACTAGTATATTATGTCCTATTTCAACGTTTAAAGGAACTGTATAAAGAAGTATATTATGTCCTATTTCAACGTTTAAAGGGACTGAATAAAGAGACGAGTATATTATGTCTTATTTCAAAGTTTGAAGGGACTGTATAAAGAGACGAGTATAGTATGTCTTATTTCAAAGTTTGAAGGGACTTTATAACGAGACGAGTATAGTATCTCCTATTTCAACGTTTAAAGGAACTGTATAAAGAGACGAGTATATTATGTCCTATTTCAACGTTTAAATGGACTGTATAAAGAGACGAGTATAGTATGTCCTATTTCAACGTTTATAGGGACTGTATAAAGAGACCAGTATATTATGTCCTATTTCAACGTTTATAGGGACTGTATAAAGAGACAAGTATATTATGTCCTATTTTAACGCTTAGAAGGACTGTATAAAGAGACTAGAATAGTATCTCCTATTTCAACGGTACCTTTAAAAGCTGTTTGTGATCAAGAAGGATTGAGAATTGAGATATATATGTTTTTAATTTAGAAAATTGACTCTTACCTCAAAGTTTCCTGATTTCCTAACCCACTTCATGGAGCAGATAATCATTATAGAGAGGATAATAACTAGAGCTACTCCAGTAGGGTTGGCTAAACCAGGCAGTAGTCCAAATATACCCGGAGTAGAGGTGAGTAACCAGCTCCAAACCGTCCAGTTCTCGGGGATACTGATTATACCAAGCCATTCATATAATTATCAATTAAGATAAATAAAATAAATATTATATATTAAAATCTATTTTTGTTTGTATGTATGTCCGATCAATACTCGTGAACCCCATGACCGATTTGCCTCATTTTGATTGAAGAGCTTGGTAAAATCACGGGAATTTTCTTTCTTTGGTTTAAAAATTCCAAATTTAAAAGGTTGGCTTTGACAGTAAACTTAGTTTCCAGGCAGAGCTGGGTTTCCAAGCTAACGAAGGTCTTTTTGAATATTTTCTATTTGTTTTTATTTAACTAATCTTTTTATTATATAAGTTGTATGGGATCAAATACATATTTTCAATTATAAGATAAATTATATAAATATGTGTTTATTTAATTAAAAAAGTGATAAATGAATCCCGGAACTGTGTGAAGCCTATGGTAGTATTTAATACAGAAATGAATTGACAGATTGACAGATTAAACATGGCGTCCAACAGACGGTTGATATATTTCAGAAATATAAAGATATTTGAGAATAATGACGGACAGAATATTTAACGCGGTGAGTGTTTTTAATCAACAGAACTTTGAAAAATATATTTTTTCTTTCAAGCCAATCTGTGTACTTTAAACGAGAAAATTTGTACTTTCAAGCCAATATGTACTTTAAACGAGAAAATTAGTACTTTCTAGGCAAAAGGATTATTTTTTGAGTCAACGAATGTTTTAAGTGCATTAAGACGAGTCAATCTGTACATTCATGCTGATTTAAGCGACTCAAATTTTACTTTTAATCTCTGCGTTTTGACAAGTCAATTTATACTTTCAAGCTCATGCGGTGGACTAAATAATCCCTAATAATGGTACTCAGTGTCAACATATTTATGTTGAACACTATTTCGTAAAATTGAAACATGAATATTTTTCTGGAGATGTATCGTGTTCAGAGTAAAACTGTAATATTTAAAATAAAATGATTTATTCAAAAACTTTTGTCTAGATCATTTTGTACTCCATTTTGAAAAGCGCCAACTCGCCTGCCGTTCTTTAATCTAGAGAATATGATGATATCCAACGTATCCTATAATTAGAAGTATACCACTATACCTCCAAGGATACCCGTAAACATCTTATCTAGGGTTTTATATCAGCATAAACATAGAAAATTACCAAACAAAAGGAATAATTATACAGTTTACCCACCATACGTATACTCTAGGGAGAACAAGGCCCCATAAACAGAAAATACGTATCATTACGCACAACCTGGTTTTATTATCTACGATTACGCAAAATTTGCGCATTTCCTATTCCCAAAACTAAATCTAGTCACAAAATCTTATTTTATGATCTCATATATCTTTGCAACCAGCTGAATTCTACACCATCTGGTTGGAAAGATACAGTGATTCGAGTATTAGTTTTGCGATGAAAAAATGTGAGTGTATAAGAATAAGAATAACTCTTGGTTCCTAAAGAATTGATGATCAAAATCAATAATATTCGGGTTTGCGAGATTCCCAGAGCTGCTGAGGTTTACTCCCGGAGTCAGGAAGGGTGGAGGAAGAAGAGCTATGACGGGAGGAGAAGAGAGGGATATATTTGAACTCCAGTGCTCTGGTATAGGAACTCTATTGATCAGAAGGAAACCAACAGGATCAACCAGGATATTCATCCCTAAACATTAAAAACGTGTACATTTTAGAGATATATTCATCCCCAAACATTAAACACGTATAAATTTTAGAGATATATATTTATCCCTAAACATTAAACACGTGTACATTTTAGAGATATATTCATCCCTAAACATTAAACACGTGTATATTTAAAAGATATATTCATCCCTAAACATCACACATATATACTTATACTATTTAGAGATATATTCATCCCTAAACATTACAAATATATACTTGTACTATTTAGAGATATATTCATCCCTAAACATTGAACATATATACTTGATACTATTTAGAGATATATTCATCCCTAAACATTACAAATATATACTTGTACTATTCAGATATATATTAATCCCTAAGCATTGAACATAGGTACTTGTACTAATAAGAGATGTATTCATCCCTGAAATTACAAGTATTCAAATTTCTCTAGAACTCATTGCATGAATTCCAACAGATGGTTTAAATTTAATTTAATCTAGTTTAAACCTAGCTGGGGCATATTAAATATTGTACATTGATAACCAAAAAACTGTGGAATCGTAGATTGCTCCTTCATTTCCTTCAGAAATGTGGCTAAGGATTATGTTATTTGCAAAATGTTGCAACGGATAAAGGAATTGAATCTTTGCCACAAACTCTGATTTTCTAATCCCTACATCTTTGCAACCCAATGTCACATACCTTAGATAATTTCAAACAATGAATACTGTTAGATCTAGTTATCTAATTTTAAATATCAAAGTTTTACACCATCAGGTTGTAAAGATATACGGATTCGAACATTTACTTTTGGGAAACACCTAATTCCTATCTAAATGTGTTCAGGGCACATTTTTAGAAATATTCATTTGCTAATTCAGGGGACATTAGTTCCAATACTACGAATTGGCCCATTTCCAACACACAGTCCAAAACAGTGTTAGAAATGGGGCAAGTGTTAGTTTTGGAAATAATTTCCCTTGTATTACAAAATCCTTGGCGATATCTCAAGACTTAAAGAAAAAGAAGACGACGAGATTTTCTCTGTTTTCTGATTCCCCCTGTAGATATTGTGAACAATGAAGACAAGTTGTATAACACTGTAGATATTGTGAACAAATGTAGACAAGTTGTATAACACTGTAGATATTGTGAACAATGTAAACAAGTTGTATAACACTGTAGATATTGTGAACAATGTAAACAAGTTGTATAACACTGTAGATATTGTGAACAAATGTAGACAAGTTGTATAACACTGTAGATATTGTGAACAAATGTAGACAAGTTGTATAACAATGTAGATATTGTGAACAATGTAGACAAGTTGTATAACACTGTAGATATTGTGAACAATGTAGACAAGTTGTATAACAATGTAGATATTGTGAACAAATGTAAACAAGTTGTATAACACTGTAGATATTGTGAACAATGTGTACAAGTTGTATAACACTGTAGATATTGTGAACAAATGTAGACAAGTTGTATAACACTGTAGATATTGTGAACAATGTAGACAAGTTGTATAACAACGAAAAGATTAAAATCTCATTACTTGAAGAGGGCTCAACCTTACACGCATGTAAAAACCTGATAAAATCAAATCCAACTCTACAATTTAAATTATAATTTCATCCTTGATAAGAAAGGTGTCCATCAGGCGGGTCTAATATCTCATGCTCTCAACTCTCACAATATATTAGGCTTTAATTTAACAGCACACTTCATATAAGCAGACGCAACTTGAGGGGTTGGCAAGGGGGGGCTAACGAAAAAAAAGGTGGAAAATTGTAGTTGTACAGTGTATAGTGTACAGTGTACAGTGTATAGTGTACAGTGTACAGTGTATAGTGTACAGTGTACAGTGTATAGTGTACAGTGTACAGTGTATAGTGTACAGTGTACAGTGTATAGTGTACAGTGTACAGTGTACAGTGTACAGTGTACAGTGTACAGTGTACAGTGTACATACTGGAAGACTCTATCCACGTTAGTGTTTACATTTTGTAATATTTAAAGTTTATAAAAACGACATGAAAGAATTCTGGTTTTATATCTCGGATAAACCTCATATAACTATCACAACACCCCCCAACCCTGTAAACCCCTAAAGAGCAATTAAAGCATTGTTGTTCTATTCTTGTTAATTAAGAATTCATGATTCCAGATTAGAATCTACAGGGTTCAACCTTTACAATATTCTAGGTTCAACATTTACAATATTCTACAGGTCTATCTACAGGGTTCAACATTTACAATATTCTACAGGTCTATCTACAGGGTTCAATATTTACAATATTCTACAGGTCTATCTACAGGGTTCAACATTTACAATATTCTACAGGTCTATCTACAGGGTTCAATATTTACAATATTCTAAAGGTCTATCTACAGGGTGAAAAACGAATCCAAATCTCAGTGTTATCCATTAATATTATTTTATAACTTAACCCTACTATCCCGGCACAGATTGTTCCTAAACAAACTCTTTTTGTCCTTTTTCATCTGAGGGATGAGGATTGTCGCTATTTAGCTATTCATTATCTTATTGGCTCCAGGAACCTCTCTAAGCTGTCTCCAGGGACCTCTCTATGCTGTCTCCAGGGACCTATCTAAACTGCCTCTAAGGACCTTTCTCAGCTTCCTCCAGTGATCTATCTAAGCTGTCTTCATGGGACCTTTCTAGACTCCAGGTTCATCTCTCAGTTCTTTCTAGGTTCTTCTTTAAGCTATCTCTAGGTCCCTCTCTACGCAATCTCAGGTGACCTATCTAAGCTGCTCCAGGTCCCTCTCTAAACTATTTCCGGGCCCCTCTCTAAGCTATCTCTAGGTCCTTCTCAAATAAATCTCTATATCACTCTCTAAACTGTCTCCAGGTCCCACTCTAAACTATCTAAAACATCCCTAGATTCCTCCCCGTCGCTGTCTCCAAATACCTTTCAAAGCAATCTCTAGGTTCCTCTCTAATCAGTCTCCAGGTCTCTCTCTAAACTATCTCTAGGCCAAGGTTAAAGAATCGGGACTAATTTTCAACTAATTTTTCTCCGGAGAGAGAAACCGGGCCCAAACTAAGCTTTGATTACAGGGCGTTAACGAAAACTATATTTGGGTTTCTCAAAACTCAGTGACGTAATTTTGGAAGTTTAACACAAACCTAGACAAGAACAAACATGTTATTTAAATGTGATGCATGGTAAAATTATGAAGTTGAGGAGCTAGAATATATGGAAGCTTAAGCTTCCCTTTTGTCTAGCTCCTGAATTAAAAGATTATTTCTTTTTTATTGAAAAAGAAGATGTGCGACTGTATGGATAAGACTGTAAACTCTTATATCTACCTAGATTGACTAGATGTGCTACTGTATGGATAAGACTGTAAACTCTAATATCTACCTAGATTGACTAGATGTGCTACTGTATGGATAAGACTGTAAACTTTGACTAGATGTGCTACTGTATGGATAAGACTGTAAACTCTAATATTTACCTAGATTGACTAGATGTGCTACTGTATGGATAAGACTGTAAACTCCAATAAGTTTGCCAGTAAGAGCGTGGAATGAAACATGTTTATCCAGGGGCAGAAGATAGTTTAAACCCTTCTCTCGGAGTTTAGTCACGCTCAACCGGAGCATTGGAACCAGGACGAAGGTGCAGCAAAAGTTCAAACATTGACCTGAAAAAAAATTTAGTTTCTTAGAATTTCGAACGTATTATCATCTGAGCCTTCCCTCCCCTCTCTCACTTTATGTCCGATTTCTAATCGAAGATAAAGCAACTCTAAATTTCTAATCGCTATATCTTGGCAACCCCAAATTGTTGACCTTTTATATTTGAAATACCAAAGTATTATACTGTCAGGTTGCAAAGATATAGGGATTAGAAAATTAGAGTTTGTGGCAAAAAGTCAGTTCCCTTTACCTTCAACACTTCTGAAAGAAATGATATAATCTTAAAAATATTAGTCAATAAAAACCGATAAAGGAACCCTATACATGATGATACTGCAAGGACGACTGTACAGATTTGTCATTGATATAATTCGTAATTCACTACAACTGTACACAATCACGTCTTATATTTTAAACATCATTATCAAAATCATTTACAAAAAATAATGCGTTATGAAAAATCCCAAATTAAACCTTAAAATTGTTTTATTTAGTTCCAGGTCGCCTTTAAAGTCTTTTTTGTGTCTGTAACCTTGTATACTGTATAACAAGCCAATGACACCTTTACAGGATGAACACACATATGTAAACCCAATGTAAACCTTACACGAGTAAATATTTGCAGATATTAGGTTAACAATAGGAATTTTTAGTCTAAACATTTAATAATCTTTTTCGTATATTTTCTGCACTTGTCGTCTTTTTCACTTCAACATGTACAATATTCTAAAGGTCTATCTACAGGGTGAAAAACGAATCCAAATCTCAGTGTTATCCATTAATATTATTTTATAACTTAACCCTNTCCAAGGCAAGGAGACAACGAAAGGTCATTTCTGATCTTTATGAAAGTTTTGCTGAGCTGTATTCAGCTCTATTGAGACCTATTCAGTCCCATTCAGCTCAAACATCTTCATTTGTCAAGGAAGAATTAGAGGGGGGGGCAGGGGGGGGAGGGAGAACATGTGGAGCAAAGAGAAAGGAAGGACAAGGGGATCGGGAAGGAGGGAAAAAGGAAGCCAATGGAAAGAAGGACAAAGGAAATCAAAGGAATTAAGGGATAAGGGGGTCAAAGGGGAAGGTGGGATAAGGAGAAAAAAGGTATCCCAGGGAAAGGAAGAACAAGGGGAGCCAAAGTAAAGACAGAACAGGGGGATATAAAGGGATTGAAGGATAAGGAGATCCGAGGGGAAGGTACGGCAAGGGTAACCAAGAGGAAGGGAGGATTATGGAATACACGAGGAAGGAAGAGAAAAGGGCCAAGGAGATTACTGGACAAGGACCGCCAAGAGAGAGAGAAAGGTAAGACAAGGAAAGACAGGAAGGACTAGTGGATCCAAAGGAATAGAGGAAAATGGTATTCAAGGGTTGAGAACTATGGGAAAGAGAAGAATAGGGGAAAACCGAAGAAAAGAAGAAAGTGAACATTTTTTTAAAAATTTGAAAAATGCTGAATCATTGTATACATATAATTAACCAGAATCTCCATATATCATAAACTACTCGGAATACTGAATAAGAGTTAATTCTTAAATGATCAAAGGTTGCATTGATTGATTGATTGATTATACTACAAATATATTATTTACCGCCTCGGATGATTGACAGAACTGATCTTCCTACAAACCAAACTAATCAATCAATCCAACTAGTGTTCAAACCTACCCAGAGTTTACTAAACCCGCCCAACTAGTGTTCAAACCTACCCAGAGTTTACTAAACCCGCCCCTCGCGAAAGGTTTAAACTATGAATTAATTATGCAGCGGGTGCGTTGCAGTAAAAACCTCCTGGTTTCAGATAATTAATTTGGAAGGTTTTACTCCTATAGTATACTAGTATACACGTACAATGTTAGAAATACACCTAGAGACACGAATCCATGATTCAGGTTAGAAAAGTTAAACCCTGACCTGCTGCTCTTGCAACCATGAGAGCCCAGTTCCTGGAACCGTCCAAGTTCTTGGTGTGTCTGTATCCGACCAGTCTGCTGATGATCAACCCCAGGTTGACAAGGAAGAATATGATGTAGAACGCGAACAAGGGCGCGTTGTTCCTCACGTAGGTGAAGGAGAACTGATGATGACGGTTTCGAGACAAATTAAACAAATTTGTCAATATTTGTCTTTTCTTAGGTTTCGGGGGAACTAACCAGCGATCAATACTAAACATAAAATCAATATAATCTTCCATATATGCAAATTCATTATTTTTTATTTGGTAATATTCATAATTCATAATTTAAGCTCTAGGTACGGACTAGGAATATAAAACCACAGATAATATTAAACTAGAGATGACCTGGATGTCGGAGTAAACCCTGAACCCTACCTGATAGTGAGGTTCTCCAACAATCCTTCATGTTTAGAGATTTGAGATTTCAATGCTGAGAATGTGATCCCATTCTGATTACTAGAGGTAGCATCCTAAATAATCATTGATTCAATTCTAAATTATAAAACAGAGAGAGGGGAGAGGGGAGAGGGGAGAGGGAAGAGGGGAGATCATAAAAGGTACTGTAGACGTAACTTCAAGACGTAACCTAAAGAGTGGAACGTTTGATTCACAGCAGTACCCTTTAAACGAAGAAAGCATTGTCGTTCTTCCTGAATAGTTTTAAATTCTGAATATTTCCTTCATTCTATCTGGAGTACAAATCCGCAAAGTTATATGTATGTGATAATTAGAGGTTGTGACAAAAACTCAGTTTTGTGTTTCTAATCAACTGTGCTTTCTCCATAAAAATGTCATTTTTTTAAATTAGAGGGTTACTTTAAATTACGTGTACAGACCCTTTTAATGCAAAATAAAGGTTTGTTTAACCTGATACAGAGCTCCTGTCAGCTCCTCCACTGAATCCTCGTCAAAATTCATCCCGTTCTCGTCCATACAGGCTCTCATCACATGCTGGAGCTCAGCCTCCTGGACCAATCCATCCCCTAGATAGATAGATACATAGATAGAAGTTAGAAAGAAAGATAGATAGATACAGAGAAGTTAGATAGTTAGAAATTTGGACAGATAGATTGATAGTTTAATTAACAAAAATATAAAGTTTATGAAAAGAAATGTAAATAAAACCCTTAATTTCATTAATATAAATGTAAATAAACCCTTAATTTCATTAATGTAAATGTAAATAAAGCATTGTTTTTAAATAATGTAAAATAAAAAACAGTTCATGAATAGAAATGTAAATGAACCATGGTTTCTGAAAGTAATTTTAATACACCATAAAGTTTATGAATAGAAATGTAAATGAACCATGGTTTCTGAAAATAATGTTAATACACCATAAAGTTCATGAATAGAAATGTAAATGAACCATGGTTTCTGAAAGTAATGTTAATACACCATAAAGTTCATGAATAGAAATGTAAATGAACCACGGTTTCTGAAAGTAATGTTAATACACCGTAAAATTCATGATTAGAAATGTAGATAAACCACGGTTTCTGAAAGTAATGTTAATACACCATAAAGTTCATGATTATAAATGTAAATAAACCATGGTTTCTGAAATTAATGTTAATACACCATAAAGTTCACGAATAGAAATGTAAAAAACCATGAAGTTCATCAATAGAAATGTAAAGAACCATAAAGTTCATGAATAGAAATGTAAAAAGCTATAAGTTCATGAATAGAAATGTAAAAAACCATAAAGTTCATGAAAAGAAAGTAAAAAACCATAAAGTTCATGAATAGAAATGTAAATAAACCATAAAGTTCATGAATAGAAATGTGAAAACCCATAAAGGTTATGAATAGAAATGTAAAAAAAACATAAAGTTTATAAATAGAAATGTAAAAAACCATAAACTTCATGAATAGAAATGTAAAAAATCATGAATAAAAGTAAATAAACAATATTGTTTATGGAAAGAAATGTAACTTATTCATAAAATAAACCATAATGTATGGAAAGGGATGAAAACTTGACGAGGTTAAAAACCTGAAAACTAAATAAACCAAGAGCTTGATGAAAAGTAAAACTTTGTGATTATGTCATGCTGAATACGAATAAACTATGTATATTGAATATTACGTGTTGAAATTCATGCTTTTTAAACAAAATTAGGTTTATTAAATACTTGTAATTCTAGGGTGGAACTCTTTCCCTTGCTAGCATCCACATACTTATCTAAGAAATGTTCTACGCTTAATTTATAATTCTAGATTCAGTTTCTCATTTTTTTCCAGCCAACCTAGGGGCCATGGAGGGTTTATATTTCGTGGAGGGGGGGGNGGGGGGGGGGGTGGGGTATACCCTTCCCAATGAAACTCGTATTTCTTATATAACATATGTTAGTAATTAAAGCATAATAATTAATGTTCGTTATAAAAACACATGTGAGGACAATAGAGTGTTTCAAGACGATTCTGTCGATAAAAACCAATATTCCTCGATATGGTCTGATCTAGCCATGACCATGGTATCTGTAGGCTAAACCCTAGGTTTAGGCAGTTCCCGGAGTAGTTCGGAGAACCAGGGATATTAGAGATGAATATTAATATACAGTGCATGCAGCAGAACAATCAAAATCAGTTTATTTCAATGTCAAGATATCAAGATATCAAGATATCAAGATATCAAGATATTAAGATATCAGGATATCAGCATATTAGGATATTAAGATATCAGGATATCAGGATATCAAGATATTAAGATATCAAGATATCAAGATTTCAAGATATCTAGATATCAATATATAAGGATATCAAGATATCAGGATATCAAGATATCAGGATATCAAGATATCAGGATATCAAGATATCAGGATATCAAGATATCAGGATATCAAGATATCAGGATATCAAGATATCAGGATATCAAGATATCAGGATATCAATTGATATCAGGATATCAAGATATCAGGATATCAAAATATCAAAATCTTCGCCTATTCCTCCCCCTCGGATCCTCCCTCAATCCATTTCTACCCCTTCGGCTTCCAACCTCATTCTTTCCCATTCCTTACTTAACCTCCCCGTTACTTCCCATTTCTTCCTTTCCTTCCCATTCCTTCCTATTTACCTCCCCCTCCCCTCCATTGTTTTCCTATCCCTAGTTCTAACCTCTCCCCTCTCTTCCTTCTTCTTCCCTTCCTGGACCCTTGTGCAGCAATCAAGTGTTGTACATGAACTAGAGAAAAATAATGAATATAAAGTACAGGACAAAAGAATTAGCTTGCTCATTATTCAATAAAGGTTGATGCTAATTAAACCTTTCATTGTTCTATATTTGAAACATATTTTGAGGGGTTACAGGAGCATTATTTTTATTTACTATATAGGGGGAGCAGTGGAGCAATAGAAAGGGAGCAATAGAGCAATATTAGAGGTTTATTGGTACAGCCCGCTTTAACGCTATGTGTTCCATCGGCTCAGTAACATTAGATATAATTACGAAACATATAATAACAAAACATATAATTACATATGATATAAGTAACATAGAATATAAGTTACTTTTTATGTTCATTTGAACTCCAAGCCGCAGCGCTCGGCCCAAAAACTGTCTTAACCTAACCTAACCCTGAAATAATACAAGGCTAGGTTAAGACACTTTCTGAGCCGAGCGCTGCGGCTAGGACAGGCTGAGGGCCGTGCGCTATGGTTGGCAGTTGAAATGAACATCAAAAATAGTTTAAACGAACAAACTGTTTGTAATTTTCTCCATTTATTGATTTTGTAATTATTTCTTATTTACTGAGCCGTTCCATCACCCTCACATTGTATGTTCCCCCTGATATATGTTCCATCACCCTCCCATTGTATGTTCCCCCTGATATATGTTCCATCATCCTCCCATTGTATGTTCCCTCTGATATATGTTCCATCACCCTCCCATTGTATGTTATCCTTGATATATGTTCCATCACCCTCCCATTGTATGTTCCCTCTGATATATGTTCCATCACCCTCCTATTGTATGTTCCCCCTGATATATGTTCCATCACCCTCCCATTGTATGTTCCTCTGATATATGTTCCATCACCCTCCTATTGTATGTTCCTCTGATATATGTTCCATCATTCTCCTCTTTTCTGTTCCTCCCATTTAGTTCCCCCTCTCCCATCCATTGTTTGTTCCCCCTGTATATTTCAAATCCCCCCTCCTCAATGTTACATATCCCCCCCTTGTATGTCCTTTCCTTTATGTTCCCACTTCCTCCCCTTATATGTCCTTTCCTTTATGTTCCCACTTAATCTTGTGAAAGAAACTATTTAGCTAAAATTAATTCAAAATTATAAAGATACTTATGATAAAAAATTATGTGCAAACCTAGAAGAAAAGTTGCAAATAATTTTTCTTTTCGAACTTATCTTTTACATTTTTCATTTTGTTTATTGCTCTAGTCCTTATATCTATAATGTGTATATAAGTAGATATAATATATACTAATTGCATCTATTAAACAGTCTGCAATGCAGTCACGACCTGAAACCTTGAAAACCACAAAGTTCTTCTTTGCAACTTGGGTTCATGACAAACCTTACTCAAACACAACCTTATTTACAGGGATACCGCCAATGGAAAATAAAACAGATAAATAAATTGTACAGTGGTCTCTAAAATCAAATGGGAAAAGGTGAAATTACAAATATTGATTAGAATTAATTTTATTACATGAGTACATACGTTTTATTGAATGGTAACTGGCAATTTCCCTTTAATATCTTAGAAAACCTTGGTTCCTGGTGGGACTATCAACTTTATTTCAAAACTCGTGACAATACCCTTTAAATATTTTTTTTAATTAATAATTTGCAGCTTCTGGTGCATTTATTTGTTAAAGGTTTAAAGGAAACTGTTGTAAATAGTTCTGAAAATTATAACAACAATCCCTTTAAACAAAACATGATATGTTGATATTGAAGAGTATATTTACTACACCCTTTATATCTCCGTTCAATTCTAACTCTTCAAGTCCATATATTACACCAGAACTAATGGGTTGAAAAACGAATACCATTTTATTAACATTCCTGCCAGAGAGCTAAACGTGTGCAGAGAACGGTATCGTAAACCCTAATCTATTGATATCTCCTGATAACCAAAGATAAACAATACAATTTTACGATCTAACCCCTTCTTGTATGATTTAGTTGATGAAGCGGAAAGTCTAGAAAAACTTGAATGTTTTACAACACCAATATTCTCTGCTTGGGTTTAAAAGAAGTCTCTTTGCTGCATAGTAAGTATCATAGAGTGCACACTGGACAGCTTTATTACAGAGTTGAAGAAAACAACAGTAAACTCTCATTGTTAGTGTTAAACCTAGAGTATATATATATTGTTAGTACCAGACCTTCACCACCTTGACAAAGGAAGCGCTCAGTTCTCAACTCTTCAACAATCTTTATAGTTCCGGAAGTTGAGTTTCTGAGTGCGATATTTCACGGAATATGATTTTTCAGAAAATTTGCAGAAATTGTGAGAATTATGAATATAGACAGTTTGGAGAAGGAAAAATATAAATTTAGAATCAGAAGTTTTAAACTAAGAATTTGGATTCGGGATATATAAGAGGAGGAATTAGAATAGATGAGATTAATTTATAAAATGTTAGTAAAGATTAGGCTATAAATCAAATAAAAATATGTTTACATAAAACCACTGCAAACTAGACAAAAGAAGAAGCTCAAATTCGTGAGACTTTATTTGCACGACTTTGTGACCTCGTACCTCCTGTAGTTTTCATTTTACGCACAAAATCATATGAAAAGAAAATTTATCTGGTGACATGTCAGAAACTTAAATCTTCTTCTTCTTAATCTTCTCTTTAGTTAGTGGAGTTATCATTGAAAACATATGATATTTAAATCTTACGTGGAATTTACTTTAGTGTTACATAGAAAAATCTGTGTTTAACAATGAAGAATCTGGATATAGCAAAGGAGAATCTGGATATAGCAAAGGAGAATCTGTACATAGCAAAGGAGAATATGGATATAACAAAGGAGAATCTGGATATAACAAAGGAGAATCTTGATATAACAAAGGAAAATCTGGATATAACAAAGGAGAATCTGGAAATAACAAAGGATAATCTGGATATAGCAAAGGAGAATCTGGATATAACAAAGGAAAATCTGGAAATAGCAAAGGAGAATCTGGATATAACAAGGTAGAATCTGGATATAATAAATGAGAATCTGGATATAACAAAGGAGATTCTGGATATAGCAAAGGAGAATCTGGATATAGCAAAGGAGAATCTGGATATAACAAAGGAGAATCTGGAAATAACAAGGGAGAATCTGTATATAACAAAGGAGAATCTGTATATAGCAAAGAGGAATCCGGATATAACAAGGTAGAATCTGGATATAACAAAGGAAAATCTGGATATAACAAAGGAAAATCTGGAAATAACAAAGAAGAATCTTAGAATATATAATGGGAGAATCAAAGATTAGGATATAACCAAATGTAGGAGAATCCAAGATATGGATAAATATATAAATATGTAGACTGTAGAGTAAGATGAAAGGAGAGTCAAGAGTTTGGAAAAAAGTCCAACAGTATAATTATATAAAAATCTAACTTACCGTCGATATCGTAAACTTTGAAGAGAAATTTGATTTTATCGTCTGGAGTTTGACCAGCGAACTGATGCATTGCATCCAGGAACTCCTGCAGTTTAACAATAGAATTTATGCTTTACATTGTACAGTGAGACCCATAAAACAGTGAAATAGGAAAACGACATTAAAGCGCACATTTAGTATTAGATTTAAAGCAAAGCGTTTTCCTAGTTAAAAATTAAATGAATGGTTCTGTTTAGGCGTATATTGCACAACTGCTGTCTTCATGTTAATTATTGATAAGGAAAAATCATAACTTGAGTCTAGTAGTCGTCGTCCTATTCCACAGTTTTATGGATCTCACAGTATTCATTTTAATTTTGAGGAATTGTATCATGCAGCAAAACTGCACAGTGCACAATGCACATGTATGGGCAAGGGTTAAAATCAGAAATAAAATATTTATTGTCGACCGTTTTTTTACCTAAAATAAAGGAAATAGAGATGGTATTTGATATTGATATAGCTTAGATTTTTTGGCTGGTTTGGTTTGGGTTGGTTTAGTTTAGTTTTGTTTTATTTAGTTTTCTTTTGTTTTGTTTGATTTGGTTTGGCTTAGTTTGGTTTGGTTTGGTTTGGTATGGTTTGGTTTGGTTTGGTTTAAAAAATATATTGCCTGGAATGAAATGGATCCGCTCTCATCCTTGTCGAAGATCTGGAAAACTCGTTCAACGAAAAATGGCTGAAAATATAAATTATCTTAGTTGAAAGTTAGCGACTGTTGACAGTGTTGACGTCAGACTCGGGTCATGTGACCCTCCATTTATTAAAGGTCGCAACGGTACCATCTTTAATCAGAAAAGGTTTTAAAGGGTATCGTTGTGAATTGGAAATGCAACTCTTCCAAAGGAGGGTCATTTGGTATTACGCCTACATTCTCTTTAATCTAGACAGACAAAGACGAAAAGAGGGGTATCAAAGGTTTTAATCTTTTATTCTTTGAATACTTTAATGTAACTAGGAATCAATTAGTTAAAGTTTTAAATATCAAAGGTTTTAGCCATCAGATTGTAATGATAAAAGGATTAGAAAACTTGAGTTTAAGACGAGTAACTATTTCCTTTGTGAAGAATTTCCTCAGTTTCTTTTCTCTCGCGGTTAGTCTTTACTTTGTAGCTTGTGCACGTGTTTAAACCGACTTTCAGTAGTGTGTTTGCTTACCAACTGCAGTTTGCAGTTACTATTTACAATAATGATTATTCACATTCTGCTTCATATATAGGGTTCCGACAAAGATTACTAAGGGATGTTTGTCAGACAAAATTGGTCTAGTTTGCCAGTGATCCTTCTATACATATTAACACTCTGATGAGGACAATGTCGAAATATAAAAGGCTCCCATTTTTCTGCTTTGTTTTCATTATTATTCTTACGAAACAGAACTTTCATTTTAAATGTTAGGGAATAATTTTAAAATTTCTGCATAATCCCGATGGGGCAAATATTTTGGGTTATTGGTGAATTTTGAGACTATGTTTAAATGTATGTTTAACTGATGAAGGACAAAGTAAGTTTGATATAAAAATGTACTGCTGACTGCTGACAGTAATAACTATAATGATGGGAACACATTTAAAGGAAAAATATCATAAAATCTTACAAAATCTACACTAGGCCCGGAGCAAGCAATTTTTCAGATTTGATTATTAGAAAACAATACCCAGGTTTTGCGTAAAAAGCGTCAGAAATGCGTCATAATTTTGTATTAAGTTTTATTCTGATAGTTATTGAGCAATAAACCTCTAACCCACCACTCCTATTTATATTCTGTATTGTTTGTATTTTGGGGGATTATTGGTCATCAATTCCGGGTATTTTATTGCAAATGGGCTTTGGATTAGAATGTGCAACCCCCCCCCCTCTTGGGTCTTCAATTTTAAAAAAGATCAGAAATGAATCATTTCCGAACTCCAAGTTTTTAACCTCGCCAAATATCTTTAATTTATTCATTAGCAATCCTAAAACAAAGATCCAATACTCTACTGTAGTTGCGTGTTATAGTTCACTATATCAACCAGGATAAAGAGAGATGGAATCATAAATAAATATCGAACTGTATCTCATATTGGTAAATTGTTTTAGTGCAGGATCGAGGATTTAAAAGTCGAAAAAGTGTCACTCAATCAGGGGCGTATACAGGGGAAGGGGGCTAAGGGCAATATACACCCATAGAATTCACATTTTCCCTTTAAAAGCCTAGAAACCGCAAAAATATCAGAATATCAAATGCCAAATGATCAAAAATCATTAAATGATCAAAAAAATGTACGCTGAACAGTTAGGACAACTATTTTTTTTTTAATATCATACAACTTCACAATAAAGTTAATTTTAAAGTTTAAGGTATTCTTAAACATGTGTATTTTTATGATAAAACTTCAGTAAAATGCAAACTCTCTCTTTCACGCAATATATTTTTTCTTCTTTATCTACTCTGTAGTACCATACGGTATTATGATTTTTCTCTGATTTGTTTGCATTTCTAGCTTGTAGACCTAACTGAAACGTACTGCGTTTTTACTCCATAATTAGCCATTTGATCATTTGGCATTTGATATTTTGATATTATCGCCTAGAAACAGCTATATATTTAAAATGTATTTTAAATATTGCCTCCTCCATCTCTCAAATAACTGCTCTACACGTCTTTAAACTGAAAAAGAAGGGTTGGCGGTGGGGGAGCCCTAAATTAATAATTTATAGATCTAGTTTCTGAATCCACCCTCTCTCTGACCACCATTGGAGAAATGAATACATTAGTTTTATTAGTTGTTAAACCATTGGTTTTTATACTCTAATGGAAGAAACCAACCCTAGCGGAGAACACGGGAACAATGGAGCGAAGGAGACGTTTACAACCAACTCTTAGTTTTATATCAAACAAACTTCCTTATCTTTTAAAGGGACTGTCCTGTGTTTTCAAGTGAGGCTCAATTTAAAAAAGAGAAGAGGGACATGCCAGATTCACAATGGTACCCATCAAATCTTGATCTGATAATTTTTGTGGAGGATATTGTCGCTTTTCTAGCTTAAAAAATGTTGAATTCTGATAATCTACTCTATTGTTTCTGCAGAAAGAATGTGCAAATCATTATTTTAGAGAAATTGCAATTGATATAATAAATTTTAATCGAGATAGCCATTGATATCTCACTTATCCTTGATCAGACAAAGCTTTTAAAGTAACTATTGTAAATAGGACATACCATTCGTGTAATGGAGAGTACAGTCTCTTTAAACCAAAGTGTTTTAGAGGATCATAGATCATCCAGAGCACTTGTCCCCCCCCCCCTCTGGTGATAAATCATGAGAAAGGAACTGATTGTTTGCTTCAAACTCTAATTTTCTAATCCTTATTTTTCGGGAATGTTTAATAAATTATATAAGTCACGTAATCACACAAAACAATGTGTGAGATATTATATCAGTCGTGGAAACATATATCTTTTAATTTGGCCACAAAATAACAATTTGTTCTACATATCTAACTGAGTGTGAGATATGTTAAATAAAGTTATATCAGCTTATATTAGCTTGTTTTTTGGGGCAAAGTATCGGAGAAATGTTTTTTGATTCTTACATTTTTGGACTGGACGATATTTTTGAAGTCGGAGAGCGTGATCTCTCCATGATCCCCCACCGTCCTCTTGAACACCTTCTCCAACCATCTCAGATTATCCCCCGCCAGCTCGGACTTGGGAGCTGACCGACGTGCGGTAGCTACTCGTTCAATTAACTAGAAATATAGATTTATGTACTCCTTCATCAACTAAAAATATAGGTTTATTGTAATACTTAATCAAATAGAAATATAGGTTTATGTACTCCTTCATCAACTAGAAATATTTGTTTATGAATTCCTTCATCAATTAGAAATATAGGTTTGTGTACTCCTTCATCAACTAGAAATATAGGTTTATGTACTCCTTCATCAACTAGAAATATAGGTTTATGTACTCCTTCATCAACTAGAAATATAGGTTTATGTACTCCTTCATAAACTAGAAATATAGGTTTATGTAATACTTAATCAAGTTTGTGTACTCCTTCATCAACTAGAAATATAGGTTCATGTACTCCTTCATCAACTAGAAATATAGGTTTATGTACTCCTTCATCAACTAGAAATTTAGGTTTATGTACTCTTTCATCAACTAGAAAGATAGGTTTGTGTACTCCTTCATCAACTAGAAATATAGGTTTATGTACTCCTTCATCAACTAAAAATATTTGTTTATGTACTCCTTCATCAAATAGAAATATAGGTTTGTGCACCCCTTAATCAAATAGAAATATAGGTTTATCTACTCCTTCATCAACTAGAAATATAGGTTTATGTACTCCTTCATCAACTAGAAATATAGGTTTGTGTACTCCTTCATCAACTAGAAATACAAGAAATCAACTTGAAAATAAACTCATTAAGAGAAATGGGTTTGTGTACACTGCATAATTATTGTGTTTCATATTTATTGGACTATTTCATATTTGAAATCATCACTTTGAGACTTGGAGACGTCTTCCTTATGTACAGTTTTCTGCGACAATTCTAAAATTTTTAATTTTTAAAATTTCTTTACGACTAAAGTAAATTGGGGTTTTCGGGACACTCTTTCATCTGAATTAAACAGCAACAAAATATATTTTAACGATATATATCCTCCTGCTGTCAAAGAAACCGAAATTAAAGTTGTGATCTCAGATTTGCACTCCATCCTCTGCAAAATTTATTTGAGCATATTTATGAAATTGTTTGCTTCCTCAATATACGCGGCACGAAAAGTATTTTTAATGTAATTCTGAGGCCGAAACTAATGAAAAGTATTTTTAATGTAAATCTGAGGCCGAAACTAATGAAAAGCAAGAAGTAGATGAACTAGTTACGAGTGCACAAATTGGGACACATAAAAACCGTGGAATAGGCAGACGACTGTTAAACTCCAATTATGATATCTAGAATAGATCCATTTCAAGAAATAATTGTTGATTTCAAATTATTTACTTTATAACATGAGATTGTTTAAATGTCATCTTACTATTTTTCTTCTCGCTATTTATTAATTTAGCGGTATTAAAATAACATTTGTTTTCCTTCAAACGCTAACTTGTAAAAATGGCATTGTTCCCCTAAAATGTCGACAATGAACCAAAACTGAAAATGCTAATTTTATTGTTTATGAAGAGCGTAACTATCTTTAGTTTAAAAACTATAAAAGAATTAGCATACAACGTGCATTGACCCTCTTTGTAAGTTGGAAAGGTGTTAAGATATTCATATATTCGTCTTCTCTTTTCTACTCAATACAAAGATCCAAAATGAGCGCTGAATATATTGAACACGTGCGCGAATAGAAGTAAAATCACGCAACCTCGTCATATAGTTTATTAACAATAGTTTAGTCCCAGAAACTGACGCAGTTCTCTTTTAAACATTGAAACGACCACTTTTATCACGTGTTTATGGTAAAACAATCTCTATCATTGTTTCTTAGATTAACGTTAAAGGATACATGAACTTTTGAAATGAATGGACTTTTAAAATTACTAAAACAGTCCCTTTAAGAAAATGAAGAACTAATACCTGATCTCCTGTAACTATCCCGTCCGTCTCCGCTGAAACTAGTCCGTACAGTTTCTCTCGAACCTTTATTATTACTATTATTATTATTATTATCATTATTATTAATTTTACTGTAATTATTATAATCATTTTTAAAAGAAAGAAAGAACGAGTGAGAAGGATTGAACTATAGAAGAAGTGCTCAGGAATGGAAAACTAGGAAATTGAACAAAATGGAGAGAGAAAGAGATAAGGTAAGGAGACTATTAGTGATCTTCAGAATAGTTTGTCCCGTTAAATAAACTTGGAGATGGTTAGATTTTTTTTAAATCTTGGATGGAGTCTAGGTATAGATATAGATAGAGATAAGTTAAACTACCTTTAATTTGGTTGTTATGGCCTGAAATGTATCTGCTCTGATCTCCAGTTCACCACACAGTAGCAGAGCTGCCAGAGTAACAAATTCTTGGTCTGTTTCATCCCGACTCAATCTAAAACAAACAAACAACTAGTCTTTAATTCTGTCAAGTTTACTCTTTATCTCAACACCATAGATCCGCAGGTTTCTTTCATAAAAAAACCACATTTTAAAATTGTCATGATGCAAATAAAAAGTCAAGTATATTTTCATCATTTTTGGCATTTGAAGGTTAAAAGAGTTCCATTGTGAATGCGGCATGCAACTCTTATTAAATATAGGGTTAATTGAAACTACGTCAACACTCCCTTTAAGATCCTTTCTCTTGTTCTTCTCTTGTTAGTATTTACAGAGCTAATATTGTCTTAATTAATTCAAGAGAATTTCACGCTAATTATTCATCATGATTTTTCATTGTTTCAAGCACAAGCCTTCTTCACACCATCTTATATTCTTTTCTGCAACCCCTACCTCCCCCCCTCTCTCCACACACACACACACACCACTACTTTTCACCCTCCCTTTATTATGTGAAACCTTTATCTGATATTGCTTGTATATTACAATTCCATATAGGGCAGTCCAGGTTTAAACCCTGACAACTGATTTGGAAGATTCTTTTCCAGGACGAGAATCCAGGACGAAGATCGGAGAAATCCAATCAAAGTTTTACGGACCTAGGAATGATGTCTGATTGTTAGATCAATAGAAATCTTTCACAATCAAACCTTACTCGTCATTTCTCATAGTTGATTAATTGAACAGTACATACACTTGGTCTACCATTCGTTTCCTAAAAGTTTACTAGTCTACGCATCCATTTCCTAACAATCAACTAATCTACCATCCATATCCTAACAATTAACTATTTTACTATCCATATCCTAACAATTTACAAGTCTACCATCCATACCCTAACAATGAACTAGTTTACCATCCATATCCTAACAATTTACAAGTCTACCATCCATATCCTGACAATTAACTAATCTACCATCCATATCCTAACAAATTACAAGTCTACCATCCATATCCTGACAATTAACTAATCTACCATCCATATCCTAACAATTTCCAAGTCTACCATCCATATCCTAACAATTAACTAATCTACCATCCATATCCTAACAATTAACTAGTCTACGCATCCGTATCCTAACAATATCCAAGTTATCCTAACAATATCCAAGTCTACCATTCATATCCTAACAATTAACTTATCTAACCATCCATATTCTAACAATTATCTAGTCTACGCATCCGTATCCTAACAATTTCCAAGTCTACCATCCATATCCTAACAATTAACTAATCTAACCATCCATATTCTAACAAATAACTAGTCTACGCATCCATATCATAACAATTTGCAAGTCTACCATCCATATCCCAACAAATAACTAATCTAACCATCCATATCCTAACAATTAACTAGTCTACATCCATATCCTAACAATTAACTAGTCTACCATCCATATCCTAACAATTAACTAGTCTACCATCCATATCATAACAATTTGCAAGTCTACCATCCATATCCCAACAAATAACTAACATCCATATCCTAACAATTAACTAGTCTACCATCCATATCCTAACAATTAACTAGTCTACCATCCCTATTCTAACAATTGACTAGTTTACCATCCATATTCTAACAGTTTACTAGAAGTAGTCTACCATCCACATCATAACAATGAACTAGTCTACCATAAATTTCTTAACAATTTACTAGTATACCAGTCGTTTCCTGACAGTTAAATCATCTATTTCTTAACAGTTTACCATCCAAATTTTAACAATTAACTAGTCTACCATATTGTTACGCGAGCCATGCTGCGTGAAGAAAGTCTGTTT